GTCTTTTAAATGTGTTTCTGGGAGGGCGGGTTATTGGTTTATTTTGGTTTCATTTTGTATTTTGTGTTCTTGTTTTGTATTTTTATGTTGTGAACCCCCCCCCCACCCGTGATCTTCAAATGGTGGTATATTATTATTATTATTATTCCCTACATCCCAGTTGTTAGGAGCATTTTCAGCAAAACACATTAATTACTGATGCAATTTGAAAAGGTGCAATAATGAAGCTTGGGTACTTTCATCTGTGTTTAAGTGATATATGGAACTAAAAAGGTTTCACACAAGTAAGGCACAGCCTCCAGCCTCACAACACCTTGTAAAAGGTGTTAAAGTTGTTTGCCTAAGGAAGCAGCTATCAAAGTCATCTGACAACTGGCAAACTAAAGTTCAGAGGTTGAGCACCTGCTTTGTGTGAAAAGGTCCCAGATGCAATCTCTGGAATTACCAGTTAAAAGGATGTCAAGAGGAGGTGACAGGAAAGACCTTCTACCTGAGACACATCTACCAGCCAATGTAGCCAATACTAGGCTAGATTTACAAATAAACTGACTGGTGTAAAGTAGCTTCCTATGTTCCAGTTTATAAACTGAATCACAAAGGGTGGGCCAAACTCCCCACCCCGCACAATAGGGTGAAACCACTTTGTCTGCTTCCCAATGCATGTAACTTTTTCTCTTTTTTTGATGGGGGAGGAAAAGAATACATTATGAAGTATATATTACTGTATTTTGATATATTACTGTATTTTGATATTTGGTTGGAAGCCACCCAGAATGGCTGGGGAGGCCCAGCCAGATGGGCGGGGTATAAATAAATTATTATTATTATTATTATTATTATTATTATTATTATTTACTTCTCAACTCAAAAACTGACAGTGACATTCCATTCTGAACATGAGAGACCAGCAGAGGCTAAAACTTAAAAAAAAACAAATGACAGACTGGCCAGATACTAGTCTAAGGATGGAAAACGTGGTGCCCTCCACAGTTTGTTGGAACTCCAACTCCCAAGAGCCTTGACCACTGGTCATGCTGGCTGGGAGTCCAACATTTAGAGGGTGACAGGTTCTTCATCCGTTTCATGTATGTTCCCAGAGGAGAGAAGTTTTTGTCCTCCCTCTCATATAAAACTAGAACTAAGGGTCACTCAGTGACCAGTAGTAGGTTCAGGACTCATATCTTAGGGCTTCTTAGGGATTCACTACTATTATATGTAATGATTAGCACCAGCTTAGATTATTGAGTGTGCCTGTGTGTAAGAACAGGGAAGACCTGCTATATCAGACCAAAGGCCCAACTAGTCTAGCATTTTGTTCTCATAGATGCCAATGAGGAGCCCACAAGTAGGACATGTACATAAAGGTACTTTCCCAATCGCGAACCCCAGCAACTGGCATTCAGAGGCATACCACCTCCAATAATGGAGGCAATATCACCATGACTATTGGCTATTATTCTCCATGATCTGCTTGATCCCCTTTTAAAGCTGTCCAGGTTTGTGGCCATTTTAATGGTGACTGCATTTTAAACCATTTGACTTATTTTGCACCTCTCGGCTTAATACTCAGATCAAAATGTAACGACCTTTCAAAAATCCCAAGGGCCCCTGGCTGGCCAGGAATGCAAGAGTCCAAAAGCTTTTTCTAGCAGAGTTGGCAAAAACTTTACAGCTAGTTCAGCAAAACAATTAGCCATCACTTCTACTGGAGGACTAAACCTCTCAAAAAGGTTACTCAGGCCTGCTGGGTACCACACTTCTATCTTCATGCCCTCCACTTTTTCTCTTGCATCTTCCATCCTAGTCCCTGCCAGACAAATACCAAATCATTGGGTGGAATTAATTCCAGGAATATTATCTAAAACAAACCCAAGCAAATATTTTTGATTGGCTTCATGTGTTTTCTATGTTTCCTTAGCACACAGTACACACAACCGTATAAAAGCTCCACAAACCAGACAGATAAATTAATGGGAAGCCAAAGCTGGCCTTTAAAACTATTAAGGGCAATGCATGTTACCTTTTGAATTAAAATCTGACCACCTTCGACAAAAATCTCACCATGACTAAGATGACAACTGAAACCAGGTCAGAGATTAATGTATGCAAAGTTAACTCAGAAGCATCCAGGACAGAGAGAGTATGTGTGAATACTCATAGAGAGTATGTGTAAAATTTTACGTTCTGTAACAGGGAAAGAGACAGGCAGAGGCCTGGTGTCTATCATCTTAATACAGACTGGTAACCGTTTTAAATTTAAATGAAAGCAGCAGTACCAAGCATCTGAATGCTATCAAGTTAGGCATCAGTCACAAAACCAATTTTTTTCCTTCATACTCCTACAGCTATGGAAGCTGTATGGCAGAGACACTTAAATACCTTCCATCGTCATCATCTATTTCTATAGAGTTGAATATCCACTTAGCACTTTATAATAAATAAAAATTCACAGCAGTCACTGTGTGCAGCCAGTAAGATGGAGACAAAAGGAAAAGGAGGATGGAAGGCCTAGGGCAAAAGCTTTAAAATCTTTGCTCCATACAGAGAAACATCAAATTTCACAGTAAGAAATATTACATAATATAATACACAGAGAGAGATGTACAATATAAAAAGGCAACTCACAGAGTCCTACAACCCCACCCTCGAAAATTCAACTTGAGCAGGTATAGGCACAACTATGAAGATGCAAGCAGGCCATGACAATTAGCAGACAACTCCATGAAACCCAGTGAGCATTTGCACTAAAGCCATTGATTCCAAAATAGTATTTTTTGACCTTCTGCCCCATCCCTGATTAAGCTCCTAGAGGACTGTCGGATCATCATCCCAATATGGCTGCCCCGTAATTGTGCTGTGCTGGATATAGAGGAAAGGGGGGTGGGGAAACGCATCAAAACAAAACGGCAGCTGTTTATGGCAGAGAAGAGGAAAAGCTGGGGGGAGAGGTAGGGAAAAGACAAACACCGAGGTTCCTGCATTTCCCAAACAATTCACTGCTGTAGGAAATTGGGGTTGGGGTAGAGACAGAAATTAATATAGAATGAAGGAGAATTCTGCTTCAAACCCCGCCCTGCTTAAAAGATGAAGCTGCAACAGAGCTTCAGCAAAAAAGGATGCAAACATTGAAAACTGCTCTCTTAAAATAAATATGAGGCTACGGGTCCCACTCAGGAGAGGGTTCTCTCAGAGCATTCACAGTGGGGAAACTGGAGGCAGAACTGATGGAGATGGGGGGGGGGCTGAGATTCAAAGGGATTTCTTTATTGAGGGAAGTATTTACTGAGATTCGCAGAGATTCACAAAATATATCCGTGATGGAGCTAGGGAACTGTGAAGTATAAATGCTTTATTTTGAGGGGTGTCACTGACAACCACCATCACAGCAACTTCCTATGATGGTTATGTTGTTGGGATCTTAAATTAGATGTCACTAGGGAAGCGGGGGGGGGGGGGATTGGAGAGAGGGAGATAAATAAAGAAAAAAGAAAGATGATTCAAATTTGGCTAGATTGAGAGGCATTCTCTGTGAATATTTAGAGACCAGGCAATCAAGAGATCTCAAACTATGTATGGTCCCAATATAAAAATGCCTCTGGGAGGAACTTGGAATTAGTAATAAGAAGGGGGGACTGTAAGGAATCTCTATTTGGAATTGACTGGGGGGAGAGGGGAGAAAAACTGGAACTGGCAAAGGAAAAGAAGTCAATAGGATGACAGGGTTGTTCCTAGTCTGTTCAAAGGAGAGGAAGGAGAGTGCAAGGAAATTGCTGATTACAATAAATATACAGTATACAAGTGACATGTTTATTTGTTTAGCTGCACAGATATATCAGGGCTGGAAAATCACAGTCTTCTAACTGCTAGGAATTTTAAAAGGTTTTTAGTTTCTAGCTATGTCTGTATCCTGCAGTTCAGCACACAATCTTGTGAGTCAGTGATACACTTAGGCATACTTAATCCATACCTTGTATATATACACAGCTATATGCATAAATTATGTGCTATTATCATACACACACCTCTGCCCCCATTCTTCCAATGACACATCCCATAGAGATTCCCACCCCCTAAATGCCTCAGCCAGCTAGGATTCAACAGTATCTTTGGAGCACAGGTATTTTGAATTTAAAGGTTAAAGAACGGCCTCCTCTTGCACTTACTGGGGTGTAAGCCATCAGTGGAGCTAACACCTACTTAAAAGAGGCATCAATGGAAGGTCATTTGTAACATATGTATGTATGTATTCCAGACCCTAACACTCGGGGGGGGGGCAGGAAAAAGAAGGTTTAAAAGCCAAATACATAATTATACTTAATATTAATTTGTTATTACTACATCTTATATCGAGCTGATTATATTTTATTATGCCTCTGATGTTTGCAAGTGGCAGTATGAAAGGCAGTATGAAAATCATGATTAATTATTATTAACAACTATTATCATTTCACTACTAATACTAATCACACTACGGCCACCATTCTCTTGGATAAGTCACTTGGGGTCATATGTTTGCCAGGGAGAAACAACACCCCCCTATATGGATTAATATGGAAGGAGTGGGGTGTCATCACCTAACCAACCCAGGGATCAACCATATCCACCTTTGTGTACCCCATCCCTCCATCCGCTTGGTCCCCTCAATTGGGGGGGGGCTGAAAACAGTTGGAGGAAAGACAGGGCAAGGAGAAGGGAGAGAGACAGAGGATAATTTGGGGTGGGGGGGAGAAAGAAATGGCAAGCCCCTTTCCGCACATGCAGATCCACCTACATTATCCCTTCCTGGGTGGCTTTTTTTTGGGGGGGTGGCCGCCCACATAGGAAGCTGCTTTATACTTCTGAGTCAGGCCATTTGGCCCAACAGCTCAGTATTGCCCGCTCCGACTGGCAGCAACTCTCCCGGGGAGAGTATTCAAAGACAGGCCAGCCCTACCTGGAGATGCTGCCAAGGGCTTTGGCCCTTTTGAGGCAGATGCCCCGACCGCGGAGCCACAGCCCCAATGGAAAATTTGGGGACAGGGCGGGGTGGGGAGGGGAAAGCCGGGATTGAGACCATATGGATGAAAATGAAAGGGGGGGAGGGAGGCTTCAAGGATGGGCCCCTCCCCCCACCAGCTCTTTTCGCTCCCTTCCCCCCACCCTCTCACGTGACCAACAACCGCCCGTCACCCCCACCCCTTTTACCTCAGTGCAGTCAAGGGCGGAGGCGACACCGGCGCCGCCGTCAAATCAGCAGCCTGGCGGGGGACAACGAGCGGCGACGAAGCCAGCGGGACAGAGGCCGCCCAGCCCCATCACGGAGCCCCCAGGCCGGGGAAGAGCGGCATCACAGAGAGGAGCGGCGGCGGGGCGGGGAGAGGGGAGAGAGAAAAGGGCGAGGATAACAAGAGGAACCGAACCGCCTTGCAGGAGTGTCGCGACTACACTGGCGAGAGAAGGGGCTGGAATCGATTCCCTCCACCCAGAGGGGAAGGCTCCGCCCCCGTACCCGCTCGACGCCCTCCAATCAGACGCGGGGAGATGTCGGCTCGCCGGGCGAATGCGGAAGCCGATAGGCGGCTTGAGCTGTCTGTCCTCAAGCCGAGGTGGGAGGGGTCTGTGGAAAGGATTCACCTGCCAATCTCGGGGTGCCTCTCGGCCAATCCAATTAAGGAAAGGCATCGCGAAGGTGGGACGGCAGCGGCGGAGGCAGCCAATTAGCGTTCGAAAAAGGAATTATTTCTCTATCTGTCTCAGAGCTCTGTCCTAAGAATGTTCCTCAGGAGTCCTTTCGGCGGCTGCGTAGGAATACGCGGGTGCTCCCTCTTGCGGAGGGAGAAAGTAAACCGATGACGGAACCTTCCGCAGGGAGCTATAAAAAGGGAGGCGATGGAGTTCACTCATACAGTAGATGCTTGTCCTTTTTTATTTTTTTTTTACCTCAGTGGAGGGGAAATTCGGTGGAAGATTGTGCTTTTTATTGAGAGAGAGACATAGAAGGGAGAGCTTTAAGTCACGAATCTACTGGGGAAGCCGAGTTTTATCAAAGGGATTCAGACGTTTTAGGAAGATAAAGGCTGAGAGGTTCTCAGAGGAAGGGCGAAAGGCGGACTACCAGTTCACAAGTTACCCCTCCACGCACACGTGTAAAAATGAACGTGTGAATGCAGGAACTGTGTTTGCTGTCATAGAGAGGGGCTGTACAGGACACTCGAGTTTTCTGAGGCTCCTGCCCTCACTAGTACACTTGGAACCAATCCCAAGTTTTCTACTGTGTAAATGTGTGAAGCAACCTTGGGAGACGAAGATTGGGGAAAAAAACTAAAGCAGAGATTGCAAGAGGTCTAAAAAATAAATATCACCATTCTTTCCTCTAATGCCCCTTCAAGCATACCTATTTAAAAAAACTTACAGCTTTTAACTGGATTAAGATTAAATTACCACACATTAAATTACCACACATTTTTGTTGGTTCAGGATGATCACACCCGTTTCATCCTCAGGACCACTCTGTAAGGTTGGTTAGGCTGAGAGAGTGACTGGCCCAAGTGGCTTTCAGATAAGCAAAAGCAAATGATGAGGATGCAATAAATATTATAAAGGGGCTGATAACAAAATGTAAATTAGGAAGGGAAGAGCATGGTGAGGGCATGGCTGTGGCTAATGGAGTGATCTACATAAGGCAGTGCCAAAAGGGGGGCAAGTGGCTCCCCAAAACAAGGAGGTTGCTCACCACCCCATTGCTGAACTGTCATTAACATATACTCAGCCCTTTCTCTGCCCCCCATTTTCCCCCTCATAACACCATGGGCATAGCCAGGATTTTTGGGGGGGCAGGACTTTTGTTGGGAGCAGAACTGAGCTATCTGTGACACAACTGGTCAGGTAGTTAAGTTTTTATTTATTTATTTACTTGATCGGGGGGCGGGAGCTGCACCCCCTGCCCCTCTCTGGCTATGCCCACGCGTAGCACCACTCATGGTATTAATCGTCCTCCATAAGGTGCTGGGGATGTGAGTAATGGAAAGAAAGTAAACCCTCTCCCCATCTCCACTATGCAGAAAATTTAAATAAATGGTTGAAGGTACTCAGGTGATTATGGAGGGAAACAACCATTGCATGCTGAATGTCCTAGGTTAAGATGAGGATTAGTTAAGAACTTCTGGCCTATGGACCTAATCAGGCTTAATTTGACCTGTTTTGTCTATGCTTCATCCCATTTGTTGTTCCTTTCCAAGTGAAGTTTGCACTGGGTGCCAGGTTTAAACACTGGATCCCGATCAGATCCCCCCCAAGTGGATCTGATGCCTGCCAAACAATTTAAATGGTACCAAATGCAAACCGTCCTTGCGAGGGAAGAATTGGGAGCACACACTGATCTCTCTGAAATGTGGCTCCTGGTTGGCATCGTTCAAATGGATGTTGTATGCAAGCTGCACTGCTTTTAGGTGGGGTTGAATCTACCTGAGTTATTGGCAGGTGGTTGATTCTGTCCACCAGTCAAATGTGGCCCACGGAGGGCTCACTACAGTTTAACCTGGCCCTCCAGTTGAAAGGGCTTCCTCATCTTTGAGTTAAAAGGGTAAGACAGCATCAGATAGGCAGCGATGGTCCTTTCCTAAGACACAGGAGAAACAGGGTGCCTGCGTCTCTCCAGATGTTGTTAGATTCCAGCTTCCATCAGTTCCAACCAGTGGGGCTAAAGCTCTGAGATGATGGGAGTTGAAGTCCAGTAACATCTGGAGGGCCATACATTTCCCATCCCAGGGCTGAATGAACCAATAACCTGACTCAGTATAAGAGAGGGGGGAAATGAAATGGGAAGAAGATTAAATCTGAAGGGCATGGGTAAAATAAATATTTTATTGGCTCACTGCATATCAAAATATACTTCAGGTTTCAAGCATGCCACAGAACTGAGTGGTATTTTTGTAAGTGTCCTTTAATATTTAAAAATGTGATGTACCAATAAAATAGTTTGGTGTACCCTCCAGATTTCCCCCATTATTTTGATTTCTCTTGACATGACATATGACAGCTTAATATGGGTTGTCTCCAACTAAGTCCTACTCAGAGCAGACCCATTGAAATTAATCTGAATTAGGGCTTGCCCACATTTTTGCTTGCCCCACTGCTTTCCTCCAGAGAAACTTGATCTTTAGCATTGAATCAAAGCAAACATCAACTGGGTTTTCCGTTGATTGACATTTGCTCTGATTCAGTGGTAAAGAGTGTGGTTTCCCAGGGGAAGCAGCAGGGCAAACAGAAAACCACTCAGACCTCCTGTCTCTAGAAAGCATGGAACAAGTGGAAAACTGCTTGGACCCATGCTTGCTATGGGATAACCAGCCTCATATAATCAATAATGCTTAAGTCTATCAATGCATAAAGGGGTTAAGACCATAGAGTAAGCTGTCCTGCCAAGTTTAGCTCACCTTGGAAGGGATTAGGTAATAAAGCTTTTGTTCTCCTTCAGCCTATCTGAGCTCAACATGTGAGGAGGTTTGAGTTGGTTGCCCCAAGCTCAGACCACATGGCTCCCACAAACCACTGTTGAGTTCCTATACCAATAATTTAGGAACTTTCACCACTTTGCAACTAAATTAAGTTTTACCGCCTGTGCAACCTTTCTGACTGATGTATGGAAAAGCACACGAACATAACCTTTAGTGTTTGTAAGTAAACCATTATTTTATTTACTAAATGTGTGGTCTTTTCCTATGCTGAAGAGTTTTGGAACTCACAAGGTCTAACAGCCTATATTTCTGCATGTTAAAGGTAAAGGGACCCCTGACCATTAGGTCCAGCTGTGACCGACTGGGGTTGCGGCGCTCATCTCACTTTATTGGCCAAGGGAGCCGGCGTACAGCTTCTGGGTCATGTGGCCAGCATGACTAAGCCGCTTCTGGCAAACCAGAGCAGCGCATGGAAACGCCGTTTACCTTCCCGCCGGAGTGGTACCTATTTATCTACTTGCCCTTTGACGTGCTTTTGAACTGCTAGGTTGGCAGGAGAAGGGACTGAGCAATGGGAGCTCACCCCGTCGCGGGGATTCAAACCGCTGACCTTCTGATCGGCAAGTCCTAGGCTCTGTGGTTTAACCCACAGCGCCACCCGCACTTTACTTTGCTGCATATTTTGTGATTTTAAATATCTGCTGGGGTTCTGTCACCAAAGAGTACTTGCTCCAAACCTGGATCCTGACATCCAAGGAATTATTGTTTTATACCTATTTTCCCTCCTTGCACCAACACTTTCCAGGTACAGGACTTCTTTGCAAGTATGGATGGGCCCTTAGTAATATCAATTGATTTCAGTGGATCTACTCTATATAGGATTAACACTGGAGACAACCCTGTCTCTGCTACGTGCTTCTTGCCTCTAGGGCTACATACACACTGTAAATTTAAAACACATGGTTGCCTGCCAAATAATAATCATAAACATGGGAACTGTAGTTTAAGGGGTAGCCACAGTTCCCAGGATTACAGTATTTGGGAGAGAGTGATGTGCTTTAAACGTATGGTGTGTATTCAGCCTTGGTAAGCAACTAGGGGGCCATCTGGTTTGATTTAGTACTCCTGTGGGCCCTGTTTGTTCATCTCTGTAGCAAATCACATGCTTTTTGAGGCATGTGGGGTCATGGGAGAGAGTAGACTGCTTGCTAGTTCATCTTAGCTGCCCTCCTGCCTCTTGCAATTAGTCTCATCTTGAAATCCTTGTCCCACTAACAATCAGATGTATCCTGGAGGCAGCTCTCTTTATCTCGTGGAACATGACATGTCAGGTGTTATAACTATATAGTAGCTGGAAGGGGGGAAACAAAAGTATGTAACCAACAGAGAGATCAACCCCACTCAACAACGTCTAGCATTTGATAGCTGAGTGTTAAGCAAGGATATAGTAATTTCAGTTTTTTAGTACCTAGTGTTTTGTTTTTTAAAAAAATATTTATTAAATTTTAAAGGGTTACAAAAAGAAAAAATTAAAAAACAGCATATTTAAGAAATACAAAACATCACATCACATCCCAATAATAGAAAAATGAAGCAAGAAGAAGAAAAAAGAAGAAAAAGAAAAAAAAGAGAAAATACAATAAATCTTCCCATATCTTATCTTTCATTTGCTTATTTCCTTGACCTCCTCACACCTCCCTTTTTTGTATTCTAGCTCAATTAACTATTTCAGCAAATCCTTTCCCTCCTTTCCAGTTTTTGTCCTCTATTTTATCTTAATATAATGTAACTTTACTTTCCCTCCTTCACCGTTTAGCAATCTATTTTTCCTTAATCCTTTATAACATTTCTGCTAAAACCGCATTATTTCATTCCAACATCCTTCTAACATTCCTTAATTTTATAATGTTTCTGTAAATAAACTTTAAATTTCTTCCAATCTTCTTCCACCAACTCTTCTCCCTGGTCTCGGATTCTGCCCCTAGTGTTTTGTATCTTTTTTTCTCCTATTAGTTTTTCAGGTGTTTCTGCCTGCCTCTAAATTCTTGGGATTAAAAGCGTTAGACTAGGGGTTATCTGACTTTCTAACCCCAGGGCCCACTTGAGAGGACAGAAATGGTGGCAGATGGAAGGAGAGTTGGCCATAATCAGTTGGCCATTACTGACATTGCTTTCTTGCGGTATCTAACCTATATCTGGAAATTCCTTCACCATGGCATTTTCGTTGTGGCAAGTAGCTCCACAGCTCAGCTTTCTTTAAGGTCAGTATAAGCCTCCCGAGTTTAGGCAAGTTTGCTGATATAGAGGCTCTAAATGGAGACTTTTTATTTTCCCCTCACCACCCACCCCACAGGACTCCTAAAATATATATACTTATCTTCTGCAATTTCTTCTCCCATTCTCCTTTCATATTCAACTTGTACCTTATCTCCACCCACTCCTAGTTCATCCCTCTTCCTATAACAGCTTCCCTCTTACCCCTTTCTTTGTCATGTTTGTTTATTATGAATGATAATAACAATTTCATTCAATTGGTAATGGTAATAATGACCCTTTATTTCACTTTCCAACTTCGTCCCAACACTGGCAACCCAGCCAGATGGGTGGGATTATTGTATTGTTTTTATTGTTATTTCCTCTGAAAGTGGGTCAAGGCCCACTGGTGAGTCCTGTTTGAGAAATACATTAAAATATTTGACATAATACATGTGACACACCAGGAGTTTCCAATGATTGAAGAAACTTGTTACCCATATTTTGTAAGCACTTGCCCCTGCAGAAGAGAAGGGGGTTTATGCCCACTTCAAGGACTGTTCCTCAGATCCAGCAAGCTGGCATTTTACTCTCTGCCATGCTCATAACTCTTTTCTTCATATGAATATTAAAAGCAGGCTTTGTTCAGGAACTCTGCTGTATAATCTAAAGCTATGGCTTTAAAAATGTATGGTGTCTTGGTTTCTATTTTAGCCTGCCTATTGATTTGTGGCTGCTGTCCATCCCAGAACTCTATCCAGGGAACAGATCATTTTTGCTAAACACTCAGCTTAGCTTGGGACAGCTGTGATTAATTTGCCTTTTAAGTGGTTGGGGGAGATTGGGGTTTCAAAAATGTATTTCTTGCAGAGTTGCTGAGATTTCAAAACAAAGTTGGGCTCTCAAGATCAGGGTGGGGAACCTTCTTTAAAAGCCTGAGGGCCACATTCACTTGTGGAGAAGCTTCTAGGAGCCACATACCAGTGGTGACTGTGGCCAGAATCAAAAGTGGGTTCAGCAGCAGGTGACAGGACTCTTACCTCTGTTCAGTAAGCTGCATTCAATCCATGTAGAAGCCACATATTTTTACACCCAAACACATCTCTCCATCCCAAGAGATGGGATCCTAAGAGAGGGGCAAGCAAATTCCAGAGCACAGGTTCAGTAACTATGAAATCCCATCTCTTAGATCTTAGATCAAGATGTATAATACCAAGAATCGTAAAATGTGATATACAGCCAAGAACTCTGTCGGACCATAACTCCATTAGTTTAGAAATAAAGGGCAAAACACAGAGCGTTTACAGATGGAGGATGAATGACTATCTCTTTGAGATCCCCGAGGTAATTGAAAAAGCAAAGGCCACTTTGGAAGATTACCTTAAATGGAATTTAAATAAAGATACCAACATTGATATAGTTTGGGACGCAAGCAAAGCTGTCATGCGGGGTCATTTAATACAGCAAAGCAGCCTTAGAAGAAAGTTAAGAGAGAAAAAGAAAGAAGACATCTTAAACCATATAAGAATACGTGAGGAAAATCTAATGAAAAAACCTAAAGATGAACAAAACAAACAAGCCACTAAGATGCTACTAACCCAATATTCAATATTGGTTAACCAAGAGGTAGAATGGAGAATAAAATCTATGAAGCAGAGGTATTTCGAATCAGCGAACAAAACAGGGAAACTCCTGGCATGGCAGTTGCGGAAAAGACAAAAACAAAGTGTAATAAATAAGATCAAAGTTGAAGGACGGCAAATAGAAAATCCGGAGGAAATTATGAGAACATTTCTTAAATACTATGAAAACCTATATAAAAGAGAAAATGAAGATCCAGACAAAATAAGAAAGTATTTTGAAGATTATAAAGAGAAACGCATAGGTGAAGATGAAAAAATACAGCTGAACAAACCAATTACGAAAGAAGAAGTAAAAGAGGCGATAAATAAGATGAAGCTGGGCAAAGCCCCAGGCCCAGATGGGTTATCGGCCAAATATTACAAAACATTGGGCGATAAACTAATCCCGGTGCTATGTGATGTGATGAATAGAATTTTGCAAGGAGGGAATTTACCAGACACGGGGAAAGATGCACATATAACCTTGATTCCCAAGCCTGATACGGACAGCTTAAATATAAAAAATTACAGACCTATCTCATTGCTGAACAATGATTATAAAATTTTTGCGGGAATAATGGCAGACAGACTCAAAAATTGCTTAAAAGATGTCATACATAAAGACCAAGCCGGATTCCTCCCAAATAGACAGTTAAAGGACAATGTCAGACATATTATAAATATCACAGAATACCTAGAAGTTAAAAATGAAGTACCAGCGGCCTTACTGTTTATAGATGCTGAAAAAGCGTTCGATAACGTTTCATGGCAGTTTTTGTTAAAGTCTATGGAGGAAATGGGGATAGAGGGCAACTTCATAGAAGGTATAAAGGCGATCTACTCTAACCAAACAGCTAAATTAATTGTTAACAACAATCTGACAGACACATTTTGCATTATGAAAGGAACAAGACAAGGTTGCCCTCTCTCCCCTTTACTATTCATAATGGTTCTAGAGGTCATAGCGAATAAGGTGAGATACACGCCAGAGATACGGGGCATTAGAGTCGGAACAAAGGAATATAAGTTGAAAGCTTATGCAGATGACCTAGTGTTATCATTAGAAGAACCACAAATAAGCATCGGTAAAGTGTTGGAACAATTAGATGAATTCGGTAAGGTATCAGGTTTCAAACTAAATAAAACAAAGACTAAAATGTTGGTGAAAAATATAGATAGGAATACAAAAGAGAACATAGAACAGGAATGTGGAATTAAGGTCTCAAAAAAAGTCAAATACTTAGGTATATGGTTAACTTCAAAAAATATCAATCTAATTAGTGATAATTATACACCTATGTGGAAAGAGATTAAAAAAGATCTGGAAATATGGAATAGATTAAAACTTTCATGGTCTGGAAGGATGGCGGCAATCAAAATGAATATCCTCCCAAAAATGCTGTTCTTATTTCAAACCATTCCAGTGATTAGGGGATCCGCGATTTTTAAGGAATGGCAAAAAAGTCTTTCAAAATTTATATGGCAGGCAAATAGGCCAAGAATTAAATTTCAAAGATTAACAGACAGGAGGGGAAAAGGGGGCTTTGCTGTGCCAAACCTAAGATTATACTATGAGGCCTCCAGCCTATGTTGGCTTAAAGAATGGATTACCCTAGAGAATTTAGATCTGTTAGACTTAGAAGGCTTTAACAATAGATATGGTTGGCATGCTTACTTGTGGCTCAATAAAGGAAAGGTCCATAAAGGATTCTCCAATTATATTTTCAGAGGAGCATTGTTTGAAATTTGGGGGGAAAATAAGAAACTTTTAGAAAAGAACACTCCTTGGTGGCTATCCCCGACAGACATTCTAACAATAAAAAAGGTAAATATGGAAGCGAAAAGGCTAACATATGAAGACATACTGGTTAAAACGGAAAAAGGTTGGAGGATTAAACCATATGATGAACTGAAAGACTAACAGGCTGGTTGCAATACCATCAGATAAATGCACTTTGGAATGAGGATAAAAAATCGGGGATGAACGAGAAAAAATCAAGATACCAGACAGAGGTATTAGAAGGGAAAACCAAACTGTTAGCTAAGATGTATAATTTGTTGTTAGAATGGGACACAAAAGACGAAGAAGTAAAGGAGGTAATGACAAAATGGGCCATGGACTTAGGACATAATATAGAGTACGAAAAATGGGAGAGGTTATGGAACAGAGGAATGAAATTCACAGGGTGTGTCACATTAAGGGAAAACCTAGAAAAAATGATGTATCGTTGGTATATCACACCGGTAAAATTGGATAAAATGTATAAAAGCGGAAACAAAATGTGTTGGAGATGTAAGCAGAAGGAGGGGGATTTTTACCACATGTGGTGGGCGTGTGACAAAAATAAAAAAAAATTGGGAGCTCATTTATAATGAATTAAAAAAAAAATTTAGGTACACCTTTTCAAAAAAACCAGAGGCACTCCTCTTAGGAATAATTGGGGATGAAATCAAAAGAAAAGACCAAAACTTATTTCAGTATGCGACAACGGCAGCTAGGATATTAATCGCTCAAAAATGGAAATCAGTGGAAATTCCCACGATTACGGATTGGCAAACAAAATTATTCGAATACGCAGAATTGGCAAGAATGACAAACAAAATCAGACACCAAAAAAGAAACAAAGTTTAATGAAGAGTGGAGTAAATTTGTGACCTATATTGAGAGTAATTGTGGTAAATTAAAAACTACAGCAGGCTTAACATAATCCTTGTTATGCGTAAATTTTTGACATAGAAACTGCAGCAGAAGAAAAAATGTAAGAAAACCGCAGCAGGAGGGGAGGTCACGATGCGTGTTAACGCAGTGTAAATAAGTGAATGACACTAAACACTGATAGATAAGAATGTTCATTGTCTATTCTTATATGCCTTTTTTTCCTTCTGTTATATGTTTTCTTTTTTTTGGTAAAAATCTCAATAAAAAAGTATTAAAAAAAATCCCATCTCTTAGGATCTTCCTCATTGTGGCATGTGCTTGGCAGGGGGTTGGACTCGATGGCCCTTGTGGTCTCTTCCAACTCTATGATTCTATGATTCTATGATTCATTTCATGTTGGATGTGCATTATGCGTTTCTGATTTTAAAATGATGTTTGTTTTGTGTAGAGTTATTTACACTGGCTGCTTGCTTGCCCTGAACCCGTGAAGTTAGAATGGAATATAGGTTGGTCACCTCAATATGAAAGGGATATGCTGATTCTGTTTAGGCTGATGTGTTTTATCAATCTAATCTATTAAATGTATTCCATTGTGCTTTGACATTGTAAAAGTAAAGGACCCCCGGACAGTTACCGTATTTTTCGCTCTATAGGACGCACTTTTTCCCCTCCAAAAATGAAGGGGAAATGTGTGTGCGTCCTATGGAGCGAATGCAGGCTTTCCGGGCTTCCTGCAGCTCCGCGCCACCCTCCGGATCCCGGCGCGAGGCCGCGCGGGCTCCGGAGGGTAGCGCGGAGCTGCCTGAGCTCCAGGGCTTCTTGCAGCTCCGCGCCACCCTCCGGATCCCGGCGCGGCTTCGCTCCAGAGGGTGGCGCGGAGCTGCCTGCGCCCCAGGGCTTCCTGCAGCTCCGCGCCACCCTCCCGATCCCGGCGCGAAGCCGCGCAGGGCTCCGGAGGGTGGCGCGGGCTGCCTGAGCTCGCGCCTGCCCGCGGTCCGGAGGGTGGCGCGTGCCTGCGCCCAGGGCTCTGCAGCGCCACCCTCCCGATCCCGGCGTGAGCCGCGCGGGGCTCGGGAGGGTGGCGCGGAGCTGCCTGCATTCCGAGCCTGGTGCGCACTGAAGAGCGCGCCCGGGCTCGCGCACCTCTCCACACGCCTGGGGACCGGCTCGGTTCCCTAGGCTTGCGGATAGCAGGCTGTTCTGGGGGCTGGGGTCGGGGGAAGCTCGGGCTTCCCCCGCGCCTGCCCCGTGCCTGGGGAGGGAATTTTTTTCTTTATTTCCCCCCCCCCAAAAAAAATAGGTACCTTGAACGCACCTTGTTTTAGAGGGAGAGAACAAGAAAAATTTTTTTTTCCCTGTTCTCCCCCTCCTATGATCCGGTGCGTCCTATGGTCCGGTGCGTCCAATGGTGCGAAAAATACGGTAAGTCCAGTCAAAGACAACTATGAGGTTGCGGCACTCATCTCGCTTTCAGGCCGAAGGAGCCAGCATTTGTCCACAGACAGCTTTTTGGGTCATGTGGCCAGTAGGACTAAACTACTTCTGGTGCAATGGGACACCGTGACAGAAGCCAGAGTGCACAGAAACAGTGTTTACCTTCCCACTGCAATGGTACCTATTTATCTACTTGCACTGGCATACTTTCAAACTGCTAGAAACTGGGACAGAGCAACAAGAGCTCACCCCGTTGTGCGGATTCAAACTGCTGACCTTTTGATCAGCAAGCCCAAGAGGTTCAGTGGTTTAGACCACAGCACAACCCGTGTCCCATTGACATTGTATCCTGCTTTGGGCCTACCAGTGGTGAATAAACAGGTAATGATTTTTTTAAAATAAACCAATACCAGCAGAATGGCTAATGAGGGGAATAATTTTAAGTAAGTGTGGTATTTGATTTTTCAATTTATAAATAGGGAGCAGACGATGTCAGACCTTCAAGTCACAGGTTTATTATTAGAAGAACTTACAAACTGCTTCATTTTTTAAAATTTGAAAGTGATATACTATGGAAGATAGTATATCTTGATTTGATTTGATTTGCAAATCTTGATTTGATTTGATTTGCAAATCAAAACAGGGCTGTATCCACACAGAGGTGTGTCTGGCACCATCATTACACAGCTTCCAGAAAATGCTGAACACACACCTTCTTTACCCTGGCTTTTGATATGTGAGCGGCCTGTTTTTTAGGACCCACCTTATTTTTGTGACTGTAAATAATAAGCTGTTTGAAATACTGTGTTTTAGTGTCAGAATCCACCCTGGGACCTTAGAATGAAGGGCAAGTAATAAATAAATATGAAATATTATATAGTCATACCTTGGTTTTCAGACAGCTTAGTTCTCGAACGTTTTGGCTCCCGAATGCCGCAAACCCAGAAGCGACTGTTCCAGTTTGTGAGCTATTTTTGGAAGGCGAATGTCCTACGGGGCTTCCGGAGCTTCCTGCAGCCAATCAGAAGCCGCACCTTGGTTTCCGAACGTTTTGGATGTCGAATGGACTTCTGGGACGGATTCCATTTGACTTCCAAGGTACGACTGTACTAAAGTCAAACAAGCACATTTCCAACTCTGATTCAGCAGCCCACACAATCACCCGCCTGCAGCATGCACACAACATATGTGAAGGAGACATACACACTGAAGGGTTATTGTGAATGTGTATCACCATTTATTGTAGTTCAAGAATCAGGAACTGAACAGAGGACACTGTCAGAAAAAAGAAAAAGAAAAAAGAAAACATTTCTTTTCAGGCTTTTTTTTTTTAAACACTGTGGTTTCAAATCCTTTTTAAAAAGGAAATTCAAGTATCTTTAAGCAGGGGGCAGTCATACAAAAATGTTTCGTCTTTTTTATATAGTTTCTGTGTTTTTCTTAAAAAAAAAAGCAAGTCTACATTTTTTTCTGCACCCTTTTTTTTTTTTTTTTTTGCTTTGGTAAGGCCAAGCCATGGATACAAAACTGGTACGCAACATAAAAATGGATATTCCTGCCTTCACTGGTAGGTGCTGAGACTTAAAATGATCTGCCCCGCTTGGGAGACAAGCTCTTAAAAGACTCAGAATCATCATCATTTAGCTTATTAGATCTCTGGCTTTAAAAACAACAACAAAAAAACCCTAAAGCGTTTAAGCGTCTCCCAAAAGACAAAAATCCAATGTGCAAAAAGAAAAGAAAAGAAAAAGGCAGGGGCAGTGGGGGAGAGAAAAAAGGAACTCTGCCATTGTGGATTACTCTTCTCATGTATGGCTGACCAAATAAAAATAAATGAATATGTGTAATAGAAAAATATGATTCCCTCCCCAAGATTAACACTTGTTGCAGGCACACTTATCTTTTCAAGATTATGTTCTCTTGGGGCTAGAGAAGGATTTTTTTTTTTTAATATACAGGGAACATTTGCTTCACATTACAGAAAAAAAACGGAGAGGGTAGTGTAGGAAAGGTTAACAGGGAAGAAAAGAAAGTGTGTATGTGTGATGGGGGTCACTTTAGCAGCAAAATGTTCAAGGTTTCAACCACAATCAAATTAACGGAGACCTGGCAATATTTTTAAAACAAAAACAACACAACATGTTGAGGGTTTTGCTTCCCTGATCCACATGTCTTCCAGGTTTTTTTTTATTTTAAAAAAAGGAATTCAAGCTGTATAAACCCCAATTATGAGATGTCAGAGGATTTTTGCCTCATAACAAGAGCCAGCTTCCTAAACTTATCCCCCACAACGTTATCGACCGGCATGTTTGATCACTTAAATATATGTACAAGAATTAAGCTGCTTTTTAAATTTTTTGTTGTTCCTTCTCTTCATCCACATGCTTTTATGTCGTTTTGCAGCAGCAGGAGCAGCAGCAGCAGCAGCAGCAACAGGCACTGTGTGAGCTCCAGCCCAGCCAGCTTCCACTTCCAAAAGAATCAGCACATCCCCCACGCCTCAATCCCCTTCGTCCTGCTCTTCACAGTTGACCTTGGCATGTGTGCTGCCAGGCAGGAGAAGGGTCCTCAATGGTCAGTGTTCTGTTTGTCTCTCATCCAGGCTTGGATTTGCTCTTTGAGCTCTGGCACTGAGTAGGGGGAGTAAAGAAGGGGAAGGAAAGTTAAACGCAAAATACCTCACCGTAACAAAGCTCAGTGGTTGAGAATCTGCTTTGTGTGCAGAAGGTCCCGTGTCTAATCTCCAGGGTTGGGCTGGGAACATTCCCTGCCCGAAACCCTGGAAAGCCACTGCCAGTCAGTGCAGAAACAATGCTGAGCTTCATGGTCTCACTCAGTATAAGGCAGCTTCTCGTGTCCACTCAGAGCACACGGAACAACGAACATTCGTGTGCAAAGTCCTCCTAAAATGAAATGGGAGAGTGCCTGTCTGACTTCTAGTGGGAGCGAGTTCCACAAAAACGGCTCCTCAACACTGAAGGCATGATTTCTTGTTGGTGCGAGTTGTGCTTTTGGTCCATGGAGGACCACAAATAGTGCTCTCCCCCAAAGGTGAACTCAGTGATTGACTTGTACAGGGCAAGAAGTACCCTGGGCCTAAGTAATTTGGGGACTTTATACAGTAGCACAAGAAACTTGAATCTGGCCCGGGAGTACATAGGAAGCCAGTGCAGACTTTAAGGGGAGGGCTGGGCACATTAATGGAAGAGCAGAGGTGCATCAATGACTACCAGCCATGACAGGCTGAGTTGGCCATACTGTACTATATGGTCCAAGCAACATTCTTATGCAGGTGACATATCAGCAGATGAGGAAATTCAGTCCCTCAAGACAACAGCAGAAGCATAGAGCAAGGGTGATCCTTCAGATGTTGCCAGACTACAATTTCATGGTTGCCATGGACAATATTTTTCAGCTATCAGAGCTTCCATCTGTAGAGATTGCAGAGTTTCGCAGAGGGATCCCTCCCTGCTTAAAAAGCAGACAACCTTCTGCTGAATTTGTTCCATTTGGGGCCGTTTTGTGTGTGATGGTTTTGTTTTTGTAACTCTGGATTTTTATTGTTGAAAGCTTAGAATATAAATAAATATAAGTGAACATCTTGACAAAAGATTTTGGGGTGTCAGATTGCTCTACTACAGGCCAGTTTCCAAGAGAAGGTTCTTGGTTTTTTTGCTTATTTATTGTATAAAAGTATTAGTCTGAAAGAAAAAAAAAGACCAGCTATCAGCTCGCTTACTCTATTTTGCTTAGGTTACAACACAAGTTTCTCTACCTGGTTCCAGCATGTTTTCCGTTAGTGTTTGCCGATTGAATGGATCTGTGGAGGAATTCAAAAGGTGCCGGAGGATGATGGATCTATCCATGATGGTCCCAGATGGCAACCTGACAGGGTCACTCATCAATGTATCCATGAGTGGATCTGGAAGGAAAGGTTTAAGATCATCAAAACTTTAAACTTCAGACTCACTTGCAAACATTCTCAGAGAACTGAAGGCTAGAGAGATATTTTTCTTAAGAACAACCTCACACTGACAGAGGTATCATTGTTGCACCTTGAGTGCATCTATACAATTTTCTAAAAAGGAAGAAAAAGAAAAAAGCATCTGGAAAAAGCTAAACCAGCTTGCTCTTCTGCACAAGTTTAGCATAAAATTTATTTATTTCTTAAGGGTTGCATCCAATTAAGTCACATTCAGAGGAGACTCATTGAAATTAACCAAAGTTAGTCATGGCCACTACCTTCAATGGGTCTACTCTAAACAGAAGTAGCATTGGATACAATCCGAAAATGTTAACCCCTCTTTCGATTTTAGCCCCATGATTTTAGCTGATGATTCCTGGGTGAAGCTGCGGTATCTCCACAAAAATCTACTTGCCTCTAAACTCGTCAGGAGCATCACTGTAGTCAATTTCAGCTCGGGCATTCTTGGCAACGATTTCTTCCACCTTTTCAGCTAGCAGCTTGAATTTTTCTATTGCTATTGTCGACTTGATTCCAGCTTTCCTCATCTTTGAAATGACCTCCTCAAATAGCTCCTTGCTGTAGGACCTCTGCAAAGACAGAAAGCACCACAATGATTGCATGCGCTACCAAGACCTGACAAAGCCATAAGCTCAGCGGCAGAGTGCTTGCTGAGCAAGCAGAAGGTCCCAGGCTCAATCCCCAGTACCCTTAGATAGGCCCTTAGCTGGAAACCTTAGAGAGCTGTTGCCAGTCTATGTAGATGCAAGGCTGAGCTAGATGGACCAAATGGGCTGACTCTGTATACAGCTGCTTGAAGACTAACACCTTACTGCTGTTTTAGGGGAAGGACCATCTGCTTGTATGCAGAAGGCCCCAGGAGTCAAGGGAGCCAATACTGAACTTAAAGAACCAATGGTTTGGTTCAGTATAAGGCAGCTCATCTATGTTTCTAAGCAGTTGGCTGTTCTGTGTTTAAAGCACTGCTGCAGGAACAGGGCACAGAAAGTCAGGGGGGGATAGCCAAGAGTTAAGTCCTTTCCCTGCAGCTTTTCACCACCTCCCAGCTGAGCGTTAGTGACACGGGGAACATGTGCAAAATGGAATAAAACTACTTTGCAAAGCTTATTCTGCCATTCCGGGCTGTTCATTCTGGTTTAGTGTATTATGGGAAAGGCAAAGTGCACTGAAGCCGCTTCCTTCAACCCCTGGAATTTTTTTAATTCAGCCACCACCCACTCTTTCAAATATTATTCACAGGGATAAGGACTAGAAATGTGGTATCTCTTTTTAAATGAAAGTTGAGATCCTGAGGAATCTGCATTCCATACTCAGAAACAAGTTCTATGCTTGCTTTGCACTTCAGCGGAATCACAGCACACACAACGCTGTCTTGTTCTCCTCTCCGTCCGCCCCTCTCTCGACATACTTTTAGTACTAGATACCAGGTAATTAATGGAAATGGAAATCTCTGCTATGAAGCTTTCTTGAGGCACCTGTTTACACAATGTGGGGAGACGGGATGTGCAGCTAAAACAGACTGTTTGGTCTGACACAGATGGCAATCCCGACATTCCTAAAATTAACACACGGTCCAAAGCGTGAGAAAGGCTATCTGCTCCTGCAATAGATAGGTTGTGTGCACTTCCATGTCCAGCGATCAAGTGGCAGACTCTGTTGGCATGTAATCAGAAAGTCTTCTCCCTCCCTCCTCGCCATGTCAACTCCAAAAAGCCTGCAGTAAGGAGTCACAGCAAGCAAGAGCCGGCACCTGCTGGGAGCTTGCCAGTGCGATGCAGTATCACTGCAGGATGGGCAGCGCTCCGATCCCAAGGCAGTATGGTTGCCAGATAAATATCAAATCAGCCAGCGGGAGTGGGGAGGGGAAAGCAGCTGAGAGACTGTTGTAACCAAAATATCAAGCAACAAAGCCACGTGCAAGGAAACTCAGTTCTGGAGAAAGAAAGGGTACACACACACACACACACACACACACACACACACACTTCAGTTACTATGGATGGAAATCAGACTTTCCCCATCAGGTAGGTGCCCTCAGACAGGGTTGTACAGCTTGCTCTGAACAAGCAGAGCATTAAAGAAGTCAACCTGTGGCAGCATGACTTAGCAATATCGGTTTGTTCTTTCTTGGGGACTTTCTTTCAAATCAGCTCCACCACATCAAGCTGCTTCAGACATCTGATACAGATTTATCTGCAGTGCAGTGATCAACACACGATGTGCCCACTCCTTCCTCGACACCAACCCAGCAGGGGAAAAAACTCTATGCCTATATGGCACAGTGCCCAGCACACTCTTCTGGGTTTCATAAATTGCATGGAATTTTACAAATCGAAAGAAGAATTCAGCAAATGCTTTGGGAGAATCTCAACTTCAGAGTGGAGTAATTTTCTTCAAATCACATTTTTTTGGGGGGTGGGGGGTGGAATCCAACTGTCACAAAATAACTGAGGACTAGCAGAGCATTCACCTTTTTGCCCAAGATTCTCGCCCTTTGAATATGCTATACAGCTGTTTAAATTACCAAAGTTTCCCCTAAAAGGCAAGCCTATTAGGGAAACGCCTAAAAATCTTTGCCAAGGTATTCATGTATCCTTACTCAAATATGCATGCACACATGAGAGGTTAAGCAACGGCCATCCCAAATTGGAAAAAACAAAACAAAATGGGCCAATATCCAACTGCTATGGAGATGGCAAAGGGAACTACGCAAGCCCTGGGAAACCTGTGGCCCTTTCAGCTTTTGTTGAGAGTCCAGCTCCCATCAGCTCCAGCTAGTTAATGGTCAGGGTTGATGGGAGTTGTCATCCAATAACATCTGGAGGGCCACAGCTTCCCCATCCCTAACTACTCATTTCTTCCCTAACCCTAACCTTCTGAACACCTTTCTTTCCTGGACTCCCCCACTCACCTGGTCATCAGCTATTGCTTTTGCAAAGCGAGCGCAGTCTAGCTGCAGGTAGATGTCCGTCAGTTGGTCCAAAAGCTTCTTTGGTTCAAAGCCATACTTCTCGGGGTTCTCAACTTTCAGGTCGCGGCACTTGGGGCCGCACAGCTGCTGAAGGTTGAAGTTCAGCATTGCAGCCAATCGCGGCCCAAGCTCCTGGAAATGCCACAGCAGAAAGTATTATCATTGGAGAGGAATTCTTGAATCCCCATAAATGCCGGATGCTTAATAATAATAACGCATCCACAGGCATTTTGTTGGCCACTGTGAGAACAGGATGCTGGACTAGATGGGCCAATGTCCTGATCCAACAGGCTTGTCCCATGTTCTGCAACTGTGCTAATTTCCCCAATGTAGCTTTGTCCATGCCCACCATTTCCTACATCAAAACCTGTTTCCTTTTTCCCAATGGGAACCAAGGCTGCTTCCTGGATTCTGTTTTTCTTGGTCACACCCTTGTAGTGTGGCAGAAGGTTGCCAACTGCCTTCAGCAGTTAGGAATCTGGATCCTCATCTCATCTACGCAACCACCGCTCCTTGCACAAGAGGCACTTTTGGATTGTACACCAGGTGGCCATTCCTGTCCCCATGGCTGCTTGCCCCCTTGCAGGCACCCACCTAGTACTTTTCAGGCTGCCCCTGGCTCGATGGCAAAGGCTTCTAGCACCATGTGGACACCCGAGGCCACTAACCCAAGGGTAGCCAATGTGGTGCCCTCCAGAATTTTTGGACTACAACTCCCATCAGCCCCAGTTGGCATGACCAATAGTCAGGGATGATAGGAACTGTAGTACAAAACCCCTCGTGTTGGTTTCTTTTGCTCCAAGAAACTGTGAAGAACAAGCCTTGGTTTATTATTGTGGTTTGGAGGCAACATTGAGCCAGGGATCAAGGTTTACTTCCTCTGTAGAGGAACAAAAGGAGCCCAAATAGTTTAGGTCAGGCATTCCCAAACTCAGCCCTCCAGCTGTTTTGGAACTACAGCTCACATCATCCCTGACTACTGGTCCTGTTAGCTAGGGATGATGGGAGTTGTAGTCCCAAAACAGCTGGAGGGCCGAATTTGGGGATGCCTGGTTTAGGTGAACTGGACCTCTGGAGTTGTAGCCAACTGAAACTCATGGGTCTAAGCCATGCCCATTCGATTCAATGGGTCTACTCTGCACAGGACTAGCACTGCATACAACCCCATATCTTAGCCACAGTGAAGAGATCTTAAAATGTTACATCTGTTTCAGGCCTTACACTCTCTGGCCCAATCCATAACCTGCAGTGGCTGAGATTCCCAAAAGGTGAGAGTCTCAACGATGAGAACTTTTAAATCACAGGTGAGGCTTATGGCTGCATCCACAATAACACCGACTTTGAAGAACTCAAGCTGGCTGGGCTATGAATGAACCGCAGAGCCAGTAATGTAAGTAAAACCTGCAAATCAAGTTGCCACCTATTTTATAATTTAAAGCGCCTCATCACAAACCTCAAGCTTATACTCACAGGTCTGAGGAAAGGCTTCTGAACTTGTTTGGTGAGGATGTGGAACATATCGACTGTTTCTGTCGCCAGGGCCAGGTAAGAGCGTGACACCCTCTCATCCTGTGCCAGCTGAGACTGCCGTGCTTGTTGCTGGTCCTAGAAGAAAAGGCGCTGCAAATCAAACTGCCTCTGCCTCAGCATCAAATAAAACAAGCAGCTGGTATATGTTATCAAATTTCCAGCCACATCTTCCAGCAGCAAGACACCCTTGCTTCATCTCACTGCTCCCACCCCCAATATCACAAAGCACCAGATGCAACCAACATTAAGTTGCTATTAATTATTTTATATACTGCTTACTTGCCAAGGATGGCTTCTAAGCAGTGTACAAATATCCAAAACAAGACACAAATTAACAATTCGAAGTGTTAAAAACATCCACAACTTTAAAATCCAATGGAACAAGTCAGTTAAAAAACAGAACCATTAAAAGTTTAAGTTTTTTAAAAACCAAACATTAAGTTCAGGGGCATGCTTGCCTAAGAAGGTGCACCTTCAAGAGCCAGTGAAACACCAATACAGTGGTACCTTGGGTTAAGTACTTAATTCGTTCCGGAGGTCCGTACTTAACCTGAAACTGTTCTTAACCTGAAGCACCACTTTAGCTAATGGGGCCTCCTGCTGCCGCCGCGCTGCCAGAGCACGATTTCTGTTCTCATCCTGAAGCAAAGTTCTTAACCCGAGGTAATATTTCTGGGTTAGCGGAGTCTGTAATCTGAAGCGTATGTAACCTGAAGCGTATGTAACCTGAAGCGTATGTAACGCAAGGTACCACTGTACTGATGGGGATTATTTCAGTAGGGAGGGCATTCCACAATATGAAAAACACCAATGAAAAAGCTCACCTCCAGGAGTAATCAGGCTATGACAAAAATTAACAGGGTTCCATCTGTTGATATTTAATGCCCTTACGAGATAGTGGAGGAGAAGATGCTTTTTCAGATAACCTATCCAAAGTTATGCAGGACTTTATATTTAAGCAGCCAGGCCTTAAAACTGGCTCAGTGCCCAGGTTGTTGAAGGCAGGTGCCAACCCTTCTTGCGATACACTGGGGCACTTGCTGCATAGAAGGTGGGGTATACGAACTCAGAAAATGGCAGAGGAACCTCCAAAAGGAGACATTTGCTCACCCTGGGCAGCAAGTCCCAATGCTCTTTGTTTTTCATCTCCTCCTGCACTTCATGGATGCGTTTTAGGGACTCCAAACTCTCGTCCAGCAAGAACGTTGTGTCATTGATCAGCATATTGATGTAGCGAACAAATTGCTTCCCAGAGCTAGGAGAGAGAGGGAGATGGAGAGAGACAGAAGCAGAGAGTTCTAATGGAGATGGGATTCCTTGGTTCCAATATAGCAGAACGACTGAGCTGCAACCCCAGTGCTGTTACTTGGATCTGGCAGAGGTTCAAATCCCTGCTCAGCCATCTGTTACTGCTGTGCACCAGTTTCCCCACCCACAAAATGGAAATGGAACCTACCCCACAAGACTGTTGTAAGGAACACACAAGATTAAGACTAAATGCCTTTAATACAACTATTTATCTGTAATCCTGAACTGCTACCCTGCTCTTATCCAGTGCATCAAAGTCAGATTAATTCCCCTTTGGGCACTGCCTTCCTGCACAACTCTTTAAAAATGCTCTACCCAGGGAGAGGCACAAATACCAGACTGAAATGAGAGAGAAGGGAGGCACAGATTGACTGGCAGCACCTCTCCCAACATCTCAGGCAAAGGCCTTCTATATCACCAGGTACCTGATCTTTTTAAACTGGAGATGGTGGGGATTGGACCTGGGACCTTCCCCATGCAAAGAAGGTGATCTCTAACCCACTGAGCTATGGTCTCACCACAAAAGATGAGGGCCAGTCCAGAAACCCTTAAGACCCAGCCCCCACCATGCTGAAAGCCTTCTAACTCACTTGAACTCTTCCATGAAGGTGCCATGGTGAGCTATATTCTGCCAGAGGCTTTTGAAGATGGTGCTGATGTGGTAGCGAATTGTAAATTTGTCATAGAACTCGCTGGTGGCTCCGGTGTGTTCGACATCTGGGGAGGACGGAGGGAAACCCGTAAGTCAGACAATAAATCCACCACTTTGAAGTTAGAACGGAAGGGATATACCCTGTCGCCTCCAGAATGACCAGAAGATCAAGAGCTACCCCTTGCCAACATCCAAAAAGAACATCAAATCCAGGAGAAATGGTCCCAGTCATTGGCCAGAGGTCCAAGGGATACTGAACTGTATGTATAGACATAGAGATCCCAATTCTATAATCAGCCAAGGCGATCAACACCACTTCACATCCCAGGGCAGGGAGCTCTGGGTTTAAAGTTGAACCCAAACTGTGAGTCAGGCAGCAGCTAACCTGTATAAAACTTCATCAGCGACGGTACAAGCAACTTGGTGGATAGAGGATGGTTCTCAATCATCTCAAAGAATTTCTGTGTCCGTGGCTGGACAGCCGGGTTCGTCATAAACATCACCTCCACCAGCTTCGCCACCAGGTAGGGGTTCCGGATGTAGTTCTGGTTGCACAGCATCACAACGAGGAACGTCACAACGTCTTGGGTGCAAGGCTCATAAAGTACCTGAGGAGAATATCTGGCAACGGGGGGTGGGGTGGGATGAAAAACGGGCAAATGAGAAAACGGTCCTGAATGGAGAAGCACAACAGCAAGGTAAGCTGCTGGTTCAGCCCAAAGGCCTGTCTAATCTTCTTGCCTAAGAACATGGAAGGCTGCCTTGTAATGAGTCAGATCTTTGGTCCACTCAGCTCAATACTGTCTATGCAGACTGACACCAGCTCTCCAGTGTTTCCGGCAAGGTGTCTTCTTGGGCGCTTCTTGCAGATGCCAGGAAGTGCTCTAACACAGCCCTTCCCTTAAGACACAGGAACTTAGGAAGCAGCGTTATACAGGTTCAGACCACTGCGTCTATCTAGCTCAGTATTGTCTACACTGACTGGCAGTGGCTCTCTAGGGGCTACCAGGAGATGCCAATGGGGATCAAACCTGGGACCTTCTACATGCTACACAGATGCTCCAAAGCTGAGCAAAGGCCCTTCCTGCTATTTCCATACAGTGGCCAGATGCTTCTTGGAAGCCAACAAGAACAAGGTGGCAATATTACTTACTGTACAATAAAAAATAAAAATTCTGCGACATCTTCCACATAAAACTCAGGCAACGCTGCAAACACTTTCGGGACATCAGGGTTTAAAGGCAGTTTTATGCTGTGAACACAGGGAGGAGAGAAAGACCATTAAGTGCCTTGGGGCAGGCATCTCTCATAAATAGCTTTCAAAACTCTGCAAAGGGTAGGTAACTGGCTAAGTATGCCACCGTGAACCAAAAGCCACATACATGGAAAGCAAATTCACAGCCATATACCGTATTTTTTGCACCACAACACTCACTTTTTTCCTCCTAAAAAGTAAGGGGAAATGTCTGTGCGTGTTATGGAGGGAATACCTACGGGTGGCATGCCTACGGATTTTCCTCCTCTAAAAACTATGTGCGTGTTACGGTCGGGTGCGTGTTATAGAGCAAAAAATACGGTAAATACATTTTAAGGGTCATGCAAAAAATAAGTTAAACCCTATACTGTTTTAAAACAAAAGTATATGTATGCAATTTGTATGCGATTTCCTGTAGAGGTTTCATTTTAAGAGTAAGGAAACAAATCAAACTTTCCCCACCTGGCCCTCCAGCTGTTGTTGGAATACAATTCCCATCAGACCCATCAATAATGGCCTGCGATCAGGGATGATGGGAGTTGTAGTTCAGAGACATCTGGAGGGTATCAGGATGAGGAAGGGTGACAAGAGAAGGTCACATTCAACTAACTTCTTGTCACACTGAAATCAATAGACAAATTAATCATGTTTATTTATTCGACTGGGCCTACTGCAAGTAGGACTAACATTGGATACACATCAGAGTGTCAGGATGAATATTTCCTCCTCACTGACTTCAGGCTGCTTGGGAAGTGAGATGTTTTTTTAAAACTTCCCCATAAAGCATTATCTAGGCTTTTCAAAGCTGGTAACTGAAAAATGGCCTCACCTATAGGAGTCATTTTGGGGGCAGACACCTACTGTTAATTGGCAGGAGGTAGCTAGCGACTTGGCCAGCACAAAAAAGCACACTGGGTGAGATGAGGAGATCTCTAAATGCGACTCACTTGGGGTAGGCAGGGTCTAGGATCCGGAGCAAGAGCTGGATGACCATGCTGTAAAAATTCAGGCACCTTCTAAGGAAATTCTCGTCTAGGAGGCCGGCATCTGCACAGGCTTTGCACCGCACCAATTTCTGCACAGAGAAGTTGCCAGGACCCAAAAGTTAAGCAAAAGCGCCACACTAAAAATCAATATGTCCCACCCGCCCATACACAAACAAAATATTGCACTCAGAACAGCAAAGCATTCAAGTTGGGAGAAGCATACTCTGAAAGAAGAAGCAGTTCAATAAATGTTTGTTTGGGCAGGATGAACTGATTATACAGGGCACAAGAACGCAAGAGCCTGGTGTCTGGATCAGAGCAAAGGCTCATCTAGTCCAGCACCCTGGTCTTCACAGTGGACAACAAAGACAGGAGCCCACAAGCAAGGCAGAAGGGCAAGACTCTCTCCTGCTCTTGCCCCCATCCCCACCCCAGCAACTGGTAAGCAGAGATATGCCACTTCTGAACACAGAAGTTCTGCTTCACCATTCCTGCCTAGGGTTGCAGCAATGAATTAAATAATAATAATTATGTGTTCTGTGAAGGGTTCTCATCGGCCCTGAAATCTCCTGCCTATCAGCATCATGGGATGACCTCAAGATCTAGTAGTATGAGAGAAGGAGAAAATTCTTTCCCCAAACACCACTTTCTCCATGTGATGTGTATGTTTTCTACGCCTCTATCGTGTCTCCCTCTTACGCCTTACCTCTGTAATCATTTGTAGTCAAGGTTGGCTCCCTGAAACCCTCAAGGCGAAGCTGGAGCAAGGGACCAACTGGCTTTTGCCCGACCGCAGCTTACAAACCTTGAGCTGTGTTTTGCAGCGCTTTAGCATTTCTCGATGCCGTGTGGCCAGAGGAGAATCCTTCCACTGAGTTTCATTATTCTTCAAGTCCTCCACGGTCCTGTAAAAGTAAACCAAACAAGAGGAAAAAAATAAAAATAAAAATTGAGCAATTGTGGCAAAGGCAGAGAGCGCAAAGCACCAGAGAGGAAGAGGTAAATGAAACAGGACACAAGAAACTGCCTTATATCACGTCAGGCCACTGGGCCATCTAGGTCAGTATTGTCTATGCCAACCAGCAGTGGCACTCCACTGAACATTCCCAGCCCTCCTTGGAGACTCCACTGGGGATAGAACCTGGGACCTTCTGCATATGAAACAGATGCTCCACCACTAAGCTATGAACGTATGAACATAGGAAGCTGACTTACATCACACCAGACCATTGGTCCATCTAGCTCAATATTGTCGACATTAACTGGTAGCAGGGTTTCAGCGAAGGAGTCTTTGCCCATTACTACTTAGAGATGCTGGTTTGTAGTTGGCTGATGAATCTTCATTTGCTTGAACTATAGCTGGTATTATGTGTGAACCAAGCACTCTTCCTTAACTATGGTTTGTTTGACCACCCCAGAAGCTCATGAAACTATAGAGGCAAGAGCAGCTGCACAACAAGCCAAACCTTTGGCAAAACAAACCATGGCTTAGAGTTGCATTAGAACCAAGCCAACATCCACTTCTCCCCCTACTCAGCCCCCACAACCTCCCCTCAGCTGACTGAATCGCTGGCGCACCCAATCCTAGTTCCCTCCTGATACTGTGCATGCACACTACAGTAAGCATCCTCTTGCCAAGTTATGCTAGCGATTACTCAAAGCCACCTTTAGACCTCGATGAACAATGAGGCCATTGGTGGCCTGCAGAGCTTTCTGGGAACTGGCACGGCTCTCCAAGCAGACAATGCCTGCAGAGCTTGAGATCATCGGCAGAAGACAGGCTCCCTGCTTCCCACAGCCATCTGGATCTAGCAAGCCAGCCGCATGATGAGCCCCCATCTGCATTCACAACCTTTCTGCCACACATCAGCCAGCTCAGAGCTCTGTGGGTAACAAAAAACTGAAGGGACTCGAAGAAGGCAGGAGAAACTGGCAGACCGTTAGCAAAAGTTCTTGGGAGTATGGAGATGCCTTATTTATTTTATTTTTATTTATCTAATAAAATCTTTTCACTGCTTGATCGTAAAACAAAAACCCTCAAAGCAGTTTGCAGCAAAATTTAAGTAATGAGATTATCGGCAAAAACAAACTAAAGCATTCAGAAAGTAATTTAAGTCGACAGCAGGCTAAAAACCAGATTTAGAAAATGTCAACATTCCACACGTTCCTCACCTGTTGAGCTCCCGGATGGCCCTCAGTCGACGGATGTATCGACGGCAGCTTGGCAAGATAGACAGGTGATGGGCATGGAGGGTCAGGAAGAAGCACTCCGTTGGAAATTTCGGCTCAGAAAAGAGGGACTGATCCCTAGCTGGGGAAAGGAGAAGGAACAGGATAGAATTGAGAAGTTAGGGTGCATTCAGACATGGGAAATATTAAGATAAGCTTTCCTGGTTATAGTACTAGAGCTTCCGTCCCAGTTTTTCCTTTCATGCCTGTTACGTTTTGGACCAATACACTGGCCTGCTGGACTAAATTCCATTCACATCAGTGGGCATGGTGTGGCCCAACAACAAAAGTTGCTGGGCAACGTTGCTAAAAGGTTATGCTTTTAAAGCTAGTATCTCCCATGTCCTTAAGTTATACAGTGGTACCTCGGGTTACAGATGCTTCAGGTTACAGACTCCGCTAACCCTGAAGTAGTACCTCGGGTTAAGAACTTTGTTTCAGGATGAGAACAAAAATCACGCGGTGGCAGTGGGAGGCCCCATTAGCTTAAGTGGTACCTCAGGTTAAGAACAGTTTCAGGTTAAGAACGGACCTCCAGAACGAATTAAGTTCTTAACCCGAGGTACCACTGTACAGCACCTATGTATTAACTGTGTTGATGCTGACACTGCCTGAACAGCGGACAGATATAGCTGAAACCAGTGCAGAAAGTGGTGAATGGGAGAACAGGGGAACCACCATGCAGCATGGAATATTCTCCCCATGTAGCAACATACAGAAATTGCCCAAAGCCATGCTGGGGAACCTGCGGCCCTTCAGATGTCATTGGGCCACGACACCCAGCATCTCTGACTCTTGGCAATGCTGGCTAGGGGGGATGAGAATTGGAGTCCAGCAACATCTGGAAGGCTGAAGGTTCCACATCCTTGCAGTAAGGAATCTTATAAATGAAGTACCCGCTATCTGCCATGACAAATGGCCTGTCTCTCATTTGCTTTGTAAAGTTTTAGCCTCTGGTGGTGGCTCATGCCCTGGATGCAACTGTTAACTGTGGGTGGGGAAAAGCATCTTTCTTCTTAAACAAGTTTCTAGACCTTAAGGCTGCAAAGCTAGATGTGAAAAGTGTGCATGGGACCAACAGTGAAATCTCAATGCCAGGGGTCAAGCAAGATTTCCTGTGTTCTAGATAGCTCTGCCTGTTCCACAGACTACTGGAAATTCAAATGGCCAATACATTAAAAACAATACTTAATTTCAAAGGTCCCACAACTCTATTTTCCTTAAAGCATAAGCTAGGTTACCTTGGAGCAGAACTTCTAAACACACAGCCCCGAATAAAACAACCCACATATTTGTTTTTGCACATCTGCCAAGGAACAAAAAGATGGAGACAACAGCAGCCATCTGTAACTCACACAGCTCAACCATCCAGCTGCCAACATCCTCCATGGTAGCTTTCACTCGCGTCTCATCCGCCGGGAGTACAATGCGACACCGAGGATGGAAGATGTAGGAGGGGTCAACCGTCTCAAGCTTGATCTTCGTGCTCAGCTGCTGAAGCACCCACAGGAAGTTGAGCATAAAGCCGTCTGTAGAGACCAATCTGTCATCTGTCTGCAAGTCCAGGAGAAAGGGAACAGAGTGCTATCTAAGAACAGGAACTTCAGGGAGACAGCCCCATATCTAAAGCTGGGCTCAAGGGTATCTTAAGGACAGCCTTCCCACTTGTGATCTGGGGTGGTGGAACCCTTTTAAGTCCAAGGGCCGCATTTCCTTCTGGGCAACCTTTTTAGGGGCCACATGCTACTGGTGCACAAGGCCAGAGAGAAAAGTGGGTGGGGCAATTAATGCAACTATTACCTTTGTACAGTAGGCAAGCTTCTACGCACACTCAAAAATCTGTCTTTATCCTCCACCCAGGCAAGCAAGAGGCATTATCAGAGCTCAAGGATAAATTCCAGACAGGCACAAACACTCAAGGAAGGTGTGAAGAACGGGTGGCAAAAGGGAGAGTTCTAAAGGCCAAACAAGAGGCCTGGAAGGCCACATGCGGCCCCCGGGCACAAGGTTCCCCCACCTCTAATTTAGAGCATCGCAAGAGGGTTTGCTCTGAGTACTGCTGGCAGTGTGCCTTTGGAATTACCCTCCCCAGAACTGTTTGCCTAGTGCCTACAGAGCTCTCAGCTGCTAAGCCATAGATTTTACCTTGACCGCCCCCTAGCTGGCCTGAAAAAAGCCACCATCTCTCCCAGCTTCATTTCCCCCACTTGCATATTTTATAGGCTCATAAATATACACTGCACAATAAACTAAGTATCTAGGCAGGGAAAATTAACACATCTATAAAGCAGCAGAAAAAGACTTGACACCTGGACAGCGATACACAATAACCCATGGACTGAGCTACACATCAGAAAAGTCCTGTGTAAGCAAAAGGCGTTTGAAAAATGCAAGTAGAAATGATGATTGTTTGCAATTAATAGGCAAGGAATTAAACAATCTAGGCTGGAACATAACATTTTATCATCAAAATCATCACAATCATCATCATTTTATCATCATCCTGCCTGACTGGGACTCAAGGTGGCTTACAGCTAAAATAGAAACAGCTAAAAACATTTTTGGGGGGCGAGGGGGAACCAACCATTAAAAAATAATTAAACCCTAAACCCCCTATTTATTGCAGAAGACAAATGCCACGTGGCACACTTAACAGTGCCTCTTTGGCTGAACATAAAGATCGGGCAGTTATATAATGTGCGGGGATTATACTGATTTACCTGTTGAGAGGATTATAACTAGACAATGCACATTAAGTGCTTACAACACTTAAAAGCCCAAGATAAAAATATTATTCTCTTCCCAGACCCGGCTTTTATTTATGTAAATATTCTGAAGGCACTTTTTCAGCCCTGTTTGTGCCCCCCCCCCAAAAAAAACCATGGCCCTCAAGTCTAACACTACAAGATACAATTTAGCCAGTTAGATGCAAACAGACTTTTTTTTATAAATTACAACAACAACAACAGAAGTAAAACAAAACTCAAGGAACAGCCAGCAAAAAAAGAAAAGGGGAAATGGTATGTTTAAAAACTGCTGTTTCAGTTGCAATATCTTCTGCTCTGATTCGTATGGAGTATTTAAAAGCTGCAAACTTTTAAATTTTAAAAGCTGCAAGATTAATTGGAATGGGGCAGGGTGCAAGCAAAATTACAATTAAAATGTCATGACTTGCTGGTTATTGACAAGTCAAGGCTCCAACACTGATTGTCAAAGCAAGTAACACTCCCACTTCCTCAAAGGGAAACAAAAGTGGCTCCCTAACAGGTAGCAGAGGACATCCTGGGATGTCAGGAGGGGCAGGGCATAAGCAACAGAAACATGAGAGGTGGAAATCAAAGACTGCTGGCTGATATCCTTATGCAGAGCAGACGGACAAGCATAGCGATGCAAAGGCTGACAATATAAAACTGAGGACTAGAGGCTTGGTTGCAGGAAGGTCAGTGCAGAGGGTGGGTGAGGGTGCTCATGGCAACAGAAGAGACAGCTGAGTTTACAATTTCAAGTTGATCAAAGAGGGGAGAGGGACACAATAAATGTGCTAACAGGCTTTCACGACCAATCTGGACTGCGGGCACAACTTCACCTGCATCTGGGCCTTCTTCATGTTGGCGTTGACCATGGCTGCCATGTAGCTGAGAGCTGCCTCTCGGGTTTCTCCGTTGAGTAACACACTATGCAGGATCTTAAACAGCTCTTGCTGAAGATTTTTACAAAAGGAAAGTCAGAAGCAAGTTAAGCGAGCAACTGCAGCTTACAATGTCAGGTTTCACTGTGAAACAGCTGTGTAGCACAGCCTTGGTGGCGCTCTCTGGATGTCTTGGGCTCCCATCAGCCCCAGCCAGCATGGCTAGCAGTCAGGGATGATGGGATCTGTAGTCCCCAAAACACCAGGTGGGCACAAGGCTGGTGCAGAGAAAGGTCACATTCACACCATACATTTAAAGCTATATGATACCATTTTAAACAGCTGTGGCTTCCTCCAAAAGAATTTTGGGAGCTGTAGTCTGTTAAGGGTGCTAAAGAGCTACAATTCCTACAATGGCTTAACAGTCAATCCGTCTTCACAGTGAATTCTGTGAACTGTAGCTCTGTCAGGGCAATAGGGATCTCCTAACAACTCTCAGAACCCTTAAAAAACTCCAGCTCCCAGAATTCTCTTGGGGGAGGCCAAGTAGTATCATAGTGCTTTAAAAGTATGGTGTTAATGTGGCCAGGGTCTTAGCATAGTTGGAAACTTCGGTTACACAGCAGCTGTAGTCTTTATTCCCCTAATGCTTCTAGATTTTAAGATGACCTCGCAAATATTTATCAAAAGTAAGGCTTGTATCCAACTCAGAGCAGACCCATTTAAATAAATGGGCCTAGGTTAGTTTTGTCCTTCAGTGGGTCTGCTCTGAGTATGGCTAGAACTGGATTCAACCCTAAAGCTACAAGTTTTAAATAATCAGTTAAAAGTAATTGAAAATATTTTAAGTGATTACACTTATGCCCATAATTAATCAGGCAACACATTTAAAAATGTGAAGTTTCTAAAATATATATTAAATAAATAAATAAATAAATAAATATGCAGACAGCAGCAGTCATCTGAGAAGATGAATTCCCCCTTCGCTCTCAGGCACAGGAAATAACACCTGTTGCAGCAGGAACCATCTAAGGACCAAAAGCGGTATGCAGCAATGTTTTACTCAGAGTTGATCTACTGAAATCAATGGACCCAACTGGGTCATGTTTATTCATTTCATTAGGTCTGCTCTGAGTCAAATGTAGCTGAATACCACTCCAAGGACTGTGACCAGCTTTTTATTATTATACTGATTTGTTTCATAAAATTTATACACCTCTTGATTTAGGTTGCGTGTTTTTTTACAAGGCGGTTTACTAAAAAAAGTTTAAATGATAAAATCAGTGCTTTTTTTCTGGGAGGACACAGGGGTACACACACATACCCCTAAACATTTTGTGAATCTTTGTACTTTTGTCCATCTACTGTATGTATTTTTCCTGATTTGAACTATAAAATGGTGATTTTCTTGAGTCAAAAATGAGAGTACTCCTAAGCATTTTTTAAGGGAAAAAAGCATTGGATAAAATTATCCATAAGAATTAACAACAACTTTCAAAAAGTTAAAATAAGAATAAACTAAGAACAGATTAAAACTTGCAACGACTTTCTAAATACAGTGGTACCTTGGAAGTTGTACGGAATCCGTTCCGGAAGTCTCTTCGACTTCCAAAACCAAGACACGGCTTCCGATTGGCTGCAGGAAGCTCCAATCAGAAGCTGTGCCGGACGTTCGGGTTCCACAGAACGTTCGCAAGCCGGAACACTCACTTCCAGGTTTGCAGTATTCGGGAGCCAAAATGTTCAACTTGCAAGGTGTTCGGGATCCAAGGTACGACTGTAGCAGAGTAGGCTTGCTTTTAAGCAGGCACCAAAAAGTGTACAGTAAAGGCACCTGCTTGATGTCAAGGGTAGACTCACTGCGATGAATAGGACCTAGGTTAGTCATGTCCATTCATTTCAGTGAGTCTGCTCTGAGTATGGTTGATGCTGACTGACAGGCTTAGCAAAAACATTTTCTCAAACAAGATAAAAAGCAGCCAATTCCTCTTCAGCACACCTACCCTTGCGGATTCCAGGTAATGCTGCAAAGACTGGCTAACCACCCTGGTGTTTTCGAGGGTAATGGCAGGTCCAGAGAAATATTTTTCGACCACTCTAGGCTGCAAGGAGGAAAGGGGGGGGGAGTCAATGAACAACACAGGTATGTTTTATTTAAAGTACTTGTAAAGACCATGTTTATGGGCAGAATCAATTTCAAGGCAGCTTATGATATAGAAATGCAATAAATAATTAATGATATACAGCATGCTTAATATCCGGTAAAATTAGACTAACACCCAACAAGCCCAGAATTAAGTAAACTAAAAACCATGGTTTGCATCTAATGCTAGTCCTACTCTGAGAAGATCTTCTGAAATGAATGAACATAACTAGCTTAGGTCCATTAGTTTCAATGAGTTTACTCTATGTAGGACTTAGTTGGATACAACTCTATCACTCTTGCCATAAAGCCAAAAAACACAAACTGGAGCAATAGCCAGCGAGAACCAACACGTTTTAAGGCCTCTCCTGAATGCTTGTGGTGATAAGGGTTGGTGAACTCCCAACAGAAACTTATTCCAGAGGTGTGGGGCCAGTACAAAAAAGGCCTTGTCCTGCATGCCTGCCGACCTAACAGCCCTCTGCAGTGGGTGCATAAGAGGTTGCAAAAGGAGGGAGAGGCTTTTAAGGTAGACCACAGAAGACTAGACAAAACTTATTTGCTGTAGCAGAAGATCTTTTTGATTTGGTCTCATTCACTCATCACTTACATCATCTTCAGCAAAGACAGAGAGACTGAAGAAAGCCCCGAGGTAAGAGAGTCTTTGCAGTTCCCGACCTGTCCCGGGGCTCAGAGACTTCGGCAGCCACAAAGGCAAAGACACAACCTGTGGGTACAAGAGGGTGACAGGGAAATGACTGGCATGTGGGCTGGAAGCTTCTAAATTGTTCTGCTGCCTGTTTGATCGCCCCTTGCTAGAATCTGATGGATGCTGAGCACTGGAAACCAGCATTAACTCAAAAGGAATTGTAAGAATTTCCACTTACCACTTACTTGGTAAGGTTTTCCACTTACCAAACTGCACACGGGGTGAGATTTCCCAAACTTGATTTCACATAGTTCACCTAAAGCCTAAAAACAGAAACAAAAATAAATGAGAGAAACAAAATGACCCAAGGACATTTCTACACAGGTTCTTTGGCTGACTAATGGAAAAAAAGAACCACATGTTGGATGGAGGGCTCTTAAAAGAGTTGCATCTTAAGAAGCTGTCTTTCTTTGGACTCTTCCAGTGGCTAGCTTGTTATGTTAGCTATGTGTGACCTCCTGGTTCAAAATACCAGCTGCCACAACCTTGGGAGAGGGGCTCTAGTCTTCATGCCCCTGTGAGTGGGCTTTCCAAGAGGCTCCTGGCTAGCCACAGAGGGAAATAGGATGCTGGACTGGATGGCTTAAGAGCTTAACCTGGAGAGTTGCTTGGGAGTATGTGCAGTCATGTCTCAGAAGTTATCAGAGGTAGATCAACAGCTCCTATGACCTATAAGCAGTATGAAGACTCTGAATTGGCTAGTCCTAGTATATTTATGCTGGGGACCTGACCTCCCACTCAGCATAAGAATGTAAGAAGAGCCTGCTGGATCAGGCCAATGGCCCATCTAGCCAGCCACCCAGTTGTCTGTAGGAAATCTACAAGCAGGGCCCAAGCAAAGAGCACTTCCCCTTCCTGTGGCTTCCAGCAATTGGTATTCAGACGCATTACTGCCTCTTGGCCATGAAGGCAGAGCAGAGCAATGATAGCAGGACATCCAGAGAACTCCAGATTTTCCAACTCAAACAACAGCTGGAGCACACAAGCTCCAGGTCTAGATTTCTGAGCCAGGCCACAACAGTTTTCCTCCCCAATTTCAGCTGGAAGCAAGTTCTTACAAGGGATGAAAGGACAACCTGCCAACTCTAAACCAGGAGTGGGGAACCTGCGCCCCCACCAACTCCCAAGAGCTTCAGGTAGCACAGCCTACAGTCAGAGATGATATGAATTATACGGCTAACCTGATCCAAAACACTCACCCACCCCACTCACACATGAAAACAAAGACCACCACAGCCAACCACAAATGAATAACCACACCCTAGGCCAACCCCAACCTCTCTCACCACCAAAAGAACACAAGTGAACAGCAAAGAACCTGCACAAGCAACGCTGACACCAAACCCTACATATAGTAAGTAAAATAGAAACATCGCCACCTGACCCCCCCATCTCCCCCCCACCTCTTTCCCCCTTTTCTTCCTAATGTCTCAACAAATGAAACTGATTTGTAAAAATGTTACATGGGAAAAAAAATATGAGAGAGAGACATTGCACACACTTTTGTAAATCAAGAAAATCTTTAATAATAATAAAAAGAGATGATACACGAGTTGAAGTTCAGGAACATTGAGAGGGGCACAGGCCTTGCCTTTATTTAATAGCTTTTTAGTCTGCCCTTGAAAACAAAAATCCTTCCTCTGGTCAGTTTACACAACATCGCTCAATGAAAACACAAGTAGCAAGGAGGAGAAAAGCCCGTACAGATCAATTAAGGGCTAATTGTTCTTTAAAAGGTTTGGGGTGATAACCTGGCAGAGAAGAAGTTTAACGCTCTCAGGTCTGTCTCTCTGGGAGAGAGTCTTGCGCAGGCAGAGGGGACGTCACCAGCAAGGTGCTGTCTGCCCCTCGCCACTCCTAATGCAATGGACGCAACACAGACTTACACTTCAGCATAAGGGACAAAAATGCATTCCATTTATCCACATCTCTCCCATTCAGGTCAAAATCTCTACCAAATTCAACTTATGGTTCATCTCCTTTTTGCTCATAAGAAGTTAAAATGGGCACCGCAAGGAGAGAACACATTGCATTTCTCAAGCCAGCAGTCAAGTTCTTCCCATCTCTGCTGCCTAGCCAAGTGGCTGGCAAACTCCAAAACGACCAGGCAAGGGTTAAACAGCGCTTGGGGAAAATAGATCTATTGTTCTCAGTGCACCAAGGGCCCCTTTTGTCTTGCAATGTGAGAGCAGAAAGTCGTTGGATGATGTTGAGAACCCATGACAAAAAGAACTTTCATCTACATCCTCCCAGTGGGTCTGGCAGGCAGGACAGAATGAAATCGAAGGAAATTCAGAAGGACAATGTGCCACACATCCTGGATGTGTTATAGCACAACATATATACTCCTTTTTTAACTCTCTCCAGCACTATCATTCCAAAGACATGAGGTTAGGGAATACTATAACTGCTGCCACTGTCACTACTTGTGGATACAGGCAGCCCCCCTTACACGGGGGTTATGTTCCGAGGCACCATGCACGTCAGAAAGATCATGTAGAATTGAAACCCAGTGAAAAAGCCTGCAAACACCCTGTTCCACCCTTTTAGTGGCATTTCAGCGACATCTTTATGACGTTTCCGGGTTTGTTGCGATGCATGTTAGCTCTCTCCATTAATTTCAATGAGTCTACACTTGGTTGAGACTAACCCTGATCTAGAGTCTTGTTATTTAATAAGCAAATAATAAAATCCATAGTCTTAACTGCTATGCTACACCACCTCTTGCGTATATACACACACAGTGGCTGATTCAAAATTGAAACGCTAATTTAAATAAAATACTGGCTTAAAAATCAAACACGACAAGATCCACAATAGAAATAGGAGCAGTTTCAACACTAGTAGCAGAGACATAAAATCAAAACCATGGGAAAGTCTGAATAAAATTGCATTCAAAAACGTCTGAATTAAATCGAAATCTCTGGCTGCCTAAATGCATCCATGCGAGACACATTGTCCATATCAAGCCATGTTGCACAAGAGTGGAGCAAACAGACACAGCAATCACAGAGGGATCTTTTCTCTTTTTTAATCAAGAGTCTGCTCGGCTTGAAAGAGTCCCTGCTGCTCTCTGCAGGGACATTTCAGTTCTACTCCAAACAAAGCCTCTCTCCCATAAAGCAGACGGCCTGATTCCTATGCTAATCACACCCTACTAAACTTCCAGGTTCTCACTGAGCTGGTACACCTGTGGCAGAGATGCACAGCTTCAGACTGCAGGTGGGGATTGAATGATTCAGTGCTCCTACCAGGGTGGGGGCAGGAATACAAGTGAAGGGCTATGCTAGATCTTTATTCTTTGCATGCTAGTTCTCCATGTGCTGTACTTACGGAGGAACAGTCTATCATGTGATATCCCTCCCCATCCCTCCAACACTGCAGTATGAAGTGATGTGGCCCAGTCACAGGCTGACCACCTCTAAGAGATAGGTGGGCAAGATACAGCCCTTGACCAAATTTCATATGGGTAGCAAAAAGAGAGGAAAAGGAGAACGGCCAAAAATAGCCCCACCCACAAAAAATAACACCCTACAGAATGCAACCCTGGACAGGAAAATCATCATCATCAACAACAACAACAACCACAACAACATTGTTCATTGCCAGGAGAAATTGTCTATCTACCTGGTGCAGACTACCAGCAGATGGAAGGTTATGTACAGGGAGAAAACTGAGGAAGGCTACTCACCATTAGGGGGTATTTAAAATTGTCACTATCAAGGGAACACTCTTTCGAAGCCACAGCCAGGCCTTGTAAAATGGGGATAAATATCTGTTCAGAGAAGAAGGAAAAGGGAGAAAGAGAATCATGACTCTTGTGCTTTCCAGTTTAGCAGGCAAGGCTAATCTGTATTATTGTGTATTATGACATTATCAATTATGATGATGATGATTTAAATTTATATACCACCCTTCATCCGTAGATCTCAGGGTGGTTCACAACATAATGACTTTGCATAGCTTATTATCATTAACTTTAAATGGATGACTATTTAAGTTATGTATTGTATGAGTATTATGTTAGGCTATGTATGTTTACTACGTTCTATGCTGTAACCGGTCCTGTGGTCTTTTGACAAAGGGCTGCATATAAATTTCAACAAAATAAAAATGAATAATCAAGCCCGGTTTCCATGCAGCCCCTGGGTATGTATAAACTAGCTAGAACCAGGCTTACAGCATTATTGCTATTATTATTACCACCATCATTATAATCATCGCTGTATTTTTGCAGATTTGCAGATAACATTATTATACTGCAAACCAACTTAGATGTTTTACTGCAGTCAAGCAGTCTATACATTCCATCAACTAAATAACAGACCACCATTTCAACACAAGTTTTCAGGGCAGTGAACGCTTAACTAAAAAAGAAAACACAGTAATAAAACTATAAAACAACAATATCTCAAGAACAGTCAACAGCAGAATATAGTCACAAAACAATCAACAGCAAAATCATCCTGTTAACCCCCATAAGCCAAATGTAACAGCTGTGTTTCAGTAGGTGACAAAAAGATGTAAATGAGGGATTGAGCGTATCTCCAATGAGACGGAATTACAAAATGGGGGAGCCATCACCAACTAGACCCTATCTATGACAGTCTCATGCACCAGTATTGTTTTTAGTGAAGTTCATATGCTTTTAAGGGCATGCTAATCATTATACCACTTAGTATGCAGCATCAGACTGCAATGGGGGGGGGGACTGACACTCTCTTGAAACTTGAGGTCCTTGTGCTCTTATTTCCTTCAAGCCCCTCCCTCAAAATTCACTTGACCAGAGCCAGGAATACTTTGGAACAACCCCTAGTCCTAACACCCCGTTGTAACTAAGTCAACATACATGCAATTTAAATATTTGCGCTCCTCCTTCCTTGCATGGCCATGCATTCATCCCACCTCCTCTTCTGTAATTTCCTTGTATCTATTTTTAGATTGCAAGCTCTTTGAGGCAGGGCAGGGAGGGACACATCGAACTCGTTCTTTTATAATGTGCCATGTACAATGATGGTGCAGCAGTATGGATAAAGAGACGTGAACAGAATCACCCTTCTGCATTTATTACCACAACAGCTCGGAAAGGAAGTTTTGGCTCAAAGATTGTGATTGGGCCAGGAACACCCACCTGAACGGGAGTTTGCATTACACTCTCCCTAGCTGAAAGTGCAACACACTAACCCCAACACCAGTGGAGCCAGTGTGCTGGTGTGGCTAGACCTGGGAGGCCAGGGTTCAAATCCTCAGTCATACAGCTGACTGGGTGATCTTGGACCAGTTCCTCACTCTCAGCCTAACCTACCTCACAGGGTTGTTGTGATTATAAAATGGGGAGAACTATGCATGCTACCTTGGGCTCACTGGAGGAAAGGTGGGATATACTTGCAATTTTATCTATATGCGCGCACACACACACCCCTGTGAATTGCTGTAGGTTATGTGTATAATGCCCAAAGTGAACAAGGCCCCTGCACAGAGTTTGCGTTCCGTTATTTGGTATTGTTGCAAGTCACTAAAAACGACCGGTCACTTACCTGTTTGAACACCTCTTCATCCTGATGGGTCGTTCTCACCAGCTCTTGGATGAAGCCAAAAGGGAGATTCCTACAGAGCATGTACGGGACTAGCAACGACTGCTGCTGTAATGACCTTATGCACGAGAAGGAGGACATGGGGTGAAGATTGGGAGGAGAGGGGCTCACGAAAATACCACCCAACAGATGGCAACAAGCAGGCCCAACTCACCTCGGTTGCGTTAAGGATCCTTGGAGCACCAAAGCAGCATGGGAAATGCATTGAGATCGGATGTTGCTCAGTAACTGGCTCACCACCGGCTGGCTACACATCTAAGGGAATAAATGGAGTAATGACTGCCAGCAATGCTGGGGCCCAGCCGCTGCAAACCCTAAAAGCAAAGTGGCACATTTCTTCCTAAAACCTTTTACCTCAGGGGTGGGGAACAGCTGCAGCCCTCCAGCTATTGCCAGACTGCAACCATCCCAAACCACTGGTCATCCTGACCAGGGCAACATAAAGGTGATTTAAAAACATCAGTAGTGTTAGTAATGAATTTGTGGCAATTGAAGGTAGATTTTGGTACATTATTTTTCCAGGCATCAAAAGTTTGCTATAGCCAGTGGTGTAGCGTGGGGGGTGCAGGGGGGGCCGGCCGCACCGGGCGCAACTTCTGGGGGTTAGGGTTAGGGGGCGCAAATCCACGGGTTAGGGGGCACAAATTACTTGCCTTGCCCCGGGTGCTGACAACCCACGCTACGCCACTGGCTATAGCTCACAACAGTATTTATTTATTTGTAGCGCATTGCTGTTGTTATATTATTATTATTATTATTATTTTTATTTTTATTATTATTATTATTATTAGAATTTATATACTGCCCTATACCTGGAAGTCTCAGGGCAGTTCACAGAACAAAATCAAAATATAAAAATATATAATCAAAATATATAATCAAAATAAAAACAATAATACAACCCCCCCCAAAAAAACCCCACCACATTTTAAAAGGGCATAAGATGTCAATCAAATCATCCAAAGGCCTGGTTAAAAAAGGAGCCGGGTGCATGGCGCCTAAAGGTGTATAATGAATGTGGCAGGCGAACTTCCCTGGGGAGAGCATTCCACAGACAGGGTGCCACTGTGAAGAAGGCCCTGCTCTTTAGCAAAAAATGCTCAAACTTCTTCTCTGGGTTGGAGGGATCTGGAGTGGATATTGCACCTTAAAATTCCTTTCCCCTCCCAAAAAAAAAAGAAAAGAAAAGAAAAGAAGAAAAGAAGAAGAAGCAAAAACTGATTGCAGAAGAGGATCTTTCTCCTCAACATACCTTTGGTGCTTTTCTCTCCTCTATCCCCACTCGGTCAAAACACTCAATGAGGTAGTTCAGCATCTCAGTTTCCTTGCATGTCTCGATGGTGAAGTGGTCGCTGCATGAGTCAGAAATGCTGGCTCCTCCAGAGCCTCCACCACTTTAAGGGAATAAAGGAAAGAATCATAAGCTAAGTGGCTGTAAAGCCACTTCTTTCCACAGCAGTCAGTGAAAGTTGGCTGTCCATAGAGGGAGAGCTGTGGCTTTGCACCACTTGCACAGAGAACTCTCCACAGAAAAGCGTAGACCCACAACAAGAGTTGTTCACATCTTTTAATTTTCCGCTCTGGTGGCAGTACTACTTAATTTTTTTAAAAGGTTTGCTGGTCCGCAAACAACCTGGCTCTGTCTCCATTCACAGAAACATAGAATTGTAGAGATGGGACTGGGACCCCAAGTGTCATCTAGTCTAACCCTCTGCAATGCAGGAATCTCAGCTAAAGCACCCATACCAGATGGCCATCCAATCTCTGCTTAAAAACCTTCAAGGAACCAGAGTCCATCATCTCTTGCGGGAGTCCGTTCCACTGTCCAACAGCTCTTGCTGTCAGAAAACTCTTCCTGATGTTCAGTTGGAATCTCCTTTCTAATACTCATTGATGACCATGTATTAGAAGTCATATCAGAACAGGGGCCTACACTCAAAAGGCACTGCTCCTTGTTGCAGTGGCAAAAACTGATTCAATCCATATGAATCGTGCAATCGGTGTAGGCCCTATTCTAATATGGCAGGGATGGGGAACCCCCTTATCAGCCAGACAGCCACATTCCCTTCTGGGAAAATGTACTCAGGCTTTAGATACCAAGGAGACAGCCTTCCTGATCGGCCCCACAGAAACGAGGCAGATCCTCAGTGCCTGCTTGCACCTATGTCAGGCACATAGGATAGCCAGCCAGTCTGCTCTGTGAAAAGCTGGTATATTACTCAGCGTCATCATTCAGTGACAAAGCACATGCATTGCACACAGAAGGTCTCCAGGTAAGACTGAAATGCTGCTAATTAGTGTAGACAAGGGGTGAGGAACCCTTTTTCAGTTCAAGGGCCACATCCCCTTCTGGACAACCTTCTACTCCAGCACCCTGTTCTTACAGTATCCAATCAGATGCCTTCAAGCAGGACCTGAGCGCTAGAGCTCTCTTTCCTCCTGTGGTCTCCATCAACTGGTATTTAGAAGCATTGCTGCCTTCACCTGTGGAGGCAGAGAATGGCCATCCTGGCAAGTAGCCACTGATAGCCCTCTCCTCCACGAATTTGTCCGATCCTCTTTTAAAGCCATCCAAGGTTGGTAGACATCGCTGCCTCCTTTGGCAGCGAGTTCCATAGTTTATAACTACGCACTGCATGAAGGACTTCCTTTTATCTGTCCTGACATCCGCCTTAAAGGAAAGGCATCCTTAATCTGAAAGACCCTAGAGCTACATTTAGATCACTTGCTGAGCAAACAGGGAAGCCTCCATCCTCAGTAACAACACACACACAGCAACACACACACACACACACACACACACACACACACACATATATTGTGGAGATAAAAGCAACCCTCTCTCTTAAGTAATCATATACCAGATGCCAAACACACCACCTACAGTCTCCAGAAGGCAGCTTATCATATAACATTTGCTTTACAGATTAAGAAAGGCTGATCGCTGTACACTTTGAAATCAGCCACAAGAGCTGGTTAAAATTCAGGCAGAATTACCATCACAGCACACCAAGGATATATGCATGTGTGGTGTGTACGTGTACACTCTCTCTCTCTCTCTCTCTCTCTCTCTATCTAATTGCTGAGATAGATTTTCTGTTCTGTCTGCAGCCTTTATTAACACTTTTTTTTTAATGTGCTGGCTATTCTTTTAAAAAATTTATTTTATGCTGTTAGCCGAATTTCCCTGGTGGGAGGGAAGTGGAATAGCCCTTTTAAGTACGCACAGAAATAAAACTGGCCAGCATTAACATTTTGCAGTCAATCATCTGCAAAGCAACAGACAGGACATCCTCTTCTGATTCACAGGCTCCTCCCATCCTTAAACCAATTAATTAGCAGCTCCAGCCAAGGAACTCTTTCACACCTTCCATCATTAAACCTGCACAGTCACTTATGATTAGCATTTCCTTTACCTTGAAGACAACATCTCTCAGATATATATATAAATATATGCTGGCTAGGTAGGACTCATTCTGTCTGTTTATGCTTTTGAGCCATTAATAGCCTGCAAGGTCACCTTGCTTCCTAGGAGGAGGGTCCGTGTGTCAGTAGAATAGTATACCCCCTGCACACCTGGTTATACTGCAGGTGCAATGACAGGCACCTGCATTTTATCACAGCAACACACAATAACGGCAAATTCCTGGCTTCTCAGGTGTGTGAAACAACCCTGGAAGGGTACATGTCTTAAAATGAAGGAAGGATGAGAGGTGCTGACTCTTTTACAACAACATGCAAAAGTAGTCAGGGGACAAGCAAAGTATGACTACTTTGCAAGAGAGCGGGATTTTTATCACCTTTGTTAATGATAAAACTAATGATTTATATCCTTTTCTCCATTGTATGATGGTTTGGACATCTTAAAGTGAACTGCTCTTTTGCTAGATTTAATATATTCTGGTATGTGTTATGATTCACATATAAATTGATATTTACCATGTTTGCCTGCTAAGGGGCATTCACATAACACCTGGTCTGTTGGGTTTTGTTTTGGGGGTTTTTTGGTTGGGGAGAGATTTGGTTTTGTTCAGTTGGTCAGTTCATTTATTATAATGGTTCTGTGTATGCTTAAAAGGTAAAGGAACCCCTGGCCGTTAAGTCCAGTCGCAGACGACTCTGGGGTTGTGGCGCTCATCTCGCTTTACTGACCGAGGGAGCTGGCGTTTGTCCGCAGACAGCTTCCAGGTCATGTGGCCAGGATGACTAAGCCACTTCTGGCAAACCAGAGAAGCACACGGAAACGCCGTTTACCTTCCCGCCAGAGCGGTACCAATTTATCAACTTGCACTTTGATGTGCTTTCAAACTGCTAGGTTGGCAGGAGCAGGGACTGGGCAACGGGAGCTCACCCTGTTGCGGGGATTCGAACCGTCAACCTTCTGATCGGCAAGCCCTAGGCTCTGTGGTATAGATCACAGCGCCACCCACGTCCCTGTGTAGTATGCTTGGTGTAACGCAATTGCTTTATTCAACTTCCTCTGCTTATGTATTACTTATCCTTGAAAACATACTAAGAATTATCCCAAATTAAAAACAGAAACAGCATGATGCTCCATACTCTGACCCACAGTTGTTGCTAGAGGCACCTCATCAGCACAGGATTCACTTCCATGTCCACACCGAGCGACTCCAGTTCAACTGACCCCCTTGAAGTGCTTTAGGGTTCCTATATAGCCACCAAGACCAGGCCACATGGGTACTGAGCACTGGAAGGAATCCAGCATTGCACTGCTACCAATGTTCTGCTTCTGCTTGCCCAGTGAAACAATCTGCTCCCCCTGCACACTGTTCTGAGGGCTTCCCTGATTCCCCACCCCAACCAACTGGGAGGGGGGCACCAGGGATAAATCCCCACGATGCTCGCAGATTATCAATGAACATGCTTCCACTAGCAGGGACCTAAGAGCCCTTAAAGTACAGTGGAGCAGTAGCAGCCCTCCTGCACAAATGGTTATGGTGTGTGTAAGGTGGAAAGGAAGAGGATTGTTACATTTACTTTCCACCTTTTCTCAAAGGAGATTGAAGTGGAGGACACACCTCTCCCAGCTCTCCAATTTATCAACACAGGTAGGTTAGGCTGAGATAGTGATTGGCCCAAGGTCACCCAGTGGGTTTCATGGCTGAGTGGGGATTCAAACCCTGATTTCCCAGGTCTTAGCCCTGCACTACAACATGCTGGTTTCGCAGTCTCGCTGGAGGAAAGTGAACTCCCAGCATTGTATCCAATGCTATTCCAACTCAGAGCAGACTCAATTAAGCTAATTTCAGAGGGTCTGATGTGGATAGGTTTTGGTTGGTCACAACCCCTTAGTTTGCCAAGAGCATCGCAGTCTCCTGTCTGAAGACCCCAAGGGCCATCTAGTCCAGCCCCTTGCAATGCAGGAATCACAGCATGCAAATGAACAGCATCTTCTATATGGGGCTGTGGGAGGAAATAATATATTTCTGTACCTAAGGAGGCAACGGGACACGGGTGGCGCTGTGGGTAAAACCTCAGTGCCTAGGACTTGCCGATCGCATGGTTGGCGGTTCGAATCCCCACGGCGGGGTGAGCTCCCGTCGTTCGGTCCCAGCTCCTGCCCACCTAGCAGTTCGAAAGCACCCCTAAGTGCAAGTAGATAAATAGGTACCGCTTTATAGCGGGAAGGTAAACGGCATTTCCGTGTGCTGTGCTGGTGCTGGCTCGCCAGAGCAGCTTCGTCACGCTGGCCACGTGACCCGGAAGTGTCTCCGGACAGTGCTGGCCCCCGGCCTCTTAAGTGAGATGGGCGCACAACCCTAGAGTCGGACACGACTGGCCCGTACGGGCAGGGTACCTTTTAAGGAGGCAACAGCTATCCCTTTTGAATTTGGTGCTTTCCACTGTTGCACTGATTTCAGAAGTGGCTAGACACACTCGAGAGCAACTGGGACCTCCCAAGTGTATCTGATTCCTGTCAAAAGCAGTGTGACAAGGCAAGGCGCCAAATCCACACAGCGCAGAATTCAAGGCGCTCCCCTGCAGCTGTGGCTTGAATTGGGCATCATCTCAAGCTAGGAACCCGTTCAACCTGCCCTGCCCTGTGATATCATGTGATGGACAGAATGGGCATGGTTTGTCCCATTTGGAGATAAGGAGGATTAAGTCCAGAGGTTGGAGGAACCCCACAACAGACTTAAACTCTCCTGTCTTGGCTCTACTGAACATTTCAGTAGTTACTGTTGGGAGATCTAAGCACCCTGGAACAAAAAGGTTCCAAGAATAGAAATTATAATCTCTTAATACACCTGGCTGGAAAGTAGAGGTTAAGGAGCCTGTTTCAAACATTGCTCTTCCCACCCTCCTCATTACAAGGCAATCTTGGATAGCCCTTCCTCCTGGCATCAGAGGCTTGGAGGGGAGAAAACATGTTTAATGGGGATTGTTAAAACATGAGCAAAACCATTCACAAGAAGTGTTATTATGGGAATGGAATTAGATGCAGTTGTATTTTTCTGGGGAGAGGGTGTTATGATATGGTAGGCAGAAAAGTAAAGGTAAACACATGTTAGCTTTAAGCACCCAAGCATAGGTAGGTTGCACACTTTCTGGAATACCTGGACCCAAATTGGACACAAGAAAAATCATCCTCATCCTCGTCCTCATTTTCTTCATCAGAACTGTCCCCAGAAACATCAGAAACGGCAAGGAGGAGGGAGAAAGGGTTGTCGTACATACTATTCATAACAAAAGCAAATATAGACCAGTGAATATGAAAGAGAGAAGAGAGATGGGTGAAAGGAAGACCAAAAAAGAAAGGAGGGAAATATAAAGAGTAACTTGTTCTACCAACATAATATTCACCGCAAGCATGCAAGCACGCAGAAGCCACGGCAATGCTACTACAAGCAAAAGGTGATGGGTGCAACTAAGTCCTACTCATAGTAGACCCACTGAAATGAACAGACCTAAGTTAGTCGTGTCTATGAACTTTACTGGGTCTACTCTACAGACACAACCCCAAAAAGTATTCAGGTCAATGAAAGCAAAGCAGTATCTGCTTTCTCTCCAAGTAAGAGAAGGGCTAGGTTTTATAAAGAAGAGTCTTTTGAGAAGAATTAAGGTAGCAAATCACAAATGGAAGCCTTTCAGTTCTCTGGCTGACTTTTGTACGTGGCCATACAACTAGGCCATAGTCCCCACTACCACTTATTCCAATAGGAATAGGAACTCCAGCATCTCAGGCAGAGGTTCTTGTATGCAAAGGACCCTCTCCTTATGCAAATCATGCCCTGCAGACTAGGGTGGTTTGGGTCTTCCTCATGACCATCTATGGCACTGCCTTACACCAAGTCAGCTCCCCGGTCCATTTAGCTTGGCCTCAACCAGCATGGGGACTTGCAGATGCACTGGACTGCAGCAGCTATCATCAGCCCAGTTATGGTCTCTCCCCTAAATACACCGGTTCTAACTGGGCAACACAACCCCATAAACAAAATCAATGCCCTCCTGCTATCTGCTGCTCACTGAGCAGATCCCTTTCAGATGGAGCCATTGAAGCAGGTGACCTGCAGGTGCTGCTCAACTACATGCTGGCTGGGCGCTGATGGGAGCTGCAGTTCAGTGAGGGGCACAGAAGTTCCCCATACCTGCTATTAAGGGAGTGTGAAAGCAAACCTGACGACTAATGCAGCAGGCGTTAAAACAATCATAGCTGTCAATGAGAACAGGCCAGAAAACTCGCAACACAGTAAGTCTACTTGCTACAATGCATGAACTAATTTCAACACAGGGGATCTCTTCATCAAAGTAAGCAGGTAGAGAAGGATTTTACGGCATGGTGGCATCTAGATGATATTCTGCCTTGCACCATAACACAGTTCAAGCAACCACCCTTTAGTTTTCATGCATACACACACATAGTGTCCTGGGGTCCCCTTATGAAATCCCATGAGTTGTATCCATTTTTTACCCAAACTTTAACACTGGACGCAACCCTATGCCTTTTAGCACCATCATTACATTGACGGCACCCAGATCCCTCTCCATCCCTAAACTGTCCTCTTCACACCATTTAAGCACCCACAACTGCCTCAGATGGATAAGAACCTAATAAGACCCTTCTGGATCAGGCCAAAGGCCCATCCAGTCCAGCACCCTGTTTTCACAGTGGCCAAGCAGATGCCTCAGTGGGAAATCAGCAAGCAGGGCCTGAGAACAACAACACTCTCCCCTCCTGCAGTTTCCAGGAACTAGTATTCAGAAGCATTGCTTCCTCCAACTGTGGGGGCCGAGCATAGTCACCATGGCTTAGATGCTTAATCACAGTCTCAAGTCCATCCCTTACAGCAGCCAGGTCCCTCCTGCACCCAATGTGACTTTTATTTTTAAAGCTCTTCATCGAGCACACATAAAACTGATACAAGATTGGTTGCAACAGACCGTTAAAGCATCAAGGTAAGAGAAATAAAGATAACTGCCATAGATACAAAGAATGGCAGACCTAAAAGGTCTATGGGGCAACGTGCCCATGCGACCATACTGTTTAAATTATTGCATTGCCTGTCTATATGGTACTGGGCCAAGTTTAAGGTATTACTTTTAGTTTATAATGCTCTAAGCAATGCAGGACCTGGTGATTTTCTGCCGTGCCTTGTGCCATCTGGTTCCTGAGCTCAGCTGATGAGTTCCTGTGGGTCATATGGGAAAGGATCCGTAGGTAACAGGTCCTTCAGCGTGGTTGCACTAACGCTACAGAACTCTGGCAATTAGGGCAGGCACCTACTTTCCTCTGTTTTAGACACTTTTATCTGTGTCTAACCTGTTGAAAACCTCTCTTCCTATTACTCAGGTTGAATTGGCACTTTCAGTCTGCTGCTGAAATGATCTACACTGAATAATTTGCTTTATGCTTTCGCGTTTCGTTGCTGGTCTTTACCTTGTATGTACTCTTGTTTGCTGCCTGATTATTTTTACATTACACGGCTTATACATTCTGAAAGCAAGCAAGTAGAAGTCAACAGGAAAGATCCATCTAGACAAGGAGATCAAGGTAGGGAAAGCACTCTTTTCTCAAAACAAGTTATCAAGCAAAGGTGGGCACATTATCCCCAAGTTTCGGGGGAATCAAGCACGTCACTATTTGTTCACCTTCTCTCCCCTGTAAGAAGCTGTGAACTTCACACACCCTACGCCAAAAGCTTTGTGGTTCAACAGGTGCCACTTACAGTCAGTGTATTAGCTTGCCTCAAGCACAATTAGGAACCAAAAAAAGCTTATTATGTTGTTAGCTGAGTTCTTCTGAAGTGCATCAAGTCACACCAACTCTGCACAGCACACATTAAAATGCAAACTCAATACCTAGACGGTGTCCTGCTCAGGAAAGAAGAATGTCTGCCAAGGGGCCCGGGCGAAGCAGGGAACAGAGGCAGGGCCATAGCTACGGGCCTAAGCCTGGGCAAACCAGCCCGCGTAGCTGGAGGACTGGCGCTTATAACAGGAGGAGTTGGAGAGCGGGAGAGGATGGAGGTGCTTGCCGAAGGTGGAGCGGGAGGAGCTGGGAAGGCCCAAGGATGAGCCACCATGTACGGGCGGTACCTCGGGGATGGGGGTTGGACTACCAGCGGGCCTGCTGACACGACATGAGGGCTAGCAGAAATGGGAGGGGTGGGGGCAACCGGGCTGGCAGAAGAGGCAAGGAAGGAACCGGCTAAAGGTGCGCGGCTTGAGAGGCTGAAAAGAGGAGCTGGGCTGGTTCCATAGAGACTAAAGTCAACGAAAAGAGGGAGGAGGAGGAGGAGGAAGAAAGGAAGGAAAGAAAGAAAGAAAAGAGAGATAAATTGGGAGCTTAGAACACAGCAAAAAGGGAAGGTAATAAGATACAGAAACAGGCAAGGCAGCTCAACATTTCCCCTTCCAGTAGGATCCCATTTTATACCCATTTAACTTGCGTGATTTCAGCTATATGAGTTGAAGGCACACTTGCTGAAATTGCAAAAGTTAAATACCAGCAAGGCAGAGAATTTTAAACCTTAGGGTTTCCTGGCGCATGAAGAGCTTTTCAGCACTGTGCCATAGATTTTTTTGGGGGGGCAGCCAAGGCCCGTTTGGCAATCCAGCTTTGGGAGTGCTAGACATGCGCTCCCCCGCACCTGCTAACTATGGGGTGGTTCCAAGGGTTTAGGAATGTGTACCAAACCCCAGTGTAATAAGTGACCGTATTGTACTTTTCTCACCACAGGGACTGATGCCTTACTTTGGCCTATAGAGCAGGGGTGTCTAACCCCGTTACTGTTGGGGCTCCAACTCCCAACAGCCAGGAATGATGGGAGTTGTAGTCCAGCAGCATCTAGAAGGACAAAGCTTCTGCAACTCTGCTATAAAGAGTCATCCATATATAAATCTGAAAACTACCGTATATACTTGAGTATAAGCTGACCCGAATATAAGCCGAGGCACCTAATTTTACCACAAAAAACTGGGAAAACTTATTGACTTGAGTATAAGTCAGTTCACCGCACCACAAACCTGGTGGTGGCAGCAGCGGCGGAGAAAGAACAAGCAGCCCTTTCAGGCTGCTGTCGGGCTGCTCGTTCCTCCTCCTCCGCCGCTGACAGCAGCAAAGGTGGAGGAGGAGGAAAGAGCAACCCAAAAGGGCTCCTTTCGGGCCACTCATCCCTCCACCGCTGCCTCTGCCGCTCGCAAGAGCAGGCATAGGAGCCGTGCTTGTGAGAGGCACAGTGCAGTGCAGTGCATCTCCCAACCGTGGCTCCTGTGCCTGCCCTTGTGAGAGGCGGGCGGCAGCGGGACCAGCAGTGAGAAAGAGCTCCTTTTGGGCCACTCGTCCCGCTGCCGCCCACCTCACTAGAGTATAAGCAGAGGGGGGCTTTTTCAGCATAAAAAATGTGCTGAAAATGTCGGCTTATACTCGAATATATACGGTAAATGTATGTTAAAGTTAAGAGGTAGCTGCACACGCATTCTGGCATCCCAGTAATCTCTGCCTTTGTTTAACAGGAAGAGCTCCCACAAGTTTCTAGCTCTCATTAGTGCTCAAAAAAGTCGAATGACAGGGGGAGAAAAGAAATGACAGAAAGGTTCTGCTCAGCGGACAGTTATCATACAAGAAGTGGCCAGGTTTCCTATGGCTACGCTTCAAACAAATACTTCCCCCCCACCCTCCGGGTATCCATCACATCTTGCCTTGCACTGCAGATCTTGGAAAGAACCATTCTGCACACCTAACCCCTCTGCTCTGCCCTCGCAAACTCACTAACATGGAACCCAGCTAGTTATGCAGCTATAACTTACCTCGACAAGGAGCTGGAGCCAAACGAGCCCACGTTACAGAAAATGGGGCTCGTTCCTGGATTGGAACCAGTGCTCAGAACCAGATTTCTATCAGGCGACCGAGCAGCTGCTGCAATGGGCTGCGAGGTGGCTGTCAAACTGGCAAAGGGGTTTTCCTCCTTCGACTGGGTCGACATCATCAGAACTTCCATCAGGATCTGGCCAATCAAGTCTTTGAAGTCCGAGAACACTTTTGAGGAGAGACAGAGAGAATGACATGAACGTTCTCCACTGTAAGCACCTCAGAAGCAAAACAGAGTTTAAGGGAAAGATCTGAAGATTATGTGGTTGATAACGCCAGATAGCCTTGAGAAAATATAGCACATGGACTCAGCAGGGGCTGTATCCCACCAAGTCCTGCTCAGAGCAGATCAACTGAAATGCATGCACATTAATTTCAAGAGATGTACTCTGAGCACCTGCCTTTTGACAAACACCCCATACAACTTGAAGGAAAGCAAGGAATTAAGATGAGCCTGCTGAATCAGGCCAATGGCCTGTCAACCCAGCATCCTTGATGACAACAAAAGCTTTTCAGCATTATGAGTGCCAATATCAGCCACACCTTCCATATCAGCTACCGTATCACCCGCTGTAGAGGAATCTGAAAGTATTGGCAAGTCTAACGTCCTTGCTTGCCAACAAAACAGACTGAATGCTTTCCATCTTCAAGTCGTGAACACGGTGGGAGCTGAGCCACCCACCAAATAAGAGTCCTTCCCCTCCCTACACACACTCTTTGGTGCCAGCTCAGACACCATCTGGTCATGACAAATGCAATTTGGAGCTCTGTACCCACTGAAGGAAATCCAACGCAGCAGCTAGATGGGAACTCGCTAGCCCATGCCACCAGCCATCTCCCATGAACAAGCAACTGTATTAATCACCAACCTTTGTTTAAGCATGATGGGACACGTGGGAAGGGGGCTTTAGCTCAGCAGCAGAACACAAAGCTTTGTAAGCAGAAACTCAGTCCCAGAACCTCCTGCGCAACAATCTTAGGTAGGTTGCAAAGACCTTTGCCTGAGAACGTGTGTCCGTAAGAGAACAGAACACCAGGCTGGAAGGCCCAATGGCCTGAGCTGTGATCTGCTGACCTTATACCAGGCTTCTCGAGTCTTAATGTGTGGAACTACAGCTCCAATCACCCTTGACATCCAGCCATGCGGGCTGGGGCTGACAGGAGTTGTAGTACAACAACATCAGGTTGGAGAGGGCTGTCTTATGCTATGTCCACAACAGAAAGGCAGAGAGAAGGAGTGTGGGGGGGACCACTCTCATTTGGGGTGGATCCGTAGTTCAGTGGTATGTAAAAGACCCCCAGCTTCTGTCCAGTTGGTGCTAACCTGTAACAAGGCATTTTCAGTGGTGGTTCTCTGCTTGTGGGATGCCCTCTCTAGTGATGTACAATGCCTCTATCATTATTAACTTTCAGGAGGAATTTGAAAACATTCCTATTTGCCCAGGCATTTGGTGGTTGAAGAATACTGCTCCTGGCAATCTTAAGCTCATTGGATGCTTTCAGTTGTAACTGCTTTTAATATATTTTTAAATGATTTTAGATGTTATAGTTAACATTTGTTTTTAGAACATTTTAATCTGTTTTAGAATGTTTTTGCTTGCTTTGTGTTTTTAAAATTGTGTATCTGTTTGCCATCCTGAGCTCCTGGGGGAGGAAGGGTAGATCTAAATCTGCTCCAGTTTGCATTTATTTGACAATTCCCACCCCACAAATCTCTTTTCCCTCTCTTTTGTTTCCACTGTTTTTGGTTCATACATGTATTTTGACTCAAGATATCTAAGAATAAACAAGATAAAATTCTGAGCAAGCATTTTGCCTAGAAAGATTGTGCATTTTAATTAAAATAAAACTGAAAAATCTCTGTAGCTGTTTGAGAAATGCTTCTACCTGAGACCTTGTAATGCTGCTGCTGGCCAAGATAGAATACAGCAGATGGTAAGCAGCCCGGCTTCTGAATTCAGCATCATCAACAAACACTTGGGATTAAACCTCAGGTTCCTTACCTTCCTTTGGGTTCTGTTTAAACTGCTCAGAAAGTGAAGTTAGGAAGATGACGTCTCTGTCTCTGTCCTTCCAGGAGACCCGGAAAATCTTGCAGACCAGCTGTAAGGCTTGCTCTTCCGATATCTCTGATCCTGATGGGGGCTCCTTTATCATGGGGAGGGGGGAAAGAGGAAAAGATTTGGGTACTCGTTTTGAAAAGCCACGAAAGGGCAGGTATTCATGATCATATAAGCTAAGGGTTAGCAACCTCATTCTGGTCTGCTGTGCTACATTCCACCCTGATGCAGACATAATGCTCACTAACAGTGACAGCAAGTCATGGAAGGGTGGAATTTGCAAGTGAGAGAGAGGGTTGTGCCCTGCAGCACATTCCCAATCTCTCAAAGATGGTTCCATTTGTATTTGAAACCCACCACCCAGGCCGCAAAGGGCTCCCCACAAGGCTGTTTACAATACTGAAATTATGCAATGAAGGAAGGCTAAAAACAAGAGGAATCTGCAACAAAATGTGGGAACATGGAGGGCCCCTGTTCAGAATCCAAACCAAACTACCAATGTCTTCTTTCAAGATACACCATCCCCTCCCACCTATTTTTCTATTCTTTTTCCCCCAACGGTAATTCTGCATTCCAGGCAAATTGAGGATGCTCTGCCCTCATTGGGCTGCTTCTGGGATCCCCTCATGATCTCTCCCCCCCCCCCCCATTTTATTTTATTTTTAATTTCTGCAAACCTGGGGGTTCTTCCAAGCCTCTTGAACATGGGTGGTGCTGTTAGGCTACACAAGGATCGGCACTCACCTCTGAACTTCGGAAATAAAGGGGTGGATAACAAACGGGCAAAAACCCAAAAACCATTGAAGCAAGCAAAAACTCAACGCAGGTCAAATAAGTTAAGCTTCAGCTGTCCACCTACAAGCAGTGAGGGAGCCAACTGAGCTTCTCTTGGGAGAGAGTTTCACAACAGCATCGCCACAACCAAGAAGGCCCCACCCTATATCCCACCCAGCTGCAACTTCTCCACTAGAGGCAGCACATGAAACAAGACATAACAAGCATAGGTGGTTTGTTGTCTGAAACGGAGCCCATAGCATTTTGATAGCATGCTCCTAACTTTTAACCGCCCAGAGGCCTTGGAAGTAAGAGTGAGCAAGAAACCCAAATGAATAAAAATAAACGAATGAGCGTTCATTTTTAAACCCGTGCGCACATTGCCCCATAAAGGGCAACAGTCAAGTGTCTCCAAGCTTCCCAACTCCATCCAGTACAGCTTACCCACCTTATCGGTAAGGCTCCTTTTCTCTCTTCGGTCATTCTCATCAACTTCCATGTTTTCAATTCCTGAATCTACATCCACCTGGGACATACTGTCAAGTAGAACAAAGAACCCATTAATTCTTCCAGGCATTTTCAATGAAAGTTGCTGACCGAAAAACAGGATGGCTGCAGAACGTGAAGGCAGCTCAAGGAGGGAAAAGACTGACATACACAAGAATAACTGGATCCATTAACAAATGTTGCCATTAACAGCCACTAGTCAACAGCCCTGGCCCACAACCTATTGTTCATACTGTGTTTTGCTCTCCAAAGAGAGGCGGAAAACTTGTGACTCAACCTGAAAGGAGCTCTACAGAGCAGCCCATTAGGAACTAAAAGGGGAGGGGGAAGAAACCCCTCTGTTCTTAAGTTGGTGCCTGCACAGAACAAAAAATCAGGGCATATGGATGGTGGTGAGGCTGCATGCAGTTTCTGCAGGCTTATTTTTATTATTAGCATTATTATTAATGCAATTTATTTGCCACTTTTTTTACAGAAGCAACTCAAAGCATCTTACAGCAAAAACAACAACACATACATTAAAACCAGCCCAATATTAAAACAGATTCGAAGCTAAAACTCATTCATATCTTTAGAAGACAGAACTATAACATCCTACCCAGTGAAGGAGGCTGCAGATAATCAAAAGTCAAAGGCCTGCAGCTAAAGGATGCTTTTGCCTAGCACCTAAAGGTAAGCAATGATCACACCAGGCAAGTGTCTCCCAGGAAATGCCGCCATTAAAAAGGTCCATTCTCACACTGCCACCCTCCAGATCTCTTTCTTTATACTTTTATTTATATAAGTATTTCATATACCACCATATCCTGTGGATATACAAATAAAAGAGAACATAAATACACGGTGAACATTAAAAAAAACGGTAGGGAGATTTAAACGGCATAGGCCTGTTGGCATGTCTTCAAGAGACCCCTGAAAGTTAACAGCAAGGGTGCCTGGCAAAACTGGCCATATTTGGTGAATACTGAAATCTGTGTGTTACTGACTCATTGTTTAAATTGGGCATAAGTCTTGGGGAGCAGAAATACGTGCATGAATTTAATATATTAACTATCATAAATGAACTGAAAAAAACATATTCCCAATTAAACAATATAGTGAGTTCTGGAAAAGGAGAATAGCAGCTTCTGGTTCACTGTAATCTTCTGAGAAGTATGTGCCAAATTTAAAACATGGTCGCTAGAGGAGGATTAGAATCTAGAAACCAAGAGAGGGACAACCCTTTGAAGGGTCTTTAATTTCTGTGAAGGGATGAAAAATCCAGCTTCCCATTTCATGATGTGTGTGTGTTTCCTTTTCGATGTTATATTTGGTTGTTAATTAAATAATTTCAGAATGGATAAATTCTTTTAAAAAAATAAAGACAGAAGAATTGAGCATTTTAATGGCTGAAATTTAACTGTAAGATTGTGGGGAAACCGCAAAAAGACCCCTAGTGCTTCGAAGACTAATTAAATATTTAATACAGAAGAAGATTTCATGGATTAAATACCTTGCCAACTCATGAAGTCTCAGTTTGTAACTGGCATCATTCTTGCCACTGAAATTGTTGTATGGTTTTTTAATTAATTCTATTAATTTTTCTCATGTCCTTTTTTGTATTAAGCTTTAGTGTGTATGCTAAAAATAATCAATAAACAATCTTCTAAAACTAAAAAGGAAACGCTCCAAACAACATCTGAGCATAGACCACCTAGCTCATTATTTGGTCCATCTAGCTCACTATTGACTACACTGACCGGCAGCAGCTCTCCAGGATTTAAGGCTGGGGACATTCCTGGCCCTACCGGGAGATGCCAGGGATTGAACCTTGGTCCTTCTGCATGCATCTCCAACCACAGAATATACGTAGCAGTTACACCCAGCATCCTTTGCACCCAGCAAATGTTCACCTGATTGAGGGGTTTCTACCCAGTCCCTTTAACTAACCTACCAAGGAAGGAGCTGCAGTCATGAAAACCAAACAGGTGAGGGCCACACTTGCCTCTTATCTCAGGACTCATGCTCAGACCCCAGGGGCAAAGAGCATGACCCCAACCAAAAGCTCCCCTCTTCCTTTTCACGTCTTTCTTCACTGCCTTTTTTCTTCCTAAAACATCTAGGCAACTGTAACTGCTTTACACATCACCCTCACAAACACGTTTTGAGCAATCAATGCTGCATGCTATTTCATTATTAATTATTCAGATATCTTATCAGCCACTCTGATTGGGTTGTTAATATTGAAAGCTTTTATTACATGGTCGGTTTCTATTTTTTTACCCTTTCCTTTTGAATTTCAGTTCCCACAATCGATTCCCTAATATGTGGTGTTGTGTGTGTGTGTGTTTTTAAATGGTAAATTTGACCCCATTACCAAAATAGCGTCCTATCCCTCTGGGTGGGAACTTAAAAGAGGCAGTTCTATCCACTGTATTTGCCAGCAAGACATTTTGGGTTAGAGAGGTGACCTTAGCCCATCAACCCCCCAACTGTTTAAGATGCCCACAGAAAAAAACTAGTTGCCAGCAAAGGTTTAAGCAGAAGATAATTCAGATTAGCTCCTTACATGAATGTGTGTGTGTGTGTTGGGGGGGGGGGGAGCGTATGCATGCAATAAATAAGGTTTTCCAGCTAGACTACATATATGCCACTTTTTCTGGATTAAAGTTAAAGAACCATCACCTCTTTGAGCATAAGATATGACTCAACTGGAGATTTATGAGCAAATGATATTCCACAAACACAAGATAGATGGGAAGCACTGAGTGCTGGGCTGACCTGGACCACCAGCTGCCCCCTCTCCCCCCATTTCACCTCTCCTGCCCCTTAAACATGCACATAGTTCATATTATTTTGATTCATTATGGTTTATTTTGTATTATTCGACTGTACTGTTTTTTGCTTCTTTGTGGGAATTTCAATAAAAACTATCAATTAAAAAGATCCAATTACTTTGATAAAAGATACCCTGCCAAGTACCCCAGAGACAATTCTATCTCACCACCAGGAACCAGGCGAGCAGCTATTTACAAGCTCATGTTAGAAACTGCTGAGCAGGGCATAAAAAACTAGCATCTGTATGAGCAACAAGCATCTGGGGCAACCCACAATGAGACAGCCTCAAATGAAGAGGGCAGATGGAAACTTTTTTACCTTTTCTCACAGGAGACGCTATCGATATCCATGCTCTGCGACCGGGAGAGGGACTGAGATTGTGTTTCGAGGCTGTTTGATGGGGAGCTACTGAGCGAACTCACACCTTCGCTGCTCTGGCTGCGGTGGGCTACACCTGCAGGGAAAGGACACCAGGGGGGGAAAAACTATATGTCATTTTGTTCCTACAACACATTCTTAAACTAAACACACACAGTGTTCGAAACTCCCATTGATCTAGGTGGGTTTTGCAACAGGGAATTTCATTAGCATGAGCAGTTTCTGAGCTCTGGGCACAGTACTGTGCCTAAGATTTCAGATTAAAACTGCAGAGTGGAAAGAAAGGAGGGTCTTTTTCTGCCTCCCCACTTCCAGTCACTCTCTGAAGACTGAAGAAGAGACCCTCTTAAGAATATTTGGGGGGCAGGCAGGGGAAGCATGGCTTTGTTTTTTGCAGTCTTCAGAGGAGGACTAGACCATGCGAAAATGAACATATGATTTTAGCCGTCGTTCATTCATTTTCAGCTTTGTATTCGTTTGGAAAAAAGCACACCTAGACATTCCGTTGTTGCGCCCATAACCTAGGTTTAAGGTGCCATTTAGCTCTTAGCTTTCCAAAACTGAACACACACATACTGTAAATTACACACACATTACATACCGTATTTTTCCGTGTATAAGACTAGGGTTTTTTAACCAAAAATTAGGTTTAAAATTGGGGCTTGCCTTAAACATAGGTAGTGCTGAGGGGTGTTTTTTTAATCTGGAGTCCCCCCAAACAGGGGGTGTCTTATACATGGGGGCATCTTATAGACGAAAAAATACGGTACTTATATTACACACACACACACACACACACACACACACACAGAGCAAAAAAAATGCTGCAGCACATTCCCCCCCCCCCAAATACCAGGAGTAATCCTATTCCAGCCAGCCGTGCCTTCCCTCCAGGGCACTATTAAGCTGCCCCGACAAGCCAATTCAGGCTTTCCTTCCTTCTTCCAGTTGTTTGTTTTTCTTTTCCAACTGACACTCAACATTATCTTCTTGCTGGGAACAACAGAATATGCATAAACCCTCACTGGGGCTGAGGTATTGGCTTTTTTGAGGGAGGGGGGACTGCCTAGTTTGGTTGCTTTTGTATTTCTGAGCGGCCTGGAATTGAACCAAGCACACCAATACCAACTTCTAGTTCCTAGTGACCCTGCTTTTCAACTCTGTTGGCACAGGGTGACTGAGTTTGCTAGTAAGAGTGCTCCTTATATACAATGAAAATGCTAAAGTGTCAATTAAAAGATGTTATATATCTGCAACATAAATAATCAGCAATGCACTAACACCAGTAATCCCCAAAGACTTCAGAGTGATGTGTTGTAGGAAATTAATTCCAATGAGTTCAAAGGTTGCCCACTGCAACTCTGTAGAGTCACTGCTCTGAGCGGGCCCAGCCATGACAAAAACTTTGACTCGCATCGAGTCACTGTAGAGTGGGCTTCTGGGAGGGTAGAACATTATTACTGCATACTCGGGTACCAGACAAAACTCTCCCCATGAAATTTAATCCCATGCACCAGAGATGTTCATCCTTTTTGAGTCAAATGCTCCCTTGACCAACTACATTCTTTCTGCGGCTCCCCTGTGAGGAAATGCACTCCAAGCCTCCAAAGCCCAATTATGTCATCTCTAGAGCCGGCACCCCATCACCCCTTTTCAAACACCCTCCCTTGTGGCGTGTTTCCTCAGCCTCCTCTCCTTTCCCCTATCCTTGGGAGTCCTCTGGCAGCTGGTGAAGGTGAGGCCACCATCTTGAGAGGGCATCAGAAGAGGGAGGGAAGGAAAGAGGGATAGAGTCCAGTGTTGCCTGTGGCACCCTTGACCATCCTTCAAGACACCCCAGGGTGCCATGGCACACTGGTTGAAAACCACTGCCATACACAGTCAAAACTACTTTCAGACATCCTAATTTGCTGGCAATAGGAGTGCAGCATAGCTCAACCCACCAGCCAAACATTACCTGTGCAGACTGCAGCTGGCTTGAACTTACTAGTAGTGATCAACAAGGGAAGGAACAGGAACTGTCACTCAGAGCCAGTGACAATATTCCATTTGCATCCCTGCCCTTCCTCCAAAGAGCTGCAAGCAGCATAAGTAGAGTACTCCCATTTTATTATTGCAAAAAACATCCTGTAATGCAAATTAGTCTAACAGACTTAGTTTTTATTTATTACATTTAGCACCTGCTTTTAAGGAACTCAAGTAAGGAAGCAAACCAAAGCTGATGGTCTTGATTTGTTTGCGCTAACTAGGAAGAGTTCGAACTCCTAAGTGGGGAACACCAGTTATCTCAGAAAGCTTGCAATTGCCTCCCCTGGCATACAAAAGAAAGAAAGAGACAGAGTGAAAGCCCATGGTTTACTAAGACTCACAAATCTAACACTAAACCATGGTTTAGCATTCTGTCTGAACCATTCCATCAAGTAAAAGAAAACCAAACATATTTAAAAACCTAGTAAGAACAAACTGATGAGAAAAGATAGCCACTAGTACAATTTAAGATATCCATGAATAATAAAAAGCAAAGAAAATGAAGCAGCCATCATTACTACCTTTCCCACTTTGCACGCTGCCTGCCAAGAAATAAAGTGTTGATAGTCATTTGCTCTGGACAGAATATACGCTCCATAATCTATTCCAGCACACCCATAGCAAATTTAAATGAGAACTGTCCCCTATCTTTGGTAGGCACAAACAATACTGAATCCAAAATCCAATAGTGGAGCAAGCGGGCCAGAATGATTTCTCGAAGTAAACAGCTAAGAGAGACTATACATGTGTTACTTGAGCCACTTCAAACAGGAAAAAATATTTATTGCTATACTGCATCTTCAGCATGAGGTCAATGTGCAATATTGCATCACAGTGGCATACTAGTCTCTCACCTAAACAGCAGGGTCAGGGTTAAGGAGGAAGGAAGGAGAGCAACAAAAACAAAGTAAGATATATATGAGAGCTAGTTCACAACTACCATCATACACTCACATAATGAAGGAACAGGGCCTTGAATAGGGCTATGCACATTAAGAGGCAGCTTGGTGCTCAGTGGCTATTACACGAGAGTTTGGCAACTGTGTGGCTGTGGGTTTATAGGGTTTCATGTAGGGATATTTATCAACCCTACTAGGATGATGCCAGGGATTGAACCTGGGTCCTTTTACATGCAAAGCATGAACAATGGCCCTTCTTCAGCATTAAGTGAATGGCTGCCATTCATCTAGATAAGGGAAAAGTAAACAGCTGCACTTGAGGACTGTTGCAGTGAGGGCAAACACAGCCCTGACACCCAGTGGCATCTGCCCTGACTGACTGGGATCTCTGCAGGGGAAAGGCCTGTATGATAGCAGGAATATGACTAATCCTTTATTTAAAATCAATGTTGTTGTCTATGCTACACATTTCAATAGGCTATTTATTGCATTTTTACTCCAAGGGCACATGCTCCTAAACCCCCAAATGCCACATTTTATCTCCACAAAACCCTCTAAGACAGATTATAGGTTATGTTCTAAACAGAGTTTTCAGCCCTGGCCGAAAACCTGGTATTCAGAAGCATAGTGCCTCGGAAAAAGGAGCCTCTATCTAGCTGTTGTAGCCAGCAGCAACTTAGGGGCCCATCCAGCAATAACATCCAGAGGGGTAGCCGTATTAGTCTGTTGCAACAAAATCAAAATAGGAACCTTAAAAGACCAAACAATTTACAATTGCATACCGTAAGCCCACAAGTTACACACATTTAACTTGTGCACATTCAGCTTTACACGCTTGGCAAATAAAAAATCAAAAAGGGGTTGGCGTCCGGGGAAAAGAACTTTGGCAATTCCACCCACCATTGCTCCCAATGTGTTTCAACTAGACATGATTTTGGCTTTAGGAACGATCCCCAAAATGTAACCCCTGTGTAAGCTGTGGGCTTACTGTAATAAGCTGTTGTTGACTAGCATCCAGTTCATTAGATGCATGAAATTTTACAGGTTACCTGTAACTCAGATATTCTAACCCAATGAAATGGAATATACATCACAAAACCTTCTGTGTAACACACAAGATGCAACTACAGCATTGACTTAGGTAGCTTTGAAACAGGGATGGGGAACCTGAGGGGTGGGGGCCAAATGTGGCCCCCAGGCCTCCTCTATCTGGCCCTTGGAACTCTCTCCAGTTCACACACCCCACTAGCCCTCCTTTACACACTCCTTGAGCGTTTTCCCCTGAAAATGTGTCCTTGAACTCTGGTAATGTTTCTTGCTTGTAAGGATAGAGGAATGTGTCAACCTGATCTTGTCCACCACTGATAAGCAGCTCCTGGAAGGATGTCCAGAAGGATATGGGACCCTCAGACTAAAAAGGGTTCCCAACCCCTGCTTTTAAAGAAATAGACAAATTTATGGAGGATAAGGCTATCAAAGACTACTAACTGTGATGACTATGTCCTCTCTCTCTACTGTCAGAGACAGTATGCCTGAATGCCAGTTGCAGAGAATCACATGTGCAACTTGACAGCTATTGTGAGAATAGGATGCTGGACTAGCTAAGCCTTTGGCTTGATACGGCAGGGCTCATCTTATGCCATAATAAATTTGTCTTGAAGGTGCCACAAAACTCTGCTGATTTGTCCATGAACGGATCTCATTGCTCATGGCCAGCATCACAAATTCCTGCTGAGAATTTTGCAAATAATCCCACTTCCCAATATGGACTGTTTTAAGCCACAACCAGCAGCTGAAACGATCACACCCCACTGCTTCCAAGGAGAGGAACCAACACACAAAAAAAGACAGGACCTAATAAGGTTGTACAAGATGCTCCCTTCAGCCGAAAGTGCTCGCATGGAAGAGAACATGGTATCAAAACAAATGAATGTGCATTTCCACAAAATATTTAAGAGAAAAAATTAGGAAAGTGTCATGTTTCCTTATTGATCTATCATTCTGCAGTTTTTAATTAACATAGCCATGCAGAAAAAACTACTCCATACTGGAGTTGTAGAAAGAAATCTGAATTCCTAGGAAGCCAGTGTTCATTTTATTCATCTGCCGTGGGGGGAAAAAATGACCAGGAATTTTTCTAACACAGCTGCCAACAGGAAGGAAATCAGAATTATTAAACTGGATTTTTCACTGCCAGTTGTGTTTATCATCACTCTTTGGAGGCCTAAATGCCAATATAAAGAATAAGGATTTATTCACTATTTTTTTAGTGGCCACTCGGCTATCTGCAACTCAAACCTAGAAAGCCTTACAAGGACCATCCCTGGACTTAACAGTTTAAAGTAAACGGTATAATTTGCTGTCACCAAGAAAGTACCTCAGTGACACTGGGAATGGACAGTTTTCATGGCAAGATGGTGAGTTTTATTCAATATACAAATGAAAACAGGTCTTAAAAGAAACTCTCTGAAGCATCTTTGCAGATATGGCTATCCTAAACATCACAACTTGAACTATATTCTTCCCTGGGAACGACTGTCTGCAACAGGTAAAACAACTTTTGTCCCTGGGACTGTTATATGATGGACATTTGAAAAATTTGTATGGCTTAATAAGGATAATTTATGTTAATGTACAACCTGATAGCCATTTTGGCGGTGGGGGAAATGTAATATACATAGAAACCAGTAACAGCTATTTCAAGGAAAAGGATTATTAAGTTGTGGCTTACCTGATGCGCCAATGGGAGAGGTAGCTGGGGTCATGCTATGAATGTTTAGCCCAAGGTTATGGGGCGCTCCAGAAGGCGGTGCTGCTGCAGGAGGCCCCGGAGGGTTTTCCCTCTGCGGAGACGTAAGCGGTGTGGTGGGCTGAGAAGATGGCCCGCCGGCGAGCCGGGCAAGGCGCCTCCGACGGATCTGCAATGAAACAAGGGTTAAACATTTTTTTTAAAAAAAGGGCTTAGCAAAATGCTGGTGTATAAATCCTCCAGGGTTCTGACAAGGCAAGAAAAGAGAGCTAAGAATAGAACTGGGACATATTTCAAGATACACCCAAGCCAGGTCAGGCACAGCTTTCCCATGTCACCTGGAGATGCTAGCTGAAGGAAGGGACTGCAAGCAAGGTATGTTAAGGCCAGAATAATAGGAAGATAGGGAACTGCCATACACCAGGTCAAAGAGTTTGTCCATCTAGTCTAGTATTATCTGTCCCTACTGACAGCAGCTCTCCAGGGTCTCAAGCATAGAGTGTTTTCCCATCACCTCATACCTGGGGTCCCTTTAACTAGAGATGCTAGGGTAGCTTTTTGTGAACTACTAAATGTTCTTGAACCACAACTCCCATAATCCCTGACCACTGCCCATGCTGCCTAAGAATTATGAGAGTTATAGTCCAACAACATCTAGCAGCCCAAGATTGAGAAAGGCTGTGCTAGGGACTGAGCCTGTGACTTTCTGCGTACAAAACAAGCACCCTACAACTAAATTATGACTCTACTTGGTTCTTAGAATCCAGTGAAGTCATTCCTGTGCTACTGACTGCAGTATTACTCCAAGGTCTGCAGCAATTTGTTGCTGAGGGAAGCTGTTAAGGCAAGACTTTCATTACCTGATGCCCTCCAGATATTTTCCACTACAACTCCATCAGCATCAGCTAACATGTCCAATTGACAACGATGCCAGCTGGTTTAGCAAAATATGAATGAGCATGGCCTCCCCCAGAGCCTGCATGGACATCCACCACTCCTTCTCCCATGCAGCTGGGAAGAAAAGTTCAGAAGCTTTTGCTTTCTCTTTCACTTAACCAGCATTCGTTGTGTTATCTGGACCAACAAACCATGGTGACCATTAACTGTTGTTAGTTTAAAACAAGGAAACTTCAAACCATGGCTCCTGTACAGCTCTCAAATAAGCGAGCAGGCTACTAGAAATGTTAATATTAACTATAATCCAACATAACAGTTTTAAAAAGCGAGTATGAGAAAAGAATTACATACAACTACTGTACAATCAAAACAAATATGAGAAGCAAGTCAATCCAGACACGGAATACATGGAGCTTGCTTTATTATGTCGCTTGTGTTTTCATTTTGTACTTTTATGTTGTGAACTGAAGAGAGGTATACAAATTTAATAAGTAATAATATTATTAAGCACAGATCCTGGTCACAACAAACTGTGGTTAACCAAAAAACAGAAGCTTTCAAACTCATCCTCCCAGCTGTGTGGAAAGTGGGGGGAGGGTGCACATTATGTTGAGAGGAGGCCAGACACATTCACATTTCACCAAATGGTAAGTTTAGCTAGCATAACAGCTGAATACAACCATTATCACTGTGACTTTTACATACTGTATTGGCCTGAATATAAGCTTCACTTTTTTTCCAAATTCTAACCGTGAAAAGTTATAGTGCGGCTTAAATTCACGACCTTAAAAAAATTGGCTTTTACGATATCGCTGCTGAAACTGACATACGGTAAAACACAACGGGTGTGAGTGCCTGCAGAATTTTAAGGAAGCGGCTTATATTTGGCTATTGTCTTTTTTTCTTTCTTCCCCTTGAATTTTAAAGGTGCAGCCTGTATTCGGGCCAATACGGTATTACAGACAACAGTCCTGAGGCAGAGAGGGGGATTTGTTTAAGGCCTCCCAGTTTAGTTCATAGCTAGAATGAGATGCAGGCTGGAAACTTCCCAATTCGCAGCCCACCATCTCATTCACAAAACAAGCTCTGTTTTCAAGACTGACTACACATTTTAAAATATATTCCCTCCCTCGCCCCCAGTTGTTTGGGAATTACTAGAAATAAATAGAAGGTTCTCCTTCAAGGGCAACATGCTTCCATTCCATTAAGTCATAAAGTTTCTGAACATTCTAGCGATTTACCACCTGGACTTCTATCCTTTCCCAGAGAGATTTCCAAAGAGCATTTTCCCGGAAACTGATACAGAACAACATGTGGAAAACACCATGCGGTGTTCCATTCCCCTGCTCAGATGGGACACTATAATTAGAAGCAGTGCAAGGTTCCCCCTTAAGCAATGAGGTCGATATCATCATCTCTTCTCCTCTTTATCTTCCAGTAAAGCTGCTCTCCATCTTTCAGATCCATAACAAGTTGCATTTTGCAAGCATATTTATGTAGATCATTAATTCACTCAATGTCACACTATACCTCAAAGCAAGCAATTTTTAAAATGTTTCAAATACAAAATTTGTACAGGATTGCTAGTCCAAATTCATCGTTCATGTGAAAGGCCAACATCAAGGGGGGGGGGGACCCAGACTAGTGGCAGACTGTTCAAACATGCTAACTGCGAGTAGACACTCAATTAATAAATGCTTGTTGCTGCATTTTCATTATACACACCGGTTGTTTCCAGAATGATAACACGTTTGTTATATTTGGTTCTGCACAGTGTTCGAAACTCCCATTGTTCTAGGCGCATTTTGCGACAGGGAATTTCATTAGGGCAAGCAGTTTCTGAGCTCTGGGCGCAGTACTGCGCCTAAGATTTCAAATTAAAACTGTAGAGTGGAAAGAAAGGAGGACTTTTTTCTGCCTATCCACTTCCAGCTAATCTTTGAAGACTAGAGAAGAGACCCTCTTAAGAATATTAGGGGGAGTGAGCAGGGCAAGGACTAGACCATGTGAAAATAAACGTAAGATTTTAGCTGCAGCTCGTTCATTTTCAGCTTTGTGTTCTTGTTATAAAAAAAATTCCGTTGTTGCACCCATAACCTAGGTTTAAGGTGCCATTTAGCTCCTAGCTTTCCTATCTCAGTTTCTAACACTGGTTCTGCATGATGCGAAGCTAATGGTTGATAGCTTTTTTCTTTCCTTTTTGCGCTGCTTCCTGGAGGAGATAAGTGTTCTGTTTACACCACATCAAGTGACCAACAACAATAAGAATTTCAGAAGATACACAGCGAAATACATTCATTTTATTTCACAAGATATATACCACTTGACTGTAATGAAAACTCAAAAGCGATTAACTTCAGCAGCAGCTAAATTGAAAGGAAGCCCTATTATACACTACGCTCATAGTACGAGGCAAGCTAGTTCTGTTTTGCCAGACAATTGTGATAACTAAATCCTATCAAAAAAAGCTTAATATGTCTACCGGTTGTCTTCCTGCAAAATATCTTCAGAATTTGAATTAACACTTCCAGACCATCACACAAAGCAGGTCAGGATATGCTCTCAGCTAGAGATCCAAAAGGAATCTCAACCTGACAAAAGGCTGCTGCATTATCAGAGGACATGTTCTTCTGAGAAACCTACTGAACATCCAGTGCCCGTTTTCACTGACCTGGATCCAAATTAACTCTGCAAACTCAAGGGAGGCTTGGAATTAGGTTGCTCCAATACTCCCTCCCTGTGCCACCCCCATTCTCAAACCGCAAGGAGACTTACAAGCTATTTGTGACATGACATGTTGTAATGGGAGGGGAGTAATTGGGGTGATCAAACATGTAATTGTTAGAGCGTTCAACTAGGACTTGAGAGACCAGAGTTCAAACCCCAACTCACTGTATGAGACTGGGGTAACGGCTATAATTTGGGGGAAGGGCCATAGCTCAATGGTAGAACAGTTGCTTTGCATGCAGAAGGTCCCAGGTTCAACCCTCGGCATCTCCATGACTGGGACACAAGAAACCAGCCTGAAACCCTGTCCAGCCACTGCCAGTCTATGTAGGAGAGATGGATCAATGGTCTGACTCAGTATAAGGCAGCATCCTAAACGTCCCACTGGTCCTATTTGGCCAGCTCCTTCGAAGTAGCTCTCTATATACAAACAGTCCCTAACTTAAGCTGAGAAAGCATCTCACTTCTCCCAAGTAGGGGTGTACTGGCAAGTGCCAATTGAGAATTGGGAGGTTGCAAGTACAAAGAGAAGGAAAGTCCGCTTAAAAAGACATCGCCACCCCCATTTACCACGGTCTTTAAGCATCTTACTTTCCCTGGCTCTGTATCCCCCCCGAAAAAGGAAATTAACTGGGGGTGGCTCTCCATATCTTTCCATGTAGCATTTAGGTCTGAGGAGTGGACAATAGGATTGGATGGAGAAAGAGAAGAACCCAAAACTCCTTCGAACCAGCCCTCTACAGAATATTTATGCCATGTAAAAATCCTAGGAGACAACACCAAGTGCAAGGCCTTGGACAGTAAGCCGTCTGTGGACTATTCCAACCCCTTTAAATGCTGTGGCTATCTGGGCATTACATGGCAAGGTTCAGTCTTTCCTTGTGCATTCAGAAAGCTCTCCGCTTTCTCATTTGACACAGTAATTCCCCATTCCTCACCCGCCCTGTCCCCCTCGTTGCCCACATCTTGTCCTCCTTCCACTTCCAAATTTCTTTTGCTCACATTTCCCCACATGCACAGCAGGGATATTGCCACCGTGGCCTTTTCTGTACAATGCCAGAAGTGTACACTGAGCTGTGTAATAGATGAGCCGCAGCAGCAGATGGTCGATCCTGTCCTCAGCAACGTAGACCATCTCACACATGCTGCAAATTGCTCAGTGGCTCAATCAAGACTCCAACAAAGCCAGCCAAAAGACTTGCGCTTCTTTATTAAAACACCAGCTTTTTATTTAGTGATTCCCATTGTATTATCTGTGGCCTCCCCCTCCTCATTATTATTACTATTGAATTTATTCCCCACCTTTCACCAGCAGGTTCCTGGGTAGGTTACAACTTAATATTCACAATTTAGAACAATTAAAACAGATTAGTGTCACAGGAACAGGGTGGGTCCTGAAAACAAACACCTCAGGTGTCAGAGGGCAGGGCAAGGGGCTGTGGTTCCAGCATATGCCAAAAGCTATATAGTGAAGAAGCCAGACACACTTCTATGGAGAGGGAATTCCACAACTTATGGTACAACTACCAAGAGGGCCCCCTCTTAACACCCAGTAGGGTCTGTGGGGAGGGAGACTGTCTCAGGACCTAAGTTATTTAGCACTTTAAACACGAATGTGTTTAATTGGGCCCAGAGAAGAACTGGCAACCAATGCAGCTGTCACCAAGGCTCAGGGCAGATTTCAACTTAATGCATACCATGCTAATAATCTAAGCACACATTCTACTCATGTAAAAACACCAGGCAGGCCCCACAAATAACTCAGAGATGCATTTTAAATACAAGGAAACGTTCTACTCATGTAAAAACACGCTGATTCCTGAACCGTCCACCGGCCGGATTGAAAAGGTGATTGGGCCGCATCCGGCCCCCGAGCCTTAGGTTGCCTACCCCTGATCTAAGTTAAGCTGCCATGTAGCAAGGGAGATCACTGGTCCATTCAACTGAATAGTGTCAACTAGGAAGACTCTCCAGAGGCTCAGGGCCAAAAACAAGGACCCTCTCACTACATATTGTTTTAATTCAGGGGAACCTGTGGCCCTCTCGGGAGCTATTGGACTCCAACCCCCATCAGACAAAGGGATCGGGGTCAATTGTCAGAGATGATTAATTAAATTTGTACCCCTCCCTTTCCCTGAAAGAATCCCAAGACCGCAAACATCAAAATGTTTTTAAATAAATACTTAAAATGTTAAAAAATACAATAGCACCTTAAAACATTTAAAATCAATTGTATAGCCACTAATTTCAAGGTTGTCATGGCCAGTATCTATCGTCCATCAAATGTCTGGATAAACTGATGTCCATTTTCCCCTGAAAGTCTATAATGAAGGAGACAAGACACACCTCACCAGCAAGGGCATTCCACAAGCAGCGAGTCAGCATTGAAGAGGGTCAGTGGCTGCAGCACCAACAGAGCCTCCCCTACCAATTGTGGGGCCTGAGATGGTCGATATTAGGGGAGTCACTCCTTTAGGTACTTGGGTCTCAGGCCACTTAGGGCTTTGTACACCAGCACTAAAACCTTGAATTGGGTTTGACAGGTCACTCGGTAGGTAGCCAATGCAGAGCTTTCGGGACCAGTGGCAGATGGTCCCATTTGGATGTAAGCCAACAACATCTCTAAGGTTGTGGGTTCCCCACTTCTGTTTTAACTGGAGATTCTAGGAACTGAACCTGGAACCTTCTGCGGATGTAAGGAGGCCCTAGCACCATAACCTTCCCAGATACTTGGAACCTTGGCTCTGCATCAGAGCCAAATGGAAGGCAATCAAGTGTTCCAAAGGTTTCCATCATCTCACCTAAAAGTAGGTGTTGCGTAACAGTGAGAGGGACTGAACTACAAACGGGAACTTCCTGGTTGGAATTTTACCTTCCCCCATGAACCCAACAGGTGTCCTTAGGCAAGCTACTTTCAACTTCCATTGTCCCACATACAACAAGGGGCAGTGCTATACATAAATACCTTGTATTATAAGCCATTCCTGAAGCGCACGCATGCTCACATGCAAAGCATGATTTGCACACTAGTGTTTTGACAGTCTGCCACAGTGAGTCTCTGTCTTTGGTTCCAGGCTTCACAACACATTACGTAAGCTAGGCATGGCCCCCCACTTCTCCGCCTTTCAAAAACTAGTAAACACTTAATATCTAACATATGGGTGGTACATGAAATTAAGGAGAAAAAGGTTCCTGCACATTTGAGGCGTTACAGAAACAAATCACTGAGAAGCAGTAGACCATCTCTCTCTTTCCACCCCTCCCAGGAGTGCTGGCATGATAATGAACATTTCACCACAGTTTCTCTTCACATGATTGGTTTTTCCCCTTCTCTATGCTATTTGTCCTCTTGCTTTTCATTTCCTCCACCTCCCCTTTTCCACTGATGCTGCAGCTGGGAGACTGTAAGCTTCTTGGGGCAAGAGACTGTTCCCTGCCACTCAGACATTTTGAATACATAAATGGTGCCACAGCACACACATACAAAAACGTGTAGGGTGAAAGCATTTAATGAATCCTAACAAAGAAACATTATGTTCCTAAAGCAGCACTTTTTCAGCAAAAAGGGCCATAGCACAGTAGTAAGAGCATCTGTTTTGCATGTAGAAGGTCCCAGGTTTAATCCTCAACATCACCATTCAGGGCTGGGAGAGATTCCTGCCTGAAATCCTGGAAAGCTGCTGCTAGTTAGTGTAGAGAATACTAAGCTAGATGGACCAACGATCTAACACATATAAAGCCACTTTTATGTTACACCTGAATGCAGTATAATAGAGAAAGTTATCCAAGTACACTCCTCAGCTGTTTTCAAACTTTTCACTTTAGGGAATCCTTTCCAGCAATCAAGTAACAGTACTGCAGACCCAGCCCCTTACGTAAAAAGAGCCCTGCTGGATCAGACCAAGGACCCATCTGGTCCAGCATCCTGTTCTCACAGTGAACAACCAGATACCCCAATGGGAAGCTGGCAAGCAGGACATGAGCTCAACAGCACTCTTTCCCTTGAGATTCCCAGCAAATGATATTATTATAAATTCAATTTATTACCACCTTCCGCCAAACGGCCCTAAGGGAGATTGCACCAGTTTAAAATACAACAAACCAGTGCCACAAGAACAGGGTATTCAGAGACATTCGGCCTCTGACAGTGGAAGTAAAGCATAGACATTGTGGCTAGTTGCCACTGATAGCCCCCTCAGCATCTATGTTCATAAGGCTACAAAGAGGTCCTGATTTGGATAAAAGTGGGCAGGGGTTGGGGGGGCTTGTGTTTTGTGGATTTCAGAGTCCCCCTACTATTTCCCTAATAATTGGGGCATAGCTTTCTACATCAGTATCTGCAGAAGAAATCCCTATGTGTTGCAAAGGATTTCAGGGAGCGTTATTAGGAAAATACTAAATTCACAGAGACCTTTTGCCATGTAGGAATGTACATCCTAAAGCACATTAAACACTCACATGCAACTGCCGATTTTTTGGTTATGAGTGAGCAAGCTACTGTTTAAGCTTCATCTTCTCAATGAGGACAGACACACAGACACACCACATTTACTTCTAAGGAACCCGCCTCCACCCCGTGTTCTCCAGAAATGAGATTGAAAGCTACTATTCTACAGCACACTTTCAGATCCATAAGCTTTCTCCCATGCACATTCAGTAAAGTACTGAGTTTGCTTTTCCAATCATTTCTTCAGTCCCTTCATTCAGCAAATTTGAAGTACCGTATTTTTCGCACCATAGGACGTACCGGACAATAGGGGGGAGAACAAGAAAAAAAAAATCTCCCCCTCTCTGCCCAGCGCCCCTTCAGCGAAGCGGCAGGAGGCGCTGCGCAGAGAGGGGGAGAACTTTCCCCCTCGTTTTCCCGCCCTAAAACAAGGTGCCGTTTAGGGTGCGTTCAGGCAGCTACCTTGGAAGCCTGGAGAGCGAGAGGGGTCGGTGTGCACTGACCCCTCTCGCTCTCCAGGCTTCAGGTTCCTTTCAACCTGCTCTTTGGGGCTGACGGGGGGAAGCCCACCACCAGCCCCAAAGAGCAGGTCAGGGAGCAGCGGAAAGGCGCAGCGGAGAGGCTCCTGCCATAGCCGCGCATCACCTCTCCAGCCGGGAGAGGGTCGCGGGGTGCTTCTTTAGCCCCGCGCGCGCTCTCCAGGCTGGAGAGGTGACGCGTGGCTGTAGAGGCTCCTGCCATAGCCGCGCGTCACCTCTCCAGCCTGGACAGGGTCGCAGGGCTATGGCGTCTTCGCTCCATAGGACGCACACACATTTCCCCTTCATTTTTGAAGGGGAAAAAGTGCGTCCTATAGAGCGAAATATACGTTATGTTTCTCAGGCACAGGTACGAAATGCAGCGATTCGGCTGCGTTGATGAACAGGTTTATTTGACCATTCCCTCAGGCTGCAAAAAGGTCCAGTGGATGTATTTCCTTATTCCCCTGCAGTTGCCTGAGATGCAGATTTATCTACACTTTCTGAAGTAAGAAATCAACTTCCCATTACAGATGTCCCTCTCTAAGGCTGCTTTGAAGTGGTGTCTGTACAGCAGGATATCTTGCCTGCAGAGGGTATCCCAGGGCACGGCCTGACGGTACATGATGCAGCAATTCTGTTGAAGCTAAGCAGGTTTAATTATTACCTGAATAGGAAATCGCCCAAGAATGCTATTGACATCGCCTTGAGTGTGATGGTGGCACTAGATCTTCCAAAACTTCCTAAGCCATGGTTTAAGAAGATATTAACAATTGCTCCTCCTGTCCTCCTCCTGTCACACGCTGGCTTCAGCACAAATGTCCCGGCTTGTATTAAACCAGAATTCCCCATTATGTGTGAATGGGCTAAATTCAGATTAATACCAGTTAAATCATGAAAATAAGCCAAGATTTAAGCTAAATCCCAATGCTTGGCCACCACTTCATAAACCACTGCTTGTGAAACCTCACTGTTTGTGAAACCTGATACAACCAGTGTGGTGCCCTCAAGTCATAATCCACATTATCTGGAGGGTCCAACATTGGCTAGCCCTACATTTAAGATAGTTGTCTGAAAGACGCTGTCAGGGGTTCAGGGACAGAGGCACAGGGTAGGCAGGAGATGGAGAGCAATGGGGATGAATCCCAGGACAGCGAGGAAGAGGATGACAATGACTCAAGAGATTCCATGAGTCTTTCCAGCGAATCAGATGATTCCCAGAAGGGGGCGCCGGTGGTCAAGGCCAGGGGAGCCCCAGGGGGGACGTGTCAGGAGCAGGGGTCCAGCGGGTGATCACAAAGTGGCATCTGGGCGTCAGGACCAGCCTCCCCGCCAGAGTGCAGCGAAGGGGTGGAGGTTTCAGTGTATCAGGGAAGCGGCTCCGGCAGCAGAGAAGGGAGGGAGGTCGGAGCAAGCCACCCTCCCGGAAGGGGAGGGAGTAGTGAAGGGAGTAGTGTAGCTGTTAAAAGGAAGGTTAGAGGTTGGGCGCGCGCATGAGTTCAAATGTAGAGGCGCGCGGAAGTACAGGGAGCCCGGAGGAGGGGCCAGGTCCCAAAGCCCGCAGGAGGGGCAAGAGCAGTCTGGGGATTCCTCGTCAGATGAATCCACGAGTGGCGCAACCCCAGCCGGCAGAAGGCCCCTGCGGAAAAGCAAACAGACAAAGAGGTGGATCAGCGCAAGCCTCTTAACCTGGTGCAGGTGAGGGACGGATTCAGAGGGGACTTCAGCGGTCTAAGCGTAGCAGACGTAGGGCTGCGCGCCTCGGATGTGAAGCAAACAATGAACTGCAATAAACACTTTTGTATATAAGAAGAGATAGGCGTTGGTCTTTTGTGAGCTGAGACTTGAGGCAGCCCTGACAGACGCCATTTTGTTTTACACTGCGTACCTAAGTGTCATTGAGGGAAAGAGCCCTTCAGTGGCAGAATATCTGCTTTGCATGCAGAAGTCCCAGGTAAAATCCATGGCATCTCCAGGTAGGGCTGAGGAGGGCATTTTGACTGAAACTAGTGCACTAACAATCAGCGTAAACAAAATTGACCAAGATGGGCCATTGCTCTGACTCAGTATATGGCAGCGTCCTATGCATAAATGTGTCGTGGCTCTGAAATCAGATCTATTGCATGTGATATAGCCCACCTTCCTGTGTGTAACAAGGCTTTCATCTCTATAGCATGAAGAATAACTACAAGTTTACAAACAAACAAAAAATCCTACCCAACAGCCTGAAGGCAATTATTATTTGCCACAGGTAAGGGTCAGTTTCCATGCCTGGTGTCCTGTGCATGAGCGGGATTCAAAACAAGATACCACACCAGGTTAGGAGACAGAATGAATCCTGACTCAAGCAACAGCAAAGTAAGCCAGCAAACTATCTGGATTCTTTTTAAAGCAAAGTTGCACTGAGAGAAAAGGGGGGTGGGGACTTTACAGAAACTTTATTAATGCTTTAAAAGGTCAAGTCCTTGTCACAAATCAAATTCTATATATTGTATAACCTGGCTTGATTACACAGCATTTCTGGTGCCAATGGCTTACATTAACAGTGATATAATCAGGCTTAAACCAAGTGGCTTAAGCTAAAATATGTCAAAAGTCCTCATCACCTGAATGCAATTGGCCTATTATTCCAGTGACAATTAACATACTTCCAAACTAAGTGTCTCGCCTCTTTAGCATTACCATCAGTGTCTCCCAGTGTCTGCTGAGAACTGTAGTCCTTCCTTAGTCATTCCCAGCTCACAAGAAGTACACCCTAGCCATTGGCATCACACACATCCCTAAATTCCTATTGCAACATCAAAGGATTGCTAAATCATTACCTTCAACATGCAAAACAACATTGTGATGTTTTGGAATCTACTGAATGACTTTGCATAAAGATGTCAGTTGTTGCAATATGATCTCCACAGATGGCACAGAGCATGTAAGCGACACAGACACACACACACACACCAACAGAGAAAAGGGATCATAAATGTTGCAGCTCATTGCTATAGCAGGATTCCATAAACTGATCACTGTTGTTGTTTTTAAAAAATACATTTCCACAGAGATTACGCAGCTGAGGTATATGCTAGTAGGCTTGTTTTACAAATGAGTTCTTGATTTGCAGATTTGCATTGATTTGTCACCACCTCATTATTAAAGGTATTACAGGTTTTGTAAAATACAGGAATTCCTTTAAAGGAACAGGAGTCTGCAAGAGTATGGGAATGGGAGATTCATGACAGATAAAAGGAAGGACTTTGTCGCGCAGTTTCAGGTAGTTAAACTGTTGAATTCTCTACTACAAAGAGGTAGTGATGGCCATCAACTTGGACAGCTTTGTAATGGATGAAACGTCTTTATGGAGGGTCAGGCTCTCCGTTGCTTCTCGTCCTTATGGTGATATGCTACCTCTAGGAGCAGAGGTGTTGTGCTTCTGGATACCTGTGCTGGGGTACAAGAGCGAGAGCAGTGACTGCCCTCATGTCCTGTGCATGGGCTTTCTGTTGGCCATGGTGGGAACCAGAATATTGGACCAGGCAGCCCTTTGGTCAGATGAAGCAGGGCTCTTCTTAAGTTCCTAATTAGTTTCACTGGATAACTCCCCCCCACACACACACACAATTTTCAAGTATTACGATAGAAGGATTTCTCTCCACCCACTTTCTCTTCATGATACAAAATTCTATACACCTCTATCATGTCTCCCTTTTACTTGACTTTTCCTAGGCTTTTATCCTCTTGACTCCAGCCCCTCGATCATTCTGGCTCCCTCAGTGTAACTCTACAATATATTTTTGAAATGCAGCAACTAGAACTATAAACAGTATTCAGTATTCCAAGAATGGTTGCACTACTAGTTTGTATAAAAGCATTACAGCAATGGCAGTTTTCAATCCCCCACAAGAAATTTGCATTTTTCAGCATTACCGCAGTCTGAGTGGCTGTTTCTAGTGAGCTGTCCACCATGACCCCACAATCCCTTTCATGGACAGTAAGACCCCCATCAGCTTATATAGATGATGGTGGGGCTTGCCCCAATTATGCATCCCTTCACACCTACCTACACTGAACTCATTTGCCAATTTATTCTCCTTTCACCCAGCTTGGGAAGAGCCTTTTGGAGCACTTCACAATGGGAAATGGGGGTACAGTGGTACCTCTGAATGTGAACAGGATCCGTTCGCATCCTGAAGTGAACGTAACACACGACTGCACATCTGCACGTGCCACGTTTCACCGCTTCCGTGCATGAACATGATGTCATTTTGAGTGTCTGCGCATACGGCAAAACATGGAAAAAGCCGCAGAGCGCAACCCGAAAACGCTCAACCTGAAGCGTATTCATCCCGAGGTATGACTGTATAGACCATAGTTCCAGGAAGCCATACAAGACATCTATCGACCAAACAAGGATCCCATTTGGTGACACCACTTTTACATAGTTATCATTATCCCGCTCTTCACCCTAAGGTCCCAGGAAGGGTTACAACAATTTAAAATGCAACATTAAAAGAGTTTTAAAAATTACAACTAAAAATACAATCACAAAAGCAGTTGTTGTTCCTGAAAATATACATCTTAGATGCCAAAGGCCCTAAGGAGTTGCATCTTCAGCATTCATCAAAAACTGTACATTGAAGTTGCCAGCTGCATCTTTGTGAAGAGGTAGTTCCACAACTTAGGGGCTGCCACAGAGAAGGCCTCTCCCAGGCTGCTGCCACCACTGCTTCTGAAGGCAGCAAAACCACAAAAGAGCCCCATCCCCCATGAACTTTGCACCTGAGAAGATCTGTAGGGAAGGAGGTGGTCTTTCAGGTATTGGGGGTCTGAGTCATTTAGGGCTTTAAACACTAATGTGAAAACCTTGAACTGGATCCAGAAATGAACCCAAAAAGTATGCAAATGGATTTCCACAACAATGAAGACAAGAAACTCATTTTTTTAAACTGGGGAGAAAAACTTGATTCCCAAGATTCTACATCAGCTCAAAAAATGATACATGGTGTGACCTAAATAGCAAACAGTCTGAACCTACAACCATGCGTAACAGATGCTCATCATAGACATACTTCAGAAAAATGAATGCCAAAGCTCGACAGGGAAATTTACTCTACTGCCCTGACAATTATCTTTCAATGTAACCTATAGGGAAACATTCACATTCTAAGCACTACAGGGAACCCAAATAAAGATCCATATTTGGCATGTAAAAGCAGACTTGCCACTAATTTGCTCATATGATATAGCAGGCCACCAAGGGGCTGTCTTATTGCAACCCCACATACACCTGCACAAAGCAAACCCAAGCGTCCAGACATTTTGGTTTTGTTTAGTAGCCAAACATTGTTTCTACTAGCCAATGAAGTTTAACTTTCCAACTACTTCTCCAGTGCATGTCATATGAACACAGGAAGCTACCTTATACCAAGTCAGACTATTGATCCATCTAATTCAGCACTGTCTATCTATTCTATACTGTTTAGCAACAGCTCTTCAAGGTTTCAGAGAGGAAGACTCCTCCAGCCCTAACTGGAGATGCCAGGAATTGAACCTGGGACTTTCTGTGTTCAAACCACACATTTTACCATTGCCTAGGCCCTATGGCCCCCATTTGCACTCATTCCCTAGCAAGGTTTTACTGGAAAAGTGGGGTGGGAGTTGTGTATTTCTCATTGCCACTGGAAAACCCGTAAGTAGATAACACATAGTTTCAAGCCTCCAAACTGCTGCCCTCTATGAATATTCAAGCAACCAATAAAGGTATTTCACAAAAAGGGCTGAAATTATATGTCATGTTAGCATTCTCCAAACCAAAGTTCAAAAGACTGAAAATGTGGCATGGTCTCACTTACATCTTCCTCCCCTCTCTCTAACCCAGATTGCCTTCAAACCAAGTCTGCTCAATTCTAACATCAAGGCAAACTAAGATAACACTAGAATTAATTCTGTGGTCAGTGTGCTGCTACTCCATATTAGCAGCCCATTCTTTGTTACTTGAATTTTAGTGCAAGCCCATGTCTGTGTACAGTGGTGGTACCTTGGGTTAAGTACTTAATACGTTCCGGAGGTCCGTTTTTAACATGGAACTGTTCTTAACCTGAAGCACCACTTTAGCTAATGGGGCCTCCTGTTGCCGCCGCTCTGCCGGAGCACGATTTCTGTTCTCATCCTGAAGCAAAGTTCTTAACCTGAAGCACTATTTTTGCGTTAGCAGAGTCTGTAACCTGAAGCGTCTGTAACCTGAAGCGTATGTAACCCGAGGTACCACTGTACTTGGAAATATGTTCCATTGGACACAGCTGGTGAGAATTTGCAGTCTGAACAATTCAGGCCATGTCCCATGATGTTCCATCAGTTATGAACTTTATTCATGAAAAGCAGTCCTTTTTTTTTTTTTTTTACTCTGTCTCTCCTTTATTGTAACGCAGACAGCATGGAAATAGCCTGTCCGCGGGTTGCGGTAGAGAGTTTTACTTTACGCACCAGCTACCAAATTCAAGCCTATGAAAAGAGGCAGGAACCTGTTTGGGGTGCGGTAAAAGCAGTGCTTTTTCATGGTGGTTCCAAAATTATGGAATTCACTCCTACTTACAGTCAGGAACACACAGAATCTCTCTCATTCAGAAAGGAGTAAAGACCTTATTTCACTGTGCCTTTTCTATTTTAATTATACCTGACACTTCCAGAGTTTTGACAGTGCCACTATTTCATATGTTTCCCTTATTTTTGTCATCACTAACTTCAGTTTTAAATAAACTGGGTTTTTTTAGTTTTATTGTGAACTACCTTGAAAAAAATGGTAAAAAGCAGGAACTACATATAGTAAATGCTATGCTCATCTTTAAAGCCGTGAAGAGCTCAGGACTCAAACACTTGAAGGAGTACCTCTCCTTATAACCAGCCTGCCCATGTCTTGAGACTTTTGGTGGAAGCACATTTCCATATTCCACCATTAGAAACTCACTATGTAATGATATGGAATAATTCCTTCTCCATGGTGAGGAACCATCTGTAGAATGCTGTTCTTTGATATGCATGACTGGCACTGTGCTGATAACAAGACTTATTTATGTGCTCTGTGCTGATAACAAGACTTATTTATGTGCTCTGGCATTTTCAGTTTCCCACCATATTCTCTTGACCACAATTTCCAAGCCAATTAGTCTCTGAGCCCAATTCAAAGTGCTGGTTTTTACTTATGAAGCCTTACATGGCTCAGGACCACAATACCTCAAGGACCACCTCTCTCCCTATGAACCGACCCAGACTCTGCAATCATCATCCGAGACTCTTCTTCCTGCGCCTTATCCACAAGAGATCACAGTAACGGGCCTTTTTTGCAGTGGTTCCCCATTTGTGGAATGCTCTCCCCAGGGAGGTTCAGGGATCCTCAAATGAAGGGCGGTATAGAAATGTACAAAATAACAAGGTAAAGGGACCCCTGACCATTAGGTCCAGTCGTGACCAACTCTGGGGTTGTGGCGCTCATCTTGCTTTATTGGCAGAGGGAGCCGGCGTATAGCTTCCAGGTCATCTGGCCAGCATGACTAAGCCACTTCTGGCAAACCAGAGCAGCACACGGAAACGCCATTTACCTTCCCACCAGAGCGGTACCTATTTATCTACTTTCACTTTGACGAGCTTTCGAACTGCTAATAAAATAACAAATGAATAAATAAAATTCTTTTAACTTATTTTATTAGTGTATTTTTAAATTGTCACAACTTGCCCTGGAACCTCAAAGCATGGTACAGGGAAGAAATCTAATAAATAACTGTAATAACTGCTTAAACCAGTGGTGTCCAAACTTTTTTCAAAGAGGGCCAGATTTGATGAAGTGAAGGGCCATGAGGGCCGACCAAGGGGCCAACCAAAGTTGTTGAGCTTTTTTTTTTAGGATTGAAGTTGAGGCTTTTTTAGGATTCTACCCCAGGGAATAAACTGCGGAAGGTACCGGATTAAACCGAACAGCGGGCCAGATTATGCCCTTGAAATGGACTTTGGAAATGCTTGGCTTAAAATATTCAGTTGTTTTTAGGTACTTTCTTTGTCTGAAGGCGTTTCTACTCCACCTTCTTGCTTCTTTTAAATGATTTGACGATTTTGTATTCACTATTTTGATCCAGTATTTCTGTGCATGAAGGGCAGCTTAAAAGCTATTTTAAAATAAAAAATAAGACAGATTACTCACATGGGAAAAGCCTGCTTCATGGCAAGTTATGAAAGCATCCAAGCTAGCTTCTCAAAGTATTTTCACCTACATCAAAACTACAATATAAAAAAAGCTTACATAGCCTTACCTTGGGCCAATGTACTACCAATGTGTCAAAGTGTGCAGAAAGAGCTTGCTAGTATAAAGCAACTGATTAAGTAGCTGTGAATGCTTTTGCAATGAATAAGACCCAAAAATCCTTTGTTTTTTGTTTAAAAAAGCAACAAAATACCACCCTGGCAGAAGGGGTAAGGATGGATGGATGGAGGGAGAGAGAGAGAGAGAGATCATGAAAGACTAGAATTAAACAAGATGAAAATATCAATGTGTAGATAGAAAAGATTCCCTCATTGTGATTATTTTTTGAAGTTTAAATTGTTTTTGTTTAAACTTCACAATTAAGTCTGAATAAAACACAGGACATCCTCTTAGTAAGACAGGAAGTACTCTCAAGAAACACCTCACCAGGACAGTATCCAACAACCCTGGAATCATTCCATAAGCAATCATACTAGCACCTCTCGCACTGTGGGTTCCCACCTGAAAAAACTTACAACTCTGAATTTGAAACCAAAGCTTTAAATAGAAGCCTAACATCTACATGTTTCTGTTGAGGAGACCTGTTGTGTGTCCCCACCTACACCTTTCTTTCATAGACAACTTGGACAAAGGAGAAGTCCAAAACGTTATCTGAACAAAGACCTAAAAATGGCCCTGGTAGTAGGCCACCCCAATGGGAAAATAGCTATCTATCCCTCAGTATCAAATAATGTAAATTGAAAAGTTCCCTTTAAGCACAAAGTACTGTCAAGCTTTAGACATTCAATAAACCAAAACACACTTTTAAAAAGTTTCTCCAAGTAAGAAAAATCTGACATGTGTTACTCAACATAGGTGAATACTCAACTAAAAAGAAGGGATTAAAAACAACCCCACCCTCTATATAATTGCAGACTTAAGTAGGGTGAGGTGTGTCCAAAAAGTGGCGGGGAGAAAATGCAACACAAGACCATTATATTACTTGTGCATTTATCCAAAATAGCAAAACTAATCTGTTATCATTTACTACGTTTATATCCAGAGGCATTCTAGCACTCTAGCTAGGGAATCAAAACTCCTGCCCAAACATATAGTTCCCCTCTCGCCATTTTATCTCCACAACAACACTGCAAGGTAGGTTAGGCAAACAGACAAGTGACTGGCCCAAGGTCACCCAGCAAGTTTCATAGCTAAGAGATGACTTGAACTCTGGTCTCCAAGGTCCACATACAAATTTATTCACTTTGCAGAAATAGTGGGACTCCACAAATCCCCATGGCAAACCCCCTTCAGTAGAACCATTTACCTGTAGGATACATCCTGGTGCCCAGCCTCCCTTCCCACAACATCCGCTGTTCAGTCAACAATCCCCAAACTCACCTCATCAGCGCTCAGCTCCTCCATTGTTTTCCTCTTAATGGTGAAAGGAGTTTGGGGGAAGGGGAGCTCTGTACTTCCCTTGAGGGGCGTGCTTGTGGGAGAGAGAGTCTTTAAGGGAAATCCTGTCGTGCTGCCTCTTTCCCTAGGGACGTTTCAGAATTGCATAGTCAGAGGTAAAGACCACCACCACAGAATATACTTCCCCTGTTCTTGGGCAGAGGCTGTTTCTCTCTGGTTTGCTAGTCAACTAAATGATTATGAACATACGCATAAGCCACTCCTATCTAAACCTCCAGGCCTTACCCCTTCCTGTACCTGAAACTATCTCCGCTGTAGCCCCAGCTTTAAAAGCCTCCCTCCACAGGCACCCCAAGCTGCCGATAACCCCCTAGGATCCTAGCTCCTGCTTCCTGCCTTGGGTCCCACTGACCTTTTTTCTCCACACTCCAGGCGCCCCAGATGGCCTACCAAGCAGCCTCCGACCGAAACCTCGCTGCTCACTGTCCCCCAGTTGTCCTAAAGCCTCAGTGGCACCCTGCCGCCTGTTATGGACCTTCCTACAAACCCTGAAAGCTCCCCAGGTCAGCAAGACACCGCCTCGTATCACAAGAGGCTCCTATTGCTCACCGTCCACCAAACACGGCAGAGAGCCTTCCGCTTGCTCACTACCCCCAGTTCCCAATCGCAGGCTGCCTTCCGTATACCCAGGAAACCCTATTAGTCCCATATATACACATAAGATAGGTCCCGCTCTTTCTCCCTCTGCTAGAAACCCCAAGCTGCTTGCTGGCTCCTATACAGTATATTCAATATATAGATAGATAAATGAATACAGCGCCCTGCCACCAGCTATATATTACAACAGTCTCCCCTTAATCGGCTGCCTAACCTGAAGCCCCAGTTTAGCCAGCTGCCTCCCTTTCGCCTCGCACGCGGTCCCAGCTTAAGCCACCTTCTCTTCCACCTCAGCCCCTTGAATTCTCCAGGTGCCTGGCTTGGCTGGGGCTGCAGAGAAAAGGAGGCAGTGTGGAAGGAGGGTGGTGGTGGGGAAAGCCCGCGCCAATGACTGGCCTTACACCTCTCGGCAAGCCACCAACACACTCCCCTCAGAGCTGCCCCCTCACACTCTTCTCCCTCAGCTGCTGCAGACGCTGCTTCTGCCTCCCTACACAGAGATTATTCATCAAAACAAGGAGGCAGCGGCGGCCATCTTGGCGTCGGATCACGTGACCTCTCCCCTCCTCTCCCTCGCGCGCGCTCTCTCTCTCTCTCTTTCCTCCAGGCGGTTCTCCGCACGCCTCTTTGCGTACGGCTGCAAGATAGCCAGCCAACCAGAGCTTACGCGTCCGTGCGTCCCTTCGCTCGCGCGCTTTAAGTGCGGGAGGCCAAAGAGAGAGGAGGCTCCTCCCACCAACCAGCCCAAAGAGCGCAGGGAAGGCGCCCAATCGCGGAGCAGAGAGGGAGGTGCAATGAGAAAGAGGCTCCGCCTTCTCCCGCCCAGCAGTCCACGCGCTGCGGATGACACGCCTCCTCCTCCTCGCACCTGCGCCTCCGCTCCACCCTTTATCGTCTTTCGGTCACAGGCCGAAGCGTCCCCGCGTGCGCCCTGGTACTGACCAATGAGAAGAGGGAGGGGAGGCCTCCGCCGCTTGCCCGCGCCCAATCACTGTCACCTACTACAAAAAGCTAAGCTCGGGGTGGGAGGGACTAAAAGCGGGAGGTGGGGCCTGTTTGGTTGCGCCATAGCAACAGGGGCGGGGCAGGCGCGAAAATGCTGCGATGAATGGCGTGGGGAAAAGCTTTTGCTGAGGCGGGAAAGAGAGCTGGGGGAGGGGCTGTCTTATGCAAACGGAGAGCGAGATGACTCGAAACTCTTCATTTACTTGAATAACAGTGTATTATTTGGATAATTATGCACGTTAACAAGCCGAAATAAAAAATAAAAATTACAGCAAAATTGGAATAACTTGGTAATAAAAGCCGTGAAGACCCCAGTAGTCCTTTTATTTTTGTTTCCTGTGTCTTAGATGAGGGGGAACGCTTTCACACTCTGTTCCATCTACGCTTCCAATAGTGGATATTTAACAAATCAATATTTCAGTCCTTGTCTTCATTTGCCTGGGGGTGGGGGGAGATCATCCTGAGGCGCGCTTGAGGGGTGGTGATGTGGTGCAATATTGTCTGATTCGAGCCCCGTGAGGTTTCCATACTACAAAAGCTATTCATACATGCACAATTTTGTTTGTATGCTGCTTTTCCATGGGTGAAACCACGCCCATGGTAGCTCACAACATTGGGGGTGGGGGGTGGAATACGCAATTACAAACAACAAAAGTAGTCATAAGCAACAGAAAGAGTACAGTAAAGGAGCCTGTTTGAACCTTTAAAGATTCCTTGTCTGCCTTGGTAGTTCAGTTTGTAGTGCAGGAGATTCTTAATCTCAGCGTTGTGGGTTCAAGCCCCATATTGAGCAAAAGATTCTTGCATTGCGGGAGGTTGGACTAGATGACCCTTGTGATCCTAACGGCTGGGAGCTGGCAGGGAGAAACCCATGACATCTTGGAGTAAAATAGGTTTAATAATATGAACCCTGAGAATAAGCCAGCAACAGCCACAGGGTGAAAAGGCCTTATCAATTGTGGTACCCACATCTCTTCATCCCTGATCCCAGAGAAGGTTGCCTGACACTCATTTCATCATGTGAAGACCTTTTTCCTTTTTCCTTTCCTTTTTCCCAAGCTTTTAAAAATGTGATTTGGATTGCTTTTAACCTGCCACTCCCCCCCATTGTTTTATGCCCTTGTCATGTTATTTGGTTTTTTGTTTTAATTATTCACTTAATAGGCAAAAAGAAACAGTAAACCAGCTTAAGAGTGGGGGAATGTGCTGCCGAATGACAGGATATGTATACAGTACTTAAATAAAAAACAGGACTTTGCTCTGTGCCAAGGGGGTAAAAACCCAAAGGGTCTGAGAGGCAACTTGAACACTAAGGGTTACCTTCTTTTGCTTTCAGATGACGTTGTGGTGCACATTTGGATTATAGGCCCTGCACTGTCCACTGGGATAGAAACCATGCCGTTAACGGGAACCCTAGGGTGCAGGAGCTATGAGGGCGCACATCTGGATAATCGGACACAGCATTGTGCATTGGGCCAGGGTCCGCGCCATCAATTCCGGTCTCGGGCCGCACCTTAACTACATCAATATGTCTTGGAACTCTCGGAGGGGAATGCGCTGGGCCGGAACGTTGCCCGCAATTAGGGCCAGAGCGGCAGCGGTGGGCCCCCCGGATGCTTTAGTTATCCAGTTTGGCGAAAAGGATTTAGCTTACAGAAAGGAGTTGACTTGGTGTGGCATCTCTTTAGTGACTTTGAGGAACTTAAGGCCTCTTATCCAAACATCACCATTATTTGGGCCTTGTTGATGGAAAGCCGGGTTTGGAGAGAGAGCAGGTGCCCGATAGCCACAAATAGGGCTAGGAAAGCCTTGGATCGGGCGGTGGTGCGTAGAGTGGCAGCCCTGGGTGGGTGGGTCACTGACCACCCGGGCAACTGTGAGGCCCTCTACCGGCTTGATGGCGTGCATCTTTCGGATGCGGGAAATGATATTTGGCTTGATGGCGTGCATCTTTCAGATGCGGGAAATGACATGTGGCTGACTGATATAGCAAAGGGTGTAAGGGATTGGTTTCAGGCATGAGAGTATTGGCGGCGAGCGATTGCTCATGTGGCGGTAGGCATTGGTAAGAAGGGGTTAAGAGGATGTGGGGGGGGGAGGAACGCCATCACCTCCCCCCAGTGAGCGAAGGGTGGTCCGTTAAAGGACTCCGGGGGGCGTGGCCCTGTCCGAAGCCTATGGAGGTGTGGGCCAAAGGCACGCCCCTGAGCGGTGACGGGGGGGGGGGGGAGCTCCTAGTCAACGTGCCTTGGCAGGAGACTCCCCCGATATAGTGTTAACCCTTCCCCGTGTCTCCAGCAAATGGGCTGGAGCCAGATAGTCGTTAGGACCAATGCCTAAGCCAATGCCTCTCATTCCTGAATTCAATAAAGTTGTGGCCTAATTCGCCCATTTAACCTTAAGCTATGGTGTCTCGTGTCTTTATTTATCCTGGTGGGGGGCGGGAACTCGCCACGCAAGTTATAGTCAAAGTACACCCGTTGAAACTAATGGACCTAAATTACTCATATTCATTATTGTCAATGGTTTTACTGTGAGCAACACTAGCACTAAATAAAACCTCGATTATTGGAGTGCTTATGTACATCAGTTCAACTCTGTCAATTACTCTGCAACTAGATAAGTCTGTACAGCATAGTGCCTAATTTATCTGGAGGAAAATTAATTGGGCAGTTTTTACATGGAGGCACATTCAGTCAGGTCATACTGTAGTCCAAAACCGATTTTATCTGTTAATATGGGGTGATGATACCTTTGTTCTATAAAGGGCCATTGACCCACAGGAAAAGCCACCACACTATCACAATGTGAATTAAGCCAATGGTGCCCTCTGATGTTTACTGGAATACAAACATCTTTATTAGTTGCTGCAGCCTTGTGTGCTGGATCAGTGCTTATGTACACGTCAAAACAAACCCCACCCTTGCATATAAGAGTGTTTTTTCAATACCTGATTTAAAAGACAAACAAACTGAAACTTCTTTCTCTCAAAGCAAAATGGGGGGGGGGGATGAAGTCAAAGACCTGCTCTTCTGCTATAAAAATAATGCAAAGACTTAAGCTGCTTGTTAGTTTAAGGAAGGTTCTTCAAGGTAGTCTGCACAACTCAAGTCATCTGCTCACAAGACTTACAAAAATCTCTAGCTGAGTGTCTTTCCATAACGTAGCAGAGGTGCCACCTAATGGTGAGGACTTTGAACTGTGGGGTTTTTCCTTCCTCTAAGAGGCTGTGGTCACATTCACACTATACTTTTAAAGCACACCGCCTCCCCTAAAAAATATTAGGAGATCTATGAGGGGGAAGCTACAGCTCCCAACACTCTTAGGAAATTACGGGATTCTTTTGTGTTTGGGCAGGGGGCAGGACATGTGCTTTAAATTTGCAAAGGGGGCATGACTTGTGCTGAAGAGCCCCGAGGTCCTCAAAAGCTTGCCACAGTTAAGATATTTTGGTTAGTCCTATTAAAGGTATTGCCAAACTGTGGGTCACAACTTGCATCCATCTCAAGCTTCTACCAACTTGTACTAAGAAATAATGAGCTGCGGGGCCTTGTCCGGTGATCAGAAATTTCTGCAGAAAAGTTAATTCACCAGCAACTAGCTTATTGAGTTTCTCATCATGTAATGCTTGATTTGCCTTAAAGCAGGGGTGCAGAGTATTTTCCAGCCTGAGGGCCACGTTGGCTTAGGTCGCACATGAGGGTTGCACATGAGGGAAAGGCCACATACCTAACGGAAAACAGGGCCAGAGGCAAACACACACACACAGAGAGAGAGAGAGAGAGAGAGAATTCACAGTTCACTGGAAGATGGATTGGTTGTTAAATAACTCTGGGGATTGCTGCTCTGTGAGGGGAATAGGGGTCTCCTAACAATGCTCAGCATTCTCAGTGTCCCGAGAACACCCAGCAAGGAGGGAAAATGGCCAGTGGTTTAATTCTTTCTTGACCAAAGCAGTTCCTAAGGTGTTCAGAAAATAAACACATACACATACTACTTGTGGCTACGTAGCTGGCATTAACTTTTTCAGGCTTGTGCTCTGGCTGAACAGTTGAAGCCACAGCGGGACCAGGCACCCCTCTCCCAGGCTTAAATCGCTTTCATCTGATGGAGTGTGTGCAAACACTTCTACATGGAAGTTGCTGCTGTGCTTGCCTTTTCAAGCCCCTCCTGTTCCTAGGAGACAGCAGGGCAGGGGACAGAGGGGATTCAACTGGCCCACCCCTCACCTGAACAGCTTCTTCCTCTGCTTTGACCATGTACTGCACCCCTCACCCCCTCCAAACATACACCTGCTTCTGATCACTCAGACTCTTCCCCTTCCTCCTGCCCTGGCTCCTACCTTGTGGGTGGCACAAAACCCCATAAATCTCTGGCCCACTCCAGCCCCCTGCCCGTCACACACTGGTCAGAGCCCTGCCAGTCCCAGACACTTAAGCTGCAGCTCCCAAAAATATTTGGGGGGAGGCCATGGATATTTAAAGTGGTGTTTTGAATGTATGGTGTGCAGCTGGCATAGGTATACACACCTGCAACCGAGAATTCCACATATATAGTCTTCTATCCCCAAAGGTAGAGTACTCTTAACAAAAAGCTGTAGACTCCCAAGCAAACAGTCATCTTTTTTTTTTTTAATGAAGTTACGTGGTTAGTGCAGGTTAACAGTTACGTTTGTTCCAAAGGATCAGGTTGGAATGCTTTTACAAAAAGAGCACCAGGGGTGGAGGAAGAAGGTTTGACCTGTAAAGCTGCCTTTTCAGTTAGCACTCCATGTCTGAAGTGCCGCTATGCATAAACACTCCTGTACGTGGTTCTCTGCGCTGTTGTCATTTGGGGGATATTGCAGGAATCAACTTCACGCTCGCTTGAAAACCTGCCTGCTTACTTGGTCTTCACATCGGAGTTCCTGCACAAGGAGACATCCGTTAGGAACAAGAGAACATGAAGCTGCTGTACACCAAATCGAACCCACTGGTCCATCTAGTTCAGTATTGCTTACACTGTCTGGCAGCAGCTCTCCAGGGGTTTAGACAGGAAGTCTCTCCCAGCCCTACCTGGAGATGCTGGGGAATGAACCTGGGATCTTCTGCATGCAAAGCAGATTTTTGACCTAAATGTAGCAGTAGCCTAGGCTTTACCCATTGGCCAACTCAATCCCACCGAGCCAAAAGGCTCATTAGCTCTCTCCCTAGTGCATATAAATAGCAGAGACCTTGGCTGCAAACTCCCATCCCAAGTGAAGAACACACAAGCTATTGATGCAACAGCTGTTAAAAAGCCCCTTGCTGCTCACATTGGGCAGGGGGACAGGGGAGAGAAGAGTAGGCCAGAGGACTCACTGGCTATCTCAAGCATGAAACATGGCTGAGGTGTGGTGGTAGGGGGGCCCTTCAAACAGGAAGACCCATATGCAAAGCATACGGAGTCAACATCCCCTAGCTCCAGAGTATCTATCTAGCTGGCTTACCTCCAAAGCAACCCTAGCTATACACCCCTGTAATAACTTACCAAGTACAGGTCATCTCCTTCAATCCAGTGGGTCCAGCCTCTGTTCTTCTTCTCTCCAGTCTGGACACAAACAATCTTGTCGCCATCCCAGTTAACCACACTCTGCAGGGAAGGAGAAGGGTCAAAAATATTCAAGGCGCAGTTCATCTCTCAGGTTCTGCTCCAAGGGTCAACAAATTATACAAGGGCAACACAGAGACTAAGGAGAAGGAAGATAACAGGCAGAGCCACCCTCCAAACTGTCTGTGAGGCACATAGGGGTGGGCTGTCTGAGGGCAGTCCAAGGTTGGTGGGGCAGTGCCCTATCCATTTCAATTAACCCAACTCCACTGTCATGTCAGAAACACTTTCCATGGGCCCACAAATTTTGCTCCCACCCCAACAATGCTAGCTTGGCCCTGTTTATGATGTTTAGATTTATGCCCCACCTTCTAACAGGGCAGCTTACAATAAGCCCATGACAATTAATGCAAGTTAAGGGCTCTTGAAAGTAGCATCCAGATGAACAGAAGAACAAAAAAGGTTCTGGTGTGTATACCTTGATGAAGCACATTCATTCCCTCAAAGAATTCTGGGCACAATTCCCAGAAACCCTTAAACTACAGTGCCCATAATTCTGTGGAGCGAGGAAGAAATGCTTCACAGGTGCAGTGTGTACATAGCCAAAGTATTGAAAAATAAGAGGACAGAGCTGGAAAATGTTGTTTTAATAGAATCAGATTTGGAAGGGGCCCTGAGGGTTATTTAGTCCAAATCCTGTGCAATGCAGGAATCCTGCCCCTGGGTGGGCTCGAACCACCAACCTTCTAGTTAAGAGCCAGATGCACTGTCCCATTGTACCACCTAGGATGCTCTTGTTTGCAATTTTTTTTTTAAACAATGTTGTCCACCAGCCTGAGCTTATCAGTATAGTGGACAGAAAGTCAGGCTATGCAGTTTCCTGACCCATACTTGTGTAATATCACAATGCACTCATACATAAACAAGAATTGGGTACCACAAATTATTGGATCCCGCTCCCCCCCCCCCCCGCCCAGACATCCTGCATGCATGCATGCATCCATCCTGGCCGGGGCGGGGGGAGGATAGCAAGTTTATTTTCAATTAAAGCTGCCTACTTAGAGAGAGGCTTTCTCCAGTCCTCAATACCTTGCATTTTCTATTGTCCAAGCCTTTGTTGTCTTCTTCAAACTCCTCCCCAATCGTGAACTCGACTAAATAGGTGCGGAAAGTGCTGGTTGTGTTGATAGAAAATGAGTCCCCATCTTGTTTGAAGACCTTCTGAGGCTTCAGCATTTTGGCTATCTTGCGGGTGGCAAAATCGATACCTTTGCACAGAGAGACGTTGCATCCAGGTTATTTAGACAGAACACATTTGATTTTCCGATTGCAGGAAGCTGCCTTTTATTGAGTCACACCACTGGTCCATCTAGCTCAGCACTGTCTACGCTGACTGGCAACAGCTCTCCAAAGTATCAGCTAGAGGAAATTCCATGCCATGCCAGGAGATGCCAGGGACTGAACCCAAAACCATCAGCATGCAAAGCAGAAATGCTACCACTCAGCTATGCCATAACTGCTACTTCCCACCCAGTGGTATAGTGGTCCAGGGTCATGGGGGATGGGGTCAAAGACCCATTACTATTTCTGCCGCAGGGTCCATGCCTGCAGCCTTCCAGAGCTGCCCTATCAGCATGAAATGGATGCCGCTTCTATGTTGCAGAAGCCAGGCACTTACAAACACTGAAAACACAAGGTGCTTTCGTTTCAAGAGAATGGTGTGGATATTCTGTTCTGTGCAATGGAACTTCAAAGAAAACACAACTTAAAAGTCATTGCAAAATAATATAATGGGGCAGTCCGAATCCTGTACATGCACAGAAAATGGTAGATCTATCTGAAAGGCAACACGGTAACATCTGCATTGCTGGTTGCAAAGCATCACTAATACGTATATCTTATAAGGCTGTCTAGTCATAAAAGGGGTGTGACTATGACTATCATGAAGGGATCTTGAACTTCCAGATTTGCCACTACATTCCCACTCTACCCCTCACCTGCCCAAACCTAGGTAATCTGAGTCCTGGTCAGACCACTGCCCCAGTGCTTTTGCCTTTGAAGATCGGAAGTTGGCAGACTGTTAAGAAGTCCCCGTTCCTTAGGATTGATGGAGAGCAATTAGCTTTGTTAAAAAGTGTTTAGGGGGTGGTGGGAGAGAGAATTTCATGTTCTTGGAACAAGTCATTCAGGAAAGTGTGGCAAATGTGAAATCAATTCCTCAACTTCTTCAGCCCAGTGTTGAAATAAAGTTACTCATTTGAGCCAAAATAAATGGGTCAGACGTCTGAATTATTGGGAAACCTTATTGCAAACTTGTAGGTTGGCACAGAAGATTGTGGAGTGCTCCCTCAGCCTCCTCTCCCCTCTTCTTGGAAGTCCTCCAGGCAGCCCCCCCCCCATCTCTGAGCCTCCTCAGCTCCTGGCAACCAGCACCCCCTGCCCAGCCCCAAAGGCACCATTTGCCTGTGTTGCTTGTAGCCAGGGCTGCTGCAACAAACAGTTGTGCAAGCCTTTGGGAGGCAGAGACGGGAGGGGGCATCAGAGGAGGGAGGGAAGGAAAAAGGGACAGAGGCCAGGGTTGCCTGCAGCATCCCTGACCATCATTTCAAGGCACCCCAGGGTGAAAACCACTGGTCTAGCCACTTGGCATTGGTTCTTTGTCAATGTAGGTGAACTAGTAGCTGCTGCGGGGCCAATGTGGTATAGCGGTTGCTGTGTTTGATTTGAAATGATAGAGCCCTAGTTCAACTCTCCACTTTGAGGTCTCATTAGGCAATATTTTCTCACAACCTAACAGTACCTTACAAGGTTGTTGAGTGAAAAAAAGGAAGCCATGTGTGTGTGGCTGCCCTGAGCTCAAGAGCTTGTAAACTTCATAAGCACAGGGCTGCAAACATTCTAGACCTGACCCACTTGTGTTGCCAAACACTGTTGTTGAGACAACTCACTAAGGAGACTGTAATACCCATTTTAGCTAGAGAATGAAGGTTGAGAAGACCAGGTGTGCCCAGAGCGACACCAAGAAGCAATTTGGATAATATTAACTCCCACATAAGCTCAGATGATCACCTAGGTGTTGGCCTCTCCCCTATAATATGCACTTATTTTATTTGAAACACCAAGTGTTTCCAGCAAATTACATCCTTGCACAGAAACAGAAGGAGACTTTGAATTTGCCCAGCTCTTCCTTCAAAATAAACTCCTATACTCACTGATGTAGGTCTACGTCACAGGGTTGTTACAATGGCAAAGCAGGGGAGGGAGAACAAACTCCAGCTCCTTGCCTGGAAAGGGACTTCCATTCAGAAATACATGTAGTTAATCCTCCAAGATACAGAATGCTTGGATTCCTCAATTCAACATAAGGGAAACCAGCAATCCTGTACATACTTATTCAGGAACCAAGCCCCAAATTCAACAGACCTTACTTCTGAGTAAATAACTCAAGGAACTCAGAGCCGAGAATCAGCAGTGATTAAATACAAACTTTTTTAATAATAAAAACAAAAATCAAAACACCCATAACATATTGCAGAGTTCAAACAAGTACATATACAACTTCTGGCTGAGGAAAGGGGTGGGGTGGGGGACATTCTGAACAAAGAGTTTCCAGCATAAAGCAAATAATCAAAGAGGAAGAGAAAAATCAAACTATATTTCAGCTTACCTAAGGCCACCATGTAGCCTTCAAAGTTCTCACTGCTGACAAGGTTCCAGGTGCCATTGAAATCAGCAGGCATGGCTGAAGTAGACAAACAAACCTACCGGTAATACACCACCAAAGCTAAGTGGACCTTTGCAGACCCTCCTCTCTCTCTCTCTCTCTCTAGATATATATATATGGAGAATAGGAGAGGTCTCACAGCTGAAGGTGATGGGAGTGTGATCCAATCTACTGGAGGGGTGGGCCCAGAATCTGCTGCAGCTGGGACTTTGGAGGGGAAAGTTCAAGCTATTTGAAATCTTTTCTTCAGAACTAAAAGTGACCGTTCCATGAGTCACGGGGTGGGGAGGAGGCAAGAGGAGAGTTTTAACCTCTTCTTGGTCTTACTGTGGGTCATATCTGGGTCTCTCTCAAAACTGGTGGCATGGGAGAACTTCCGAGCAGCCCTGCCAGAGATTAGGCCAAAGGTCCCTCCAAGCCCCAGTGTCTTGCTTCCGACAGTGGGCAGCCAAGGGTGCCTCTGGGAAGACCACAGAGCTTCCCCACGGTCACTTCCCAGCATTTGGCATTTGGAGGTACAGTGGTACCTCGGGTTACAGACGCTTCAGGTTACAGACACTTCAGGTTACAGACTCCGCTAACCCAGAAATAGTACCTCGGGTTAAGAACTTTGCTTCAGGATGAGAACAGAAATCGCGCTCCGGTGGCACGGCGGCAGCAGGAGGCCCCATTAGCTAAAGTGGTGCTTCAGGTTAAGAACAGTTTCAGGTTAAGAACGGACCTCCAGAACGAATTAAGTTCCTAACCCGAGGTACCACTGTGTACTACTTCTGCAAAGGCAGTTTCTATCCCAAATTACCCAGAGCTAATACGGGTACAAGAAGGTGCCCAAGACCCAACTCAAGACTCTTTCAATGGATGGGGACATCTTGGACTATTCAGTGTTGTTGGGGCTACAGTTTCCATCACCCCCTGACCATTGGCCTTGCTGGCAGGGGCTGATGGGAGTTGGGATCCCAACATCTGGAAGGCCACAGGCTCCCTAGCCTTAGTCTAAACCAGGATCTCCTTTCCAACAGTTGCCAGTCAGATGATTATGGGAGGCCAGAAAAGAGGCCTTTGCTGTTTCTCTCCTCTGCTACAGAATTGTATGCAAAGCAACTTTTTTAAAAAAACCTCCAGTAAGAGTTGGAAGGGACTCTAAGGATCATCTAGTCCAACCCTCCTACAGTGCAGGAATATGCAGCTGTCCCTTACAAGGATCGAACCTGCAACTTTGGCATTATCGGCACCGTGATCTAACCAACGGAGCTTTCTGTGTACTGATTGATAACAATTAAAGTAATAACAATTAAAAGTAGACTGCCTCACAAGATGGAAGCTCCACATAAAGACTAATAAGGTTGTATCCAGTCAGGTCCTACCCACAGAAATAAATGGGCCTATGTTAGCCATGGCCATCAATTTCAGTGGGTCTACTCCGAGTAGGGTTAGCATTGGACAGGTCCATGCATTTTTCTCATCCCTTAAGTTAGGGTCTGCCACCACACCTTGTGGCAGTGAGTTCCACAAGCTGATTGTGCCCCATATGCAGAAGGGTTTACTTATGTCTCACCTGGATCTTGTTGTTGTTTAGTCATTTAGTCATGTCTGACTCTTCGTGACCCCATGGACCAGAGCACTCCAGGCACTCCTGTCTTCCACTGCCTCCCACAGTTTGGTCAAACTCATGCTGGTAGCTTTGAGAACACTGTCCAACCATCTCGTCCTCTGTCTTCCCCTTCTCCTTGTGCCCTCAATCTTTCCCAACATCAGGGTCTTTTCCAGGGAATATTCTCTTCTCATGAGGTGGCCAAAGTATTGGAGCCGCAGCTTCAGGATCTGTCCTTCCAATCTCAGGCCCATTTAACTGGGAAGAACAGCTGCAACTACCCAGTGGTCCTCGGTCCTCTAGGCAGTGACAAAGGCCCTTCAGCCTGCGCATTGCACCCTGTTTATGTACTATAAACTTGAACATAAGCAGATGCCCCACCTCCACAGTTGGAGGCAGTATGCCTCTGAATACCACATGTGGAGAGAGTACTGTTGCGCTCAAGTGCTGCTTGCAGGATTCCCAGAGGCACATGGCTGGCCACTGTGAAAAGAGGATGCTGGACTAGATAGGCCTTTGGCCTGATCCAGCAACTTGGCTGTTCTTATGTTTAGATAAGGCTAAGCAGATAAGAGGATGAATAAACTCTCATGTGCTACTTTGCTCTGCAATACGCTACAGCCAAAGTTTATATATATATATATATATATATATATGGGGGGGCATAAAACTCAAGTTAATCAGACTATTTTGAGTGGGCAAACACCCTGGTGCCCTTAACAATTTAGCAACCTCTGCAGAAGGAGGTTGCGGTCACAGCAGAGACCTCGAACTCTGACCACATTTCTGGTCCTCCCAAGTCTCTCCAAGTTGCATGACCATCTGGGATTGCAATACCAGACCTCAGAGTCGCCTTCCTGTCCTTCGTGCACCATTGTTCTCTACCTCATGGGATAACAAAAAGGGAACAGTCTTGATTTTTAATCAAAATAGTTTGTGCACTTGCTTACACATACACCCGTTGTGGTGCCTCTTGCATGCCTAGATGGGGTATGTGTGTGTGTGTGTGCAGAGTGTGGTGTGTCAGTGCATATGGGAACTAGCTTCTGGTACAAAGGTAACACTTATATTTTCTCCTAGTAGTGTAGCAATAAAACTGCTAGCACATTTGCAAAGCTAAGCAGGGTCTGGTGTGGCTTTAAATTGGAAAGGGGGCTAAGTGTTGAGATTCCTACACTGCAGGGGGTTGGAGTAAATGACCGTTGGGTCTATGATTCACCCACTTGTGCCTTTGTCTCAATGCACCACTGGAACATGGCCCTGGGATGTTGTGAACCTCAGGCTGAAAAATGGTTCTTTGTCCCTCTAATATATAAAGGGACTTGGGATTTGTTGAAAATTCAAGTGGCAATATCCCTTAGCCAAACATAACCCATAGTCTTGTTTGGCTGAGCTGATTTGGTGAGTTTCTCTGACAAGGAAAAAAGCTTTTTTCTTAGATCCAGGTGTCAAATGCGGCCCTCCAGTCCTATCTGGCCCTTGGGATTCTTGACAGGCCACACCTCCGCCCCAGGCCACGCCTCTCATTGTCCTTCCTTCGCCCCCTCCTCATGCATTTCTGCCTGGCTGGATTATGTCCTTCAGCTCTGATCATGATCCTGCCTTGCCTTGATGGGAGCATGGAGAAGCAAGGGTGTGGGTGAGTGTAGAAACTAGCCCCCTATACAAAGGTAAAATTTATATTTGTTGCTCTGCCCACCACTGGCATGCATCCCCTGCATAGCTGTCAACTTTTCCCTTTTCTTGCGAGGAATCCTATTCGGAATAAGGGAATTTCCCTTAAAAAAAGGGAAACATTGACAGCTATGATCCCCTGGAAAGTTGCCCAGAAGGGAATGTGTCTCTCGGGCAGAGAAAGGTCCTCTATCCCAGTGCAAAAAGGAACACACTCAGCTTGTGAACTGATTTCATCATACTGATTTTATTGTAATATTCTAAACTTGTTGAGTAAGGAAGTTATCAAAATATCACATGTTGATCTCCTGGCTCATGCACAGTGCCTCTCTAGCTTTGCAGAGGTAAAGTGCAAGGGGCACGCACACAAACGCTCTCACACTACAGCATTATGATTTTAAAGGGTTGGTTGTGCAGCTGTGGGGAGGGCAAAGTGCGATTTTTCAATGAAAGCTGACCGTAAACAAAAAACTCTTGACCCTGTTCTGTTCCTGTTAATTATTCATTTTAAAAATAATAATTGTAAAGAAGAAAGTCACCAAAAATTGAAACGGGTATTTGTACACACACACACACACACACACACACACACACACACACACACAATATACAAGAACATTCAGTAACTGAATAAAGACAAATCCTCATCTGTTACACCCATTATGTGAAACATAACAACACTGATAGCCTTTGTAGGTTTTCTTGTGCGTTGTTCTTTCTCCAGTATGTGATCATTCTCCCCAATCTTACAAAATATAACATACAATAAATGCATTATCGCCTTGTGATTGCTTTGTTGAACGGCAATAATTGCAGGTTGCTAACACATTGTCACAGTTTTTCCTTTTCCTGTTGTTCTTCTCCTCTTGTTTTTACAAGGAACATTCTTGCTTCAGCTAAATTAAATTACTAACATTCTATGTTCTTTCTTCATGCAAATCCCAGTATCATTTAATAACATCACCTCAGGGTGGCGGTGGTATATGCTACAACATCTTTTGAAATCTCTTTTAATAGCCCCTATAGTTTATTTCTTGAATCACATGACAGTGCTGGGGGGAAACGCACAAAAATTCTGTTCAATTGATGTGTGAGTCATGGAAGTTTAAGAGGACCAAAAGCTTTGTTGATTTTTCTTTTCTTTTCTGTTGGCGGCTCTGAACCAACAGAGCTAAAAGATTCAAAGGCATGCAGTCTTTCTGTGAAAAGCATTTCCCAATATGCATTCATGTAGAGGAAAACTGGAGAGGAGACGGAAAACCTCCTCTTGGTTCCTGCTCTTCCTCCTCTGTTCGTCACATATTCCCTTATCTGTTTCCTTTGGGAGCCAGCCATAGTTACCTGTGCATTGATAGCTTACCATAGCTATCTGCAATTCAGAGTCTGCAGCTAGGTTGGAACTGGGTGTGCAAACTCTGGTTTGAGCTAACCATGGTTAGGATTAAAACTGGTGGAAATGTAATTCTGACCACCAGGCTCAGTGTGATACATTCAGTTCACAGTCATCATTGTTACCTGCAAAACGGAGTCTGCAACCACAGTTGGGAAAGGAGGGGTAGGGGTCAAACGAACAAGAGGGGGAGAATGCCACTCTGTGAAATGTAGGAGTTGATGAACCTGCAAGGCACTTCAAATTCTAGGTGGCATTTAGAGTGGACAAGGGATATGTGACGAGTTTGCACACTGGAAGAGTAGTCAATCACATATTCTTAGAATCAAAGAAATTCAAAGTAATAAAGCAAGCATTCAACTCTTGTTGCCAAGATGCCAGATTTCAATCAGAAGTGGGTGTGTCCATTCCACCCTTTAGTCACAGTTGTTCTGCAGACTTTACCTCTGGGGGAGGCCAAAGGCTGCACTATGGTGCTTAGCAGCTCAAGGGGACAGCAGAACAGACCTGAATAACTCCTGGTCCACCCAGCTGGAGGTGATACACCGTGTGTTGTATATACTGGCTCATAGTGGGCTCAAAAAACCTCCCAGTCTCGCTGCCTGCCTGGGACAGCAAAGAACAGATGGGTTCTGTCCGACCTCAGTGCCCAAAGTTCTGCAGGCCTGTCCTTAAGAAGAGAAGCGCTGGTGCATTACAATCAGGCCTGTTGTTCGTGTGTTTAAGTAGAAGACTCTGCAATGCTTGGGATTCAGGTTCACATAGTTGGGTTGGTTGCCAACCTCTCGACCAGCAGCCAGATCCTGTACCCTCAATATCAGCTCAACTCACAGGCACTCTCAGGCAATTGTGCCTTGAAAAAAATCACTTTCTGGTTTCCACCAATGAAGATGCTGAGAAAGGCTGAGAAGCTCTGTGTGTGTGTGTGTGTGTGTGTGTGTGTGTGTGTGTGATTTTGACACATCAGCTGGCAACTCTACATAAGGCCCCAGTCCCTAGCATGCAAGGGGATGGCTTTGGGGACTGTGACAGTGCTAAGCTGATAAAACACACTAATAAAACTCTAAGCTGATAAAACTCTCAAAGGTTGCCCCAGCCCTCCCTCTCTCTTCTCCCTTTCCCATCTAAAGATGGACTGTTCAAATTCAATGGGGGTTGGTGCCCATTGGGACTGGTGGGGCATAAGGTAGGGAGCCCAGCGGTGAGTAGACGCAGAGCCAATGACAGGCAGAGCTAACTCACTCCAATGTTGCCTTCATCCTCCTTACTGTTGTGTTCTACAAGGGGCATCACTGAGACTAAAGAGGAGGAATGCGACAGCCAGGAACTCTCTAGGAAGGAGGGGTCTGGAGGAATCAAGACTGAAGCTGGCAGGCTAGCACCCCAGCTGCCCATATGGACCAGCCCCGCCACCACACCTTCAGTTATTTTTGGCCTCCCTCGTGTATCTCTGAAACGGAGCGAGGATGACTCCTGAATTCTGATCTTCGCTCTCTGCAGTGTACAGGTCGTGCTGCTTGATGTAAGCTCGAACTGCGTCTGGCACCAGGTATCGGATGCTCTGGCCCCTCCGCAAGGCTCTCCGGATCTTGGTGGCAGAGATGTCGTTGGCAATCCACTCCTGCACTACGTGGATGCTCTCCTTGTGCTTCCACAGCACCTCGGATTCGTAGATGAATTTCTGGGCGTCATTTCCCACCCTGCTAATGCACACCATGCCGTGGTTGGCCACGATTTCCACAATGTCTTCTGCTTTCCAGAGGTTGGGGACTGCAAAGGACTCCAAGATGTCTGTCCCACAGAGCAACTTCAGCTGAGGGGGGACACCTAGCAAAATGGGAGGGACAGGAATTATTATTGGGTTAGGAGCTCTGCAGCATTTCCCCCGGTCTAGGACTTAAAGCCAGAGAGCTGTGTGTCCCTGGTGTGAAAACGCTACACATTCAAAGCGGTGTCATGCCATTTTAAAGAGTCATGGGAAGAACCATGGGAGTTGTAGTTTGTTTGTTAAGGGTGCTGAGAGTTGTTAGTAAGACCCCTATTCCCCTCACAGAACTACAATTCCCAGAGTTCCCTGGGAAGAGGGATTGATAGTTAAATCCTTTTGGGAACTGTGGCTCTGGGAGAAGGTCTTCTAACAACTCTCAGAACCTTCAACAAACTTCACTTCCCACAATTCTTTGGCGGACTGAACCTTTCAAAACTGCACTGATTTTAACTACTGATTTCAACACCACACTGAGTTTTCCCCCCTTAGAATTTCCGAGCAACGCTGGATACGAGATGGCTGGCTCACTACAATTTTGATATTAAATGAACCTTTTGTTAGGGGTTGATTCCGGCTGACGGGGACTTGCCTGCCCGATTCCCGTTTTCTCTTCTGCCCCGTTTTGTTCAAAGGAGCTACTTCATCAAAGCTGTTAGCGAGACATGAACATTTCAGCTTCTGCTGGTGATACCTGTGACACAAAAGGATGACTTTAAAAAGCGAAAGAGGGTGTGGTGATATGTTTTTCTCTTTTGGATCCCTTGGGAAAAAACCTCCCCATTCTTATCTATTGCAAATACAGCACCGCATGAACACACAGCACAGCCTTCACCAGTCTGGCTGTCCTCCAGATGTTTTAGACTCCAGCTCCCATCAGCTCCCACGTATCATGACCTCGCTGCTTGGGGCTGATGGGAGTTGTAGTCTCTCTACCCCAGATTTAGAACACACAAGAGGAGAATAGACTGTTGCAGGGGGACTTACAATCTAGAATCAGAGAGAGGGGAAGCAGCAAAGTAAGGGGAGAGGAATGGAGGCAGGGCTTCCATTTCTGTTGCTGCTGGAGATTGATCCAGCTACCTGGGATTGCAGGAAAATGAACCTCAAACCTTCTGCATGCACAGTATGGGTTCTACCACTGAGCTACGGCCAACTCTTCAGATATAGGAAGCTGTACTATTTATTATTATTAACAAGAAGAAGAAGAAAAACAACAACAGTATCATCATCATTATTGAATATTTGTTTTTATTTCTATTTTTAAAAAATGTTTTAATTAAAATATTTCCATAAGCAACAAGAGTACGTCCAGTGTCTCTGTTTTCATATTGTGGAAACCTTCATACAGGTCAATTACAGTCAGTTTGAGACATTTCTGAGATATTTCCAGTCAGTCTGAGGCAATGTGGGATTGAAGGTGGGGGCAGAGAAGTGGGGGGAGGAGAGAGGAGAAAATAGAGAGGGAGGAAAAAAGTAAAAAGGGAGGGGGAGGAGAGGATTATTAAGCATTTATATCCCACCCTTCCTCCCTAAGGAGACCAGCGTGGCAAACGATAAAAAACCTAGTGTTGCAGCAAAAAAAACCCTGACAGCACATCACAAAGCTAAACAGGGTCTGGCATAGTTTCAAAACCATGAAAACATCTAAAAACATTGTCTAAAAGTAATTCAAATACAGATGCAGGCTGTGACACATCCCCACTTAAAAAGCTTGTTGGAAGGTTGGCTGTATACTGAATCAGATCTTTGCTCCATCTAGCTCAGTGCTGTCTACACTGACTGGCAGCGGCTCTGCAGGGATTCAAGCAGGAGACATTCCCAGCTCTACCTGGAGATGCCTGGGATTGAACCTGGGACCCTCTGAATGCAAAGCGGGTGCCCTACCGCTGAGCTACACTGGCACACACCCAGCCCTGGCAATACCTGAGGACTTTGATGGTCTCTTGCCACTCCTTTTGGTTGCTCTCCCAGTCATCCACTTCCACCCAGTCAGAGCTCTCCGTCGCGAGCCTCGCCATAGTCACTCGGTGTCTTGCGCTGATGAGGCCTTTCTTCTTGTATGCATCGCCCACAGGTGAAATGATCCCTTTCACCACTTTGTATCTCCCTGAATGCAACAAAAGGCAAGAGCCAGGGGGTTGGGGGTTGGGACGATGGACTAGGGCTGTGCAATAAATTGCCATATCGTTGAATACCAGTACAGTGGACGCTCGGGTTGCGAACATGATCCGTGCGGGATGCACGTCCGCAACCCGCGTCTGCGCATGCTGCGATTTGGTGCTTCTGCGCATGCGCGACCACCGAAACCTGGGAGTAACCTGTTCTGGTACTTCCGGGTTTCGGTGGTCCGCAACCCGAAAAAATGCAACCTGAAGCGGCTGTAACCCGAGGTATGACTGTATTGAAATAACATCGTGACAAGTGTTTCAAGAAGGCAGTATACTGGTGAACGAAAGGTGGAGACTTAACAGCTTCCCAAGGGGTAGCTCAGCTGAACAATATTTTATAGATTATTCGCCACCAGCTTTCTTTGCCCTCTCCCTCCTCCCTCCTAACCAATAAAAAATAAAAAATAAACGATGACACAAACCAGCAAACTATTTCAGTTATTTCTGTATATATTTCTGAGTCCGGCCTTGGCTGGGGAGGGCGGGGTATAAATAAAAATTATTATTATTATTTGACTGATAAAGTAGGATTCCGAGCTGGTCCTCAAAGGAGCAGCAGGGGTTACCTGTTTCGTGCAGGTGGTCTCTTGCCAGTTCGAAGAGTCGGAGGTGCATGTTGGTGATGGGGTTAAAGGACCCGCAGGCCAGGAGCACCACCTCAGTCCTGTCGTCCGAATTCTCCATCTGACTTGGCTGGAGCCACAGATGCAGTGGGAAGCCTGAGTCAACGCCACCACACGCTGCAAGCGAGGAGAGGGAGGAGTTCAGGTTCAGTTTCAAAGGAAGCAATTATATATGTATATATCTGAAATACAAGAGGCTAAGCAGAAGTTACCGTCATGCAGACGCACAAAAGGCAGCACCAACAATCTGTCTCAGTACCAGGTAGCTTCCTGTGCTATGGTGGGTTGAGCAAAAGACTGTACAGTGGTACCTTGGTATTCAAACTTAATCCATTCCGGAAGTCCGTTCCAAAACCAAAGCGTTCCAAAACCAAGGTGCACTTTCCCATAGAAAGTAATGCAAAATGGATTAATCCATTCCAGACTTTTAAAAACAGGCATAGGCAAACTCCAGCCCTCCAGATGTTTGGGACTACAACTCCCATTATCCCTGACCACTGGTCCTGTTAGCTAGGGGTGATAGGAATTGCAGTCCCAAACATCTGGAGGGCCGGAGTTTGCCCATGCCTGTTTAAAAACAACCCCTAAAACAGCAATTTAACATGAATTTTACTATCTAACGAGACCATTGTGTCATGTGACAAAGACACATGAGAGCAGAGGCAGCAAAGCAGGCTGGGAAGTGCTGGGACTGCACAATCATTTGGGCCTACTAAAGTTATTCAGGCCTAACTGCTAACTGTTGAGTCACTCTGACATGTGACTCATTCTCCTTATAAGTAGCAGCCATTTTCTCTCTGTGTTCTCTGTAAGATTTCAGTCAGAGTCAGTAACACTCAAAACGGAAGCGTGGCACTCAAATCAATGTAACACTCAAAACAGAGCATGTTCGGCTTCCAGAAAAAGTTTGCAAACTGGAACACTTACTTCTGGGTCTGCAGTGTTTGGGTTCCAAGTTGTTTTGAGTACCAAGGCGTTTGAGAACCAAGGTACCACTGTAGCTCATCAGTTGGGAAATCTGCTTTTGTGTGAAGGAGATCCCAGGCTATTTATTTATTTATTTTATTTACATGCCACCTTTTATCCGAAGATCACAGGGCAGTTTACAACGTACAGTGGTATCTCTAGATACGAACGGGATCCATTCCGGAGCCCTGTTCTCATCTAGAGATAAACGTATCTAGCGACGACATGTCTGCACGCGCACGCGTGCGTCGCTTTTCGCCGCCTCTGCGCATGCCGTCATTTTGAGTGCATGTGCATGCGCAAGCGGTGAAACCTGGAAGTAATGCGCTCCGTTACTTCCGGGTTGCCGTGCAGCGCAACTCGAACATGCTCAACTCGAAGCGTATTTAACCCGAGGTATGACTGTATAAGCACTAAATTAATAATAATAATAATAATAATAATACAATAAAAAAACCTTTCCTCATGAAATAACCAGACAGTTGTCAACTGGAGAATAAACAGGATGTTGCAACCAAGAGATGCATCTGAGGTTGTGACACAGATGAGTGATGTGAAATTGTTGCAACTTCAATGTAGGAGAAAAATTCATCTCTCTTCTTTCATCCCTTCTAACATTGTTTCCTTTACTTCTCACTTTCAACCCCTCTTACTTTTCTGCTCTTCACATGTCACCACTTGCAAAAATCTAGCACGGATCGAACCTTGCACAGGGAACTATAGCTCTACTGCAATGCGCTGCCACAGTTAAATGTGCAGACATTACGCAGACTCTTACCAATTTGTAGCTGGCAGCTTTCCAATGTTGCCTTGTAGCTTTTTGCCCCTTCTCTAGCAAAATCAGAATTAAGCAAAATATGAACAATTTCAGCCATACGCAGCACATATGAGAAAATACACTTGTTTTATTCAAAACCAGTTGCAGAGCCCAACTTTCTCCATCGCTACCCAGGCAGTAAATAAATCACTGAGAATTCCAGCAGGGCCTTAAAGAAAACACACTGTTTTGGATTGGGCCCTATCCCACAGGCCTCAAGCCCTGGACTCCCACTTTCAAAACTGCCCTTTAATCCGCAAACCTAAAGTTCCACTATTTGTTGACTGAATTTTTTTTATTTCATAAAATTCACATGCTGCTTCACTGCAAAACAAGCAAACCCACCAACGTCAAAGCAGCGCACTTCAGTTCCTACAGTGAGAGGGGGGAAATAATAATTTAAGCGTTCCACCAAAACCCTCAGCAATTGTCAAGTGAGAAAAATTTTGGAACCCCTGCACTGGAACTTTTCCCATTAGGCCCCAGCGTGGTAGAAGCTGGAGTCCTTGCATTAGAAGATGCCAAGAGAGTTTTGTGGTGGAGGAAAGGCAGTGGGTGGTCTCGTTCAGAGATGGGGATCCTGCCGGTCCCTCCCGAGTGTTTGCTGGACTCTCAACTCCCACCAGCCCCATCCAGCAAGGGCAATAGGCAGGGATGATGGGAGTTGTAGTCTTCGGAGCTCCGCCCCGGGCTAGAAACGTGGGGGAATGAATGAAAGCGATCCTGTAACCTGATCGAGCGATCAGCTGAAAGCTCCCGGGCAGCAGGCGGTGCTGCCTGCCGCCGCCTGCACCGGGTCGCCTGCCTTTAGGGGAACGAGCAGCGGCCGCGCGGGACGGCGATCCGCGGGGGGCTTACGCGGGCCGCGCAGAGGGCGATCCAGGGGCCGGAGGAAGACGGCGGCGGCGAGAAAGCCCGACCACTGCGGCTGCAGAGAGGCTGCAAGCGGCGACTTGGCCAGGCGGTGCCGAACCTCATCGAGGCATCTGGTGCTGCTGGTAAGGTTAAAACGGGAAGGAAATGGTGAAGGGGCCGAGTTCCCTAACGGAACTGTGCCGGGGGTCTCCCCCGGGTGGAAGCTGTCAGTTTCCCCCCTTCTCTCCCTCCTCCTTGTAGATTTCTGTAGATGAGGAGGAAGACTCAGACCTGCTCATATGAACTCCTCACATACTCAGGAACACTGCCTCTCTTGGATGTTGTGGATTTCTAAATATCCAATGTATGCAATTATCACCCCACCTCTACTCTAATATTAAATATACATACTATTCCTTCCCTCAGATGTCTCTAACCATAACCACACACATAATATGCATTGTGAGGTAGAGGCGCTCTGTACACGCTCAAGAACTCATTTCTCAGAAGCCTTGTTTTAATTGTTACTTATATGCTATTAAGGGATGCGGGTGGCGCTGTGGGCTAAACCACAGAGCCTAGGACTTGCTGATCAGAAGGTTGGCGGTTTGAATCCCCATGACGGGGCGAGCTCCCGTTGCACGGTCCCTGCTCCTGCCAACCTAGCAGTTCGAAAGCACGTCAAAAGTGCAAGCAGATAAATAGGCAGGAACATAAACGGTGTTTCTGTGTGCTGCTCTGGTTCGCCAGAAGCGGCTTAGTCCTGCTGGCCACATGACCCAGAAGCTGTATGCCGGCTCCCTCGGCCAATAAAGTGAGATGAGCGCAGCAGCCCCAGAGTCGGTCACGACTGGACCTAATGGTCAGGGGTCCCTTTACCTTTACCTTTTATATGCTATTATGTGCTCCCTGAGGAGGCAGTGGCCAGCTAGATGCCTCTGGGGAGACCCAAAGCATGACCCCAGCACAACAGCACAGGAACCAGCATCCTGCTTCCTACATGGAGGGAGAACATAGCCATTGTGGGTAGTAATATCCAGTTGTAGAGCATAACCATCCCGGCTAGTAGCCACTTATGCCCTCTCCTCCATGAATATGTTTCGATCCTCTTTTAAACCTGGTGCCCTCTGAATGTTTTGGACTACAACTCCCATCAGCTCCAGCCAACCACACCGGCAGGAGCTGTAGTATGAGGCACCTGGAGATTGACTCCCAAAATCTGTAAGGCCCCAAGTTGGGCAAAGAACTGGTATTTGGGTAGGCTTCTAGTCTTGCGTTAAATTTCCAGAAGAATCAACCCACTGATCCTAAGGGGGGACTCTGCTCTTCCTCCGCAGATTCTCGGGTGATCCGCTATGATCCATTTCTGCCTAGCTCACACAGCCTACCACTTCAGCCGACGGCTCCCAAAGCGTCACCAACTCAGACTGTAAGAACCCTTTTCTCGGGCGTACCAGCGTCTTGGGCTCTGCTGGCTGGGGCTGTTGGGAGGTGTATCGTAGAATCATGGAGTTGGAAGGGATCCCCAACGGTCATCTAGTCCAACCCCCTGCAATGCAACGTGCATCTGGATAAGCACCAGGTTGGGGAGAGGAGGCTGGTCCAGTGTTACCCAACTGCAGCGCCAAGCTACTCCTTGATGACTTCGGTGGTTGGGTTGCAAGAAAAAGAACCTGCCACTTAACACGCTGCTTGCAAGTGACCGCCAGAACTGCGGGTGATTTCCCCCAAGGGTTGGCAGGTGACTAGTGTGCACTGGGACCAGTGGGGTGGAAGGCAGGGAGTTGAACAATAAGTGGGGCCAGAGCCAATGACAAGCAGAGCCAGAGAATTCTAGTTTCCTCCCCATCCTCCTGAGGAGAAGCTGAGGTTGGTGGGACAGCACCCCATTCACCCTATTGGATCAGCCTTCACAGGTAACAGCGTGTTGTGAGTGTTGGGCTAGGAGCTGGGCAAGGCCAGGGTTCAAATCCGTGTTCAGCCACGAAGGTCACTGGTTGTGACTCTGGGTGTGTGTCTTTACCTAACCTACCCCACAGGGCTGTTGTGGGAATAAAAATGGGGAGGATGTAAACCAAGCACGCCACGCCTAAAGCTCTTTGAAGGAAAGGTGGGATACAGATGCCGTAACATAAAAATAAACAAACGCCATTGTTTTTTCTCTTTCACCCCTTAGGCAGTTTGCTATATTTGCCCTTGGAATTGCTGCTTTCATTTTCCAGCTCTACATCTTGCTAAGGTACAAAGCAAGGGACATTGCTATTGATTTTTTTTTTTAAAAATCCACCTGTCTTGCTTGCGACGACTCTCGACACCTTTGCGTACCTTCCAGAACGTGGGGGGAGCTGGCTGGAATATCCCGAGGTGGTGACGATGAGAAGAGAGAGCTCGCAGCCTGGCCCATGAAGATTTTGGAATTGGTTTTGGGTGTCTTTATTGGTTTAAATCTCTGTTGGCAAGGAGGCTATCGGGTCTTTCGCCCCTTGATGGGCTGAGGGTTCAAACTCCAAACCTGAAGGGCTGAAAATTCAACGGGAAGTTTCTGTGGGACTGTTTTGGGGTTACGTTAACAGCTTCAGGGCTGTGGTCACCAGGCCCTGTGTAAGGTGCCATTATGATAGGAAGGTGCATCAAAAGCAGAAGGAGCCCACCTTTCCAGGTGTTGCTGGACTACAACTCCCATCATCCCAAACCATAGGTCATGCTGGCTGGGGATGATGAGAGTTGGAGTCCAACAACTTCTGGAGGGTGACTCAGGCTCCTCATTTTTTATGTAAAACAGCGGTAGAGAAACATTTTCAGCTCGAGGGCAGCATCTCCTTCTGGAAAATCTTCCCGGGGCCACATGCTGGTGGTGGGCAGAGCAACAGGTGCAAATTTTACCTTTGCACCACAGGCTAGTTTCTGCACACACACACACACACGCCATGCAGGCAAGCAAGAGGCATGAACAGAGCGGAAGGACACATTCCAACCAGGCAAAAACACTCAAGGAAGGCCAGTGAGGTATGTAGGCTGGAGAGAGGGTGTGTTGTGTGGAGAGCGGATGCCTGAGGCTCAGAGAGAGATGGAGGGCCACATTTGGCAGAAAGGATGTGGATTGCCTTCTGTTTAGATCTCTCAACAAGCGCTGTGCAAAAGTCCTTGAAGAATTGGAGAATCCCTGCCTAACATCTTGAGACATCGGTTGCAGGAAACGACACTGGTCTAGCTCAAGTGCAGAAACCTGTGGCCTTCCAGATGGACTGCAACTTCCAGATGTGGACTGCAACTCCCACCAGCTCCAGCAAGCACAGCCAATGGACAAGGATGATGGGAGCTGTAGTTCAGCCACATCTGGGGGACAAAATGCTTTCCCAGTGGCATAACTACCCGAGGAGTTAGTCCTGAAGGATTGAGAAACAGGCCTGAGGAGATGTATTTGGCCTCTAGCCTGAGTTGCAGTTGCAGAAGGTCCAAGGTTCAACCTCACCCCACTCTCAGCATTGCCAGTTACAACATGGTGGGGAAGGCCTGTCTCTGCTTCAGCCCCTGCAGAGTGGCTGTCAGTCAGAGCAGGCAACACTGGTCCAGATGACCAGATACGAGGCCGCTTCCTGTGCTCCTAACCTGCACTCCTGGCTTTGTGCTGTACAAAAAAGCAGGGCTATTTGTATCCTGCAACTGTGAGTACAGATATCGATAGCTGGCACAGAATTTAGCATCTAGAGAACCCACAGCTTCTGATTAAAGAAGATACAAGAATCAAGTTTCTAGCTCTTAAGGTGGCCGAGGCAGGTGTAAAAGTGCAAGGATGAAGCCAAAAGGGAGACCAGAACTCGCCAAGGGAAGAGCTTTGTTGCCCTGAACTAGCATGAATTAATGCAAATAATGGACAAATATATGGAAATGTGCATAAATTATACAGGTGGAGGAATTAAGCTTTTCTTGGCAAAGCACTGGAATTACCCTGGTGCAAACTTTCGGGTGTGTATACATCCCAGGCTATATATGAAGAAGCACATATTGACCCAAACCATTTGGTTCAAGATCCACAGTGGTTCCTCAACCCATTTTTTCCAGACCTAGATCATCTCATTACTGTGGTCTGCCCCTTCTCTACAATCTGGTTGGAAGCATCATCTTTACGTTCTTCACCATTGGTAGGTAAACCATGGTTTGTCTAGCTCTCTTGCCATTGCCTGGTGGGCTGAATTATGTGCCCAGAAGGATTTTGTTCATCCAGAATTGGCGTGGTTTTTTTTAATATGTCAAGGCTAGCAAGGGTGCAATTTAAGGGGTTGTATACTGAAGGCAGTCGAGGGTCTCTCGGTGCACAGAACGAGGGCCAAATGGAGGGTTTGCACAGGCAGAGGGCAATACCCGGGAGTTGTCACTCATTTGCACACTCCATTTGGGGGCCTTTCCTTGAAGTTGCCCACCATCATCAAGGTAATACTGAGGTCAAATATTAGGAATCCAGGTGTGCATCGCTGCAGAATGCTGGATTAAACTCATTGCCACAAGAAACGTGGAATGGCAGCCAGCATTTTCTTATTTTTAAAGCTTCTAGGTAAATCTGTGGCTGTTAACCAAGGCAGCTGGAACTTGGAGGTTTTGTATTTCTGTGATGTGTATGCGTAGTTGAAATATCCTACAATTTCTTGAAACCTCAAACATAAGCCAGCTGCTGAACTCTGCATGCAGAAAGTCCCAGGTTCAATCCCCAGCATTTCTAGGTTGGGCTGGGGGTGTCCCCTGTCTAAAACCCTGGAGAGCTACTGCCAGTCATTGTAGGCAATACTGAGCTACATGGACTAGTGGCCTGACTCCGCAGCTTTCTGTGTTTAAATCAGCCTTTTATTCAGAACCATGAGGACTAGGATTTTATTTTGTGTTTAGGGGAATGACCATAGCTCTGTGGCAGATCATCTGCTTTGCATGCAGACAGTCCCAGATTTGATCCTTGACATCGTCAGGAGGGATGGGAGATAACCCAGCCTGAAACCCTGGAGAGCGGCTGCCAGTCAGTGTAGACAATACTGACCTAGATGGGCTAGTGGCCTGCCTCCAGCTAAGGCAGCTTCCTAATATGCTACATGACCTGTCAACAGCCCTGCATCCTGCCTGTCTCTGTGCAAGTGCATTTTTAGCACTCTTAATGCTCCCCCTCCCATCTTTTCAGGGCTGGCTTTGCTTCTGGTCATGCTGGAACCAGTTCCATGGGAGCTGAAGACTACTTTCTTCATCTTTGGGGGCGCCTCTTTTGCAAAAGGAGTTTGCACCATCGTATTTACTGCCTTAGCCACACAATGCGTGAGTAATTGCTGATTCTGTTATATTTAGGCATGCCTAAAAACAAAAGCTTACCCCCACCCCTCAAGCTAGCGGAATAAGGGGAGGCTTTTGGGTGGCCCTAACCAGAGGTCCTACACAAGTTGTTTTAAAATGGAATTCTGGACTGGAGGAATTCCAAGCTTTGTTCCCTCATATAAGCAGCTCTTGAGTTGCTCACAGAGTTTTTGGAGCTCAAGAGCTGCTTATATCATCACTCAGTGGTAGGGCACTTGTTTGCATGCAGAAGGCTCAGGGATCAATTCCCAACATCTCCAGGCAGGGCTGGGAATGTTCCGTCTGAAAACCCCAGAAAGCTGCTGCCAGTCAGAGTGGACATGTTGAGCTGGATGGACCAATGGTCTGACTCAGAATAAGAAAGCTTCCTACGTCATAAGGGAAAGGCTGTAACTTAATAACTCTTTAGTACAGTCAAACCACAGTTCCCAAACGCCTCTGTTATTGTACGTTTCGGCTCCCGAATGCCAAAAACCTAGAAGTAACTGCTCTGGTTTTCGAATGATTTTCGGAAGCCAAATGGCTTCTGGGGAGTTTTCTCTCTCTTTTTTCTCCATTGACTTTGCCGTCTTCCAGAGTGGATTACATTTGACCACCAAGGTTTGACTGTATTTCCATATATTTATTACTTGATCTGCAATCTGACTTGGGAGTAGGCTGTCTTGAAGACAGTGGGACCCGCTCCCAATGCATGGGGTTGTTATTCTGACCCTTATGGGATCTCACTAGATTGCAAGTCTGAAGACGGGACCTTATCATTAAAAAAAATTTGTTTAAGCTCCTTTTCTAACAAATGGACTGTTGTGTCTTCCATAGGCCAAAACCACCCCTGAGCTTTATTACTTATCAGTGGCTCTCTCGGTGAGCAGTCTAGTATCAACCGGTAGGTATCATGCTTCCTCTTTGCGCTAAAACAGCCTTCCTCTTCAACTCAGTGCCCTCCAGATATTTTGGGTGACAACTCTCATCAGCATGGCCAATAGTCAGGGATGGTGGAAGCTGGAGTCCTATAATATCTGGAGGGCCACATGCTAAGGTCAAATTAGGCTGTGACATTAAATGCATATTTTTCATTTTACATGGCAGGTTTTTGGTTTAAACATGAATAGCATCCACTTTGTGGGTCGAAACTATTCAGACTGCAGCAGGCACAAAGCAGAGATTTAAGAGATCTGCAATGGTGGTCTGTTTGTTACTGGGCCACATTCAAGGTGTTACTACAGTGGTACCTCGGCTTAAGTACTTAATTTGTTCTGGAGGTCCGTTCTTAACCTGAAACTGTTCTTAACCTGAAGCACCACTTTAGCTAATGGGGCCTCCTGCTGCTGCCGCACCGCCGGAGCACAATTTCTGTTCTCATCCTGAAGCAAAGTTCTTAACCTGAAGCACTATTTCTGGGCTAGCGGAGTCTGTAACCTGAAGCGTATGTAACCCGAGGTACCACTGTATTGGCATATGAAGCCCTTAACAGCTTGGGGCCAGTTTACTTGCAGAAGCATCTTACCCCATATGCACTGACCTGACTGCTTCAGTCTGCGGTACTGTCACTGCTGCAGGTACCACATAATACTTGTTTCATAGTTGTAAAAAAATCATATTTTTTTTAGTGTGGGGGCACCTATACTTTGGAACTCCTTGCCTATTGACACCAGGCGGGCACCTTCACTGTACTCTTTTCAGTGCCTGCTCAAAACATGCTTATTTAAACAAGTCTATCCAAAAGCTTAGACGCTGATGTGTTCCGTTTTGGGTGTTTTAGCAAATATTTAGGTAAAAGAGAAAAAGGAAGTTGCATTTACCCTTATGCATGCACACAAAAGATTGACTTTTCACATGCGCACACACACACGGTTGTTTTTTCACTATCATGAGGACTAGTAGCTTTAACAAATGAAAAGAAAGCTGAAATGTTTTCGGTCTTTCCTGATATTTTGCACTTGCACAGCAAATTCAAAAGTGTGCTATCTTTTCTTCTAATGGCATCCTCCCCCACCCCCCTTTATAGCATTTTTCTCTGTCCTGGGACTATTTTGGCTTGCGAACGTGGTTTTTCCTGGCTTGATACTAAACAAAGAGACTAAGACGGGGATCTGTTACGAGCCAGTCTCTGAGTGTGGCTGCCTGTGGCACATCTGACCTGTAATCTGCCAGGGGCTGGATTCGTCTGCCCCTACCACGATGAGCGCCCTGCTAAACTGCCTTCAGTTATTTCCCTCTTTTCGAAACGGACTGATCTCTGCAGCAGACACAGTGGGAAGACCTTCAGATCTGGGGATATTCATAGCCAAAGATATTAACTATTCATTAAGCGGCCTTTTGAGGTGCAGTAGGTGGGGGAGTTGTGGCTTTCGGGATTCTTTTTAAAAGATAGCTCTGGGAGGCTGTTGGCCTTCAAAATATTTTTGTAGAAAATTCTACTATTTAAAAAAAAAGAATAATATTTTTTTAAAATCCACAGATACTTTTTTTGTAGGAAGGGAGCAAAACAGTAAGCCCTCAAAGCCTTTTCCTCCTTTTGTATGTGTACTCCTGACTTAATGTAGAAGCTCCTCGCAGCAGATTAACTGGGAGAGGGTTGCTATGGGAACGGGTATGGAACAAGAGACAGAAGAAGGCGATGCTCCAGAGCTCCAGTTTCAAAGTGAGGGGAGTAGCCTGTTCTCAAGTCAGCCGCTTTTATCTTTAAGGGGACATTTTTAGGAGGGTGCTTTCTTCTCCAGCAGAAAGATTTCAGGTAGCTTTTTCCCCCCGCCAGGCTGAAGGGACAGGCAGCTGTGTAGAGGCGATCTGAAAATTCCAGTTTGTTAAAATAGTCAGATTGTATATTCCTGGGAAGGGAGGCTCTAACTCTCCAGATAATGGCCTGGCTTTAGGGTGTGTGCTTGTGTGTGTGGAGTTTAGCTTGCTGCACAAATGGATTATTAAATTATATGCCAAAATGGCTTCTAAGCGGATCTCTTCATAATGTGAGCAGACTCCACAGTACAAAGCTGGCACCACCTTATTATTAATTATTATTATTATTATTATTATTTATTATTACCCCACACATCAGGGGCTGGGTTTCTCCACCTACTGCAGCAGTGGTCAAACTTTTCCAAGGAAAGAGCCACATTCTCCCCTGGGGAAGCTTTGGGGGCCATGTGCCACTGAAGGACATGGTCTGGGGCAAAATATGTGTACAGGCACTGGCAAAAAAGTGGATGGAGCAATGGATGGGATTGTTACCTTTATACAGTACAGCAGGGTTGAGCTGTTGTGAAGAGGAAACCAGAGTTACATATAAAGTAAGAAGGTGGTATTGAAATTAGTAATATGTAGTAAGTTTGGATTGGAAGTAGATCTTACTCTGCTTTTTAAAAAGCAGCCAATCTAGTGATCAGCAATGAATGAGGAGCTAACTCCTGTAGAACTCTATCTCCCTGGTATTATCAAACCTCACATTTGTTTCACAATGAATTTGAAAGTATTTAGGAACCCTTAAAAAAATTTCAAAACTATTTTGTCTTCAGGAATGGATGAATTTAAGCAAAGTTACAATTCTGATCTAGTAGTATTAAACAATTCAGAGTTAGATCATGTCAGAGTTCCTGGCCAAGACTTTTGATTATTCCAGAGAACATGCAGTGCAATCTTTTTACTGTGAAATGGCTTTGAAATATTTTATTGGAAGTGATTAATAAATGGAATTAAATAAATCCTGAGCATGCTTATACAGAAATCACCTTCATTAAGCACAAGGGGCCTTAAAAAGGTGGAAATTAAGATTTCACTTAAACTATTCATCTCAGCCCAGTGACTCTTAGACAAAATAGAAGCAAAACATCTCGCTGTTTCTGACTTTGGGTTCCTTTATAATCACACACCTTGATCCTGTATGTTAGGGGTGGCTAGCCTGTATGATTTTCTAGAAGTTGCTGAACTACAACTTCCATCAGTAGGGGCAGGATTGGCCATGTAGCTGACACATACTCCCATGCACCATACCCCAACAGCAACCCAAACATACAGATTTTCTCTGTGCATTGTATCCAATGCAAGTCCACAGCCAGTGTGGTGCAGTGGTTAGAATGTCAGATGAGGACCTGGGTTCAAATTCCCACTCAGCCATGAAGCCTTTGGTCAGTCACAGTCTCTCAGCCTAACCTACCTCAAAGGAGTGTTGCGAGGGAAAAAATGGTTAAGGGGGAGAGAACTGTGTATGCCACCACTGAGTTCCTTGGAGGAAAGGTGGGATATGAATACAGGAAAGTTTGGCAAACCGTGTGGTGTAGTGGTTAGAGTGATGGAGACCAGGGAGACCAGGGTTCAAATCCCCACTCAGCCATTAAGTTCCCTGGATGACTTTGGGCCAGTCACTGCCTCTCAGCGCTAACCCACCTCACAAAGTTGTTGTGGGGCTTAAATTAAGGGGAGGAAGTATGTACACCACTTTGAATTCCTTGGAGAAAGGATGGGATATAACTACTATAATACTAATGGTAATACTAAAAAAAAAAAGAGTCTTACTCAGAGTAGACTGTACACAGAGTAGAGCCATTTAAGTTAAAAATGTGAGTAATGTAGTTCCACTAATTTCAGTGGATCTACTCTGAGTGGGACTTACTTGGTTATCAATTTTTGCCAGGAAGAGCTTTCACCTGCTAAATGTCTACATGTCACACTGCTGTAAAAGGTATAAGAATGTGGCTGGCTTTAAAAAAACCAAAAAAGCACCTCTCCTACACTCAGCCTTTCAGAGAAGTTGATACCAATTATTCACCTGCAGAGAAAATGCAGCCTCATGGGGCTTCATGAAGAAGTGGGCTGCAGATCAACAGAATGACCCCACATATACACTATTTCCACTGTAATGGATTTTCTGCCAAATGTACCACAAGGCAGTTTCAAGCTGGCTGGCACTAAAGTACTTTTGTGCTCTCCTCTGCACCTTAGAGTGACTTCCTGCAGCCTGCTGAGCCACATACAGGAGTAGCAGATTGGATGCACTATTTTTATTTTAAACGTTCATACAAAATCTTAAAGCACATACTTCCTCTATCTATGTCTTACAACATGAAGACATCTCTCACCTCCCATCCACAACACCCCCTCATTACCTAAATTTCACCATAGTCTTGATTGTAGGGAAGTGCTATAGCTCTGTGGTAGAGTGTCTGCTTTGCATGAAGAAGGACCTAGAGTCAATTCCCAGCTAGGGCTGGGAGATACTCCAGCCCCAAACCCTGGAGTGCTACTGCCAAGTGAGTGCAGACAATACCAAGCTAGATGGGCCAATAGCCTGACCCAATATAAGGCAGCTTGCTATGTTCCTACATTTGGAAGGGCTACCAGGTAACAGCATAGAATCATAGAACTACAGAGTTGGAAGGAACCTCGAGGGTCATCAACCCTCTTCAGTGCAGGAATTTCAGCTAGATTATACATGACAAATGGCCATTCAACCTCTGTTTAAAAGCTTCCAAGAAAGGAGAGTCCACCACTTCTCATGGCCAGGGTCAACCAGCTCTTGCCAAGTTCTTCCAGATGGTTAGTTAGAATCCTCTTTCTTGTAACTTGAAGCCATTGGTTCAAGTCCTACTCTTTGGAGCAGGAGAAAACAAGCTTGCTCCATCCTCCATGTGACAGCCGTTCAGATATTTGAGGATGGCGATTATTTCTCCTCTCATTCCCCTCTTTACCATGATAAACATCTTTTTAGCACCAGGTGAAATCCCTCTTCATATCTCCAGCCCTTTGCCCTTGTATTTATAATTTATGGTTTTATTCCATGAGCTGTCCTGGGTGCTATGGCTGAAGATCACACACATAATTTTAAGAAATGAATCCTCAGTTGCCCATTCTTAATTTTAGCCCTTTCTGAAAAAAGGTACCACACTTTTACAGCTGCATGCACGTGTATATCTCGACTGGATACACCCCCCGTGAATGCAGGTTAAAATTGGCATTCGCCATCACTGACAATCTCGCTAAATATGAACAATATCAACTTATATCACCACCGCACTACTTTTTGCCTCCGGGGTCATCCAAGGGTCCCCTGACTTCACTACAGCTCCGTCCCCTCACCGGTTCATCAGTCGCCATTAAAAACCCCTGCACTAATCCAAAACAACACCCATTCCTCATATCACGAGCCCATAAGGTCCCCTAAATGGGCTCTTACCAGTTTGGAGGGCGCCTCTTCCCCGACAGATTCCGGCCAACAACGCTTTAGGGACGGAACCGAACTGTGCGGGTTTGGCCGCCTGCGGGGGAATAGTATTGCACGAGTACCTACGGGGAAGCTTCTTATTGGTCGCGGGCGCCGAAAGCGGTGCCGTGTCCGTCCCTAGGAACGGTCCCCCGGCACACACTCTTGAAACCGGAAGTGGGAAGGGTTTGGCTTTTGAAATAGAGGACCCCGTTGCCTGAAGAAAGGATGTGATTGGGGGAGTTGGGAATGTCGGTTTTCTAGAAGGCTGAAGGAGTGTGGATTATCTGGGGGTAAGGGGCATGCGGGGATAAACTGGGGTATGTAAAAAGAGAAGCCAATAGTGGAAGAAGGATAATAGGGATGGTGGGCTGGGTGGGTGTATATAAGGAAGGGAGTCCGCCTGCGGATCTGGGAGGGGGCTTTGAATGGTTTGGGCTGGGGCGGGGAGCCATTTTCAGCCCATTCCCTTCTGGGGTGGGGGATTGGAACATGCCAGCTGTGGGCGGGGCAAGAAGTGTAAATTTCGCCTTTGTACAGTAGGCTGGTAGTTTGTGCACACACCTTTCTCCATTCGGGTAAGCAAGGGGGATTACTGGAGGAGGGAGGGGAATAATCCGGCCATGCAAAAAGGCTCAAGGAGGGTACGATGTCAGTGGGGGGGGGTGCGGCTGGTGAGCATCCTGGGGGCCAGAGGCTTCCCACTCCTCATTTAGGGGTAAGGTTTAGCACCCTGGAGAGGTCCGGCGTGTGTGTGCTTGCCGCAAATTTTCCTTGGTGAGGCTTCATCCCCAGCTACAAAAGAGAGGGGGGCGTGTCAGAAATGGTATTTAGTGTTAGTGGGACTGGCTCCCAGTTTATTGTCGCTGGGCCCCTCCTAACATTTTCCTCCTCAAATTAATTGCGGATCAGGGAATTGATAGAGGAACTGATGTTTTTAGGTGGGCCTCAAAGGCTTTTATTTTTATTTTTTCTCTGTAGCTTTCAGCAGCTCATGTAAATTAGACTACAGAGATTACATTCTACATTGTTGATAGCATGCTGAGCTGTCTGACTGGAGTTGGTTTTTGCTTTTTTTTTTTTTTTTTGCTTATATGAAGTATGCTTGTGTTTAATGTTTTTTAAATATCATTTGGATTTGCCGTTTTTGTTATTGTACACTGATTTGTGACTAATGTTTCATTAAAAAGCAGATAGGGTTTGTGTGGCCAAATGGGGATTTGAACCCTGGTCTCCAAGGGCCAGCCATCTAACCACTACTCTACCCTGACTTCCAGAGCCAAACTGGCTGTTTTCTAGAGTTAGCTGAGTGTCCCCTCCCCTATTTGATTAGAAGAAAATCTATTTATAATTTTAAAACACATTTTATAAACTGGGGAAAAACATGGCATCCCTGAACATATTGGTCCTTGGTGTGAAATATTTTTGCACTAGAAACTAGTAAACCAAACATCCTGGTAATTTTTTTTATTAATTTTGCTTCCTAGGGTGAGTTAATCATGCTACAATAATCCCCCAATACAATATTATCTTCTTTGAGCCTCTCGAACAGGATGGGCATGTTTAAATAAAGAAGATAACATTTACCTTTGTACTAGAGCAAAGTTCTTTTATGCCACTTTCGCTGTATAACTAGCCTGCTATTTCCTTTTAAGAACATAAGAGAAGCCTGCTGGATCATTCAATGGCTCATCTAGTCCAGCAGCCTGTTTTCACAGTGTCCAATCAGATAGATGTCTGTTGAAAGCCTTCAAGCTGGACATAAGCCCAATAGCACTCTGCCCACTTGTGATTCCCAGCAATTGATATTCAAAGGCATGACACCTCTGATAGTGGAGGTAGAATATAGCCATTGTGACTAGTGGCTATTGATAGCCTTGCCCTCTATGAATATGTGTAATCCTCTTTTAAAGCCATCCAGGTTGGTGGCTATCACTGCCTCCTGTGGAAGTGGGTTCTACAGTTTAACTATGTGCTGTGTGAAGAAGTACTTTCTTTTATCTATCCTGAATCCTCCAACATTCAGATTCATTGGAAGCCCATGAGTTCTAGTGTTATGAAAGCGGGAGAAAAATGTTTTACTGTGCACTTTCTCCATTCCATGAATAATATATCTTATATCATGACTTATATCATTTCACCTCTTGTTTGCCTTTTCTCTAAACTAAAAAGTCCCAAATGCTGCAATCTTTCTTTAGGGGGTGGAGTCAATCCATCCTCTTGATCATTTCTGTTGCCCTTTTCTGAACCTTCTCCAGCTCTACAATATCCTTTGTGACCAGAACTGCATACAATATTCCAAATGCAGTTGCACCGTCAATTTGTATTACACCGTTATGATATTGGCAGTTTAAATAACACACACTACATGTACGTTTCTTGTCTCTTTCAGGTGGTCTGTAATGCACAAAATTTGAAATGGCTTCAAGGGGAGCAATTGAGACCAGTAAGTTGAAACAGAACTTGGAAGAGCAACTGGATAGACTAATGCAGCAATTGCAAGATCTGGAGGAGTGTAGGTAATAAATTCCATACTGAAATTGATTAATCTGTCACAAAATCTTTGTGTTAACGCCATGTAGGGCAGGGCAGGCATCTTTTTCTCCATTCAGTCTTTAGCTGTTTGTAGATGGACGGGATGATGTCATTGGAGGCTGGCCTATCAGGGCTAATGGGGCACAGTCCCACTAATGTCAGCCTGCTCTTAGTCAGACCCTACCTTGACTTCTTACATAGTACTAGTCCGGGGGGTGGGTGGCGGGATTGCCTGCCAGCTTCATCCTTCATGATCTCAGTATTGCCATTGTAGAACTTAGGACGGAGGAGAATGTGGACAAAGCTAGAATTAGTTCACCTTGGTTCCACCTACTGTTAGGCTCCCTGCCTTCTGGCCTTCCAGTACCAATGGGCACCAGACACTACTGGGTGATGCATGCACTCATTTGGATTTTGTCCTTTTCAAACATCCTTTAAGGATCTTCCAAGGGCAGTGCTTCATGTGACATGCCAGTATGTTGTGTTGCTGTTGTTAAGAATGTAAGAAGAGCCCTGCTGGATCAGACCAAAGACTTTTCTAGTCCAGTATCCTGTTTCCCTTGGTGTCCAATCTGATGCCTTTTGGGAAGCCCACAAGCAGGACATGAGGGCATTCGCTGTCTCCTGTTACTGTTCTGTGGCAACTGATACTCAGATAACGTAGCTCAGTACTGCCTACACCGACTAGGAGCAGCTCCACACTGTTTCAGGGTGGCATAGTAAAATACTGGCATCATTAATTTTGTGAGATGGGGAAAGCAGCCCACTATTAACAAGCGGGATGGCTGTTGGAATATAATAGATTGACTAATGGTCTGACTCGGTACAAGGCACCTTCCTATGTTCCTATGTAGAGCCCTACTGTGGTTAACCTGTTGGCTGAGTCGCAGTGCTTGCTCTTATTCAGAGATGATCTGGATGCAGATGAGTATGAAGAGACCAAGAAAGAAACCCTTGAGCAGCTGAGTGAGTTCAATGATTCCCTGAAGAAGATTATGTCTGGAAACATGACATTGGTAGACGAACTTAGTGGGATGCAATTGGTGAGTGTTTGGAGGGGACTTTTTTTTTTTGACGTAGTGTGTCTAAAACACTGCATTATGACATTGAGTCCATCACTCAAAAGGAGAGCATCTGCTTTGACTGCAGAAGGTCCCAGGTTCAATCCCCAGCATATCCAGCTAGGGCTGGAAGAGACCCCTGCCTGAAACCCTTTGGAGCCACTGCCAGTCAGTTTAGGCAATGCTGAGCTATACTGAGTGGTCTGACTGCTTAAGGCAGCTTCCTATTTCTTTAAATAATATTTATTATATTTTCCAAAAACACTAAAAAAAGAAGAAAAAAAGAAAAAGAAAAACAATACAATACAACACATCAAATTAACAAAACAAGACAAAGACAATAAAGTAAATCAAACAATATCCCATCTTTCATTCACTTATTTCCACGACCTCCTCACACCTCCCTTTTTGTATTCCACTTCTGTTAATTATTTCAGCAATTCCTTTCCATCTTCCTCTGTTTTCTATCCTATAATTATCTTAACTCATTCTAACCTTATTTTTCCTTTAATACTCTATTAACCTATCTGTACTTAATTCCTTGTAATATTTCTACTAAAGCCATATAACTTCATTTCAACATTTTTCTAACATTCATTAATTTTACAATATTTCTGTAGATAGTCTTTAAACTTTTTCCAATCTTCTTCCACCAACTCCTCTCCCTGGTCTCGGATTCTGCCAGTCATTTCCGCCAGTTCCATGTAGTCCATCAACTTCATCTGCCATTCTTCCCGGGTGGGCAAATCTTGTGTCTTCCAATACTTCGCAATGAGTATTCTTGCTGCTAAGGCAGCTTCCTATTTCTTAAGCGAAAGGACGTAGCTCAATGGTAGAGCATCTGCCTTGCACCTAGAATGCCCCAGGTTAAATCTGATCATCTTTAGATGGGCCTGGGAATGCCTCCTCTCTAAAACTCTGGTGGGACATTGCCAGTCACAATGCTGAACTAGATGGACCAATGGTGTAATGCAGCTTCCTATACAGGTAACTCGCATCTTTCGCGAGGGTTTTAGCTTGTAATCTTCCTCTTCCAGGCTATACAAGCGGCCATCAGCCAGGCTTTTAAAACCCCGGAAGTCATCAGGATGTTTGCCAAAAAGCAGCCAGGGCAGCTGCGGACAAGATTGGCAGAGGTAAAGATGTTTTATCACCTTTTTTAAAAGTGTACATACATGAAGTATGTTTAGAATCATTAGTTCATTTCATTTATAAACCGCTTCCTGTGAGGCATCCCAATGTGATCTACATATTTTTTTTAACTTGTAAATCTTAAACAATGTTTTATACTGATTTTCAAAGATGAGAAGCTGGGAGTGTTAACAGCATTGCCTAGTCCTGGGCTGGGCAGACTAAATTATGAAAACTAATTTGGGGGGGCATTATTGGTTGTTCCTGTTTTTATTCTTTTGTGCTTTTGTGTTGTGATTTTATCTTGTGAGCCGCCCTGAGACCTGCAGGTATAGGGCAGTCAGTAATCAAATGTTAATGATAATGAGAAGAAGAAGATGATGATTTAGTCAGGCTGTAGAAGCTTTGATTTAATTGGGAGCTTTGCCCCATGCGGTGCCTGTGAACTGGTTCACACAATCACATGGAAATGTGTGATGGGAGAACTCCGCCCAAGGAGGGATGGGGAACCTGTAACCTGGACAGGTTGTTGCTGGACTACAACTCCCATCATCCCTGACTGTGAGCTATGCCAGATGGGGCTGATGGCATTCGATCTTTTCTGCAACTGACACTTAGCGACTGCCACAAATTTCTTTCTCATGGTACACAAATAATGGGTGTTAATTCCTAAGGGCTGTGTAAATCTTCATACATCAGATGCATAATTAGTGTCATCCACCCCCACTTCCCGGTTTTCTCTTCCCCTTTATAGATGGACAGAGATCTGATTGTTGGAAAGTTGGGACGCGACGTCTATACTCAGCAAAAAGTGGAAATTCTCACCGCTCTCAGGAAGCTTGGGGAGAAGGTACTAAATTTGCTTGGCATGTCCCTCATGGGGCTATAAATGGAATTGCGTGGATTACACACGTTGTGTAGTACTAGTCTTATACCCTGCTGCAGAATCTGGATCCCTTAGAAACTGCACAGAATATTACACAATTGGATTTTTTTCACCATGCCTCAACACTATTTAAGGCTTTGTCTGGAGTCTTGAAGCTATGAAAGCTTGTTTGGAAATGTTTTCTTGTATTGATTATGCCACTTTCATTTTAAATGTTTAAATCAGTGATGGCCAAACTTGGCCCTCCAGCTGTTTTGGGACTACAATTCCCATCATCCCTGACCACTGGCCCTGTTAGCTAGGGATGATGGGTATTGTAGTCCCAAAACAGCTGGAGGGCCAAGTTTGGCCATCACTGGTTTAAGTGATATTAAAAGTTTCATGGCTGACTCATCCTAATTTCTTTCATTCTTTGTGTTTACAGCTGACTCCTGATGATGAGACTTTTCTTTCAACAAATGCAGGAGCTGCTCTCAGCCAGTTTGTGAGAGTTTCCAGTGATCTTGGTAAGTTAAAAAAAAAAAAATCCCCATGCCTCTTTCCTTGATCGTGTGTGTCAAACTTCTCACAATCGGGAGAAAAGAAATGGTGTCTCATCATCCTTAGTTCATGACTACAGCTCATCTGCTTCCTCTTCATTAACAGGCATGGAGGTTGGATTCACTGCCATATAGCATGAACATGAGTGTAACTTAAATAGCATTTTTTCCAATCCAATGACAGACTGGTTTGACTTTATTCCAAATGATGCTTATCAGTCCCAGTCAAAACACACAACTTGATCCTGTAGATCAGCCTGGCAAAATCAGTCAATGAAAATAAGTAGTCCACATACCGTATTGGCCCAAATACAAACTGCACTTTCCCCCCAAATTCTGACCGTGAAAAGTTAAAAGTGCAGCTTAAATTTGCGACCTTACAAAAATTGGCTTTTACGATATCGCTGCTGAAACAGACATATGGTAAAACGGAACAAAAAAATGTTTTCTTGCAGATTTGCGAGCTTGAGACTGTTGTGCAATTAATTCTAATGTCATACATCGCTTTCCCTGTATTTTACAGTGCAGTATTGATTTTTTAATTTGCATTTACGGTGCTACGAACAGGTGTTAAACCAACTTGTGGGTTCTCTCTAGTACCCATAGGATTTTCTTCCACATTTGACATTTACGGGTGTGAGTGCCTGTGGAATTTTAAGGGAGCGACTTATATTCGGGTATTGTCTTTTTTTCTTTCCCCCCCTTAAATTTTAAAGGTGTGGCTTATATTCGGGTGCAGCTTATATTCGGGCCAATATGGTAAATAGTTGCCTACCATCTTACCTGCATATGACTTACTGGCAGTGTTGTACCGATAATTGCTTGGGAATTCTAAGAAACTCCCAAATGTGCAGTTTAGTGCAGTTTTGAGATCCATGGTTAAAATCAGTGGTTTTGAGATCAGTGGTTAACATCAGTGCAATCTGTCATTTAAATCAATGCAGTTCAGTCCACCATCGTTTCTTTTTGTTTTTATTTTTGTTAGTCTATTGCATGTATAACAAACTCACAGAGTATTCTAAGAATTCAATAAGGGAGGGGAACAATTGAGCATGGTCAGGTTTAAGATAAGGAGATAAAAGATATAAAAGGAAAATATTAAAAGAAATTTGTATAAGAGAAGCAATATAGTAGTACTGTATTCCAAGTTAAGAAAGACTTAAAACAGTGGTTCAAAAACTCATATAATTGTAAATGCATAACGTTCTATTCACATATTAAAATATAAATAAATCTTACTATCAAATACCTCTTGTGTGATTAGTATGGCTATATAAATTTATACTTGCAATTGTTAATCAATAATTATTTGTTGGAGGCTGGATGTTGCTGATGGAATAAAGACAGGATTTTAAAACAGTCCCTCTTTTTCATTAACTGCAGGATCAGGTGATAAGGTCTTCGCGCTGGCAAGTTTTGAGGTAGAGAAATCAAAGCAGTGAAAGCAGGCTGCGTTCAGCTGCAATGGATCTGGGGTTTTTGTTTTTTTACCATGTTGTATTTGTGTGTTTCTTACAAACTTTTTTGTAACGCTCTTTATCTTAACGGCAAGCTAACCTACAACGGAGACCGTTTTCGAAGTGCCCTTTTGCGAGCTGGGCTGCCTAAGTTCAGAGGCTAAAAACACTAAGTGGTACTTTTTAAAAACAAGGAAATGAAACCAACTAACTTAATTGTGTAACCTTTTGAATGTATGCATTGTGTATGTATTTTCCCCACTTTAAAATGTGCATTTCTCTAGTAAAATGTTTTTCTCTATTATTTTTGTTACATGTGATGGCAGAAAGCATCTCTCTTCAGCAGCTCTTGGTGCTTGATGGCTGTGTGAGTTCAGTTGTTTTGCTGGAATTGTGTGGGTTTTTTTAGGTGGGGTGGGGGAGAGAATGTAGCTCTAATGTGGAATGCGACACAGTTTTGCTTGTCTCAAAACAAGCCGAGCGCCCTCCTGCCCTCCCGGTTTCTCTTGGGAGATGAATGGGCAGCATTGTGTCCTCCGTGTCTTGATTGGCAAACAATAGCAGCCCTGTTGGGAGCTTTCTGGGCCAATTTAACATTGTGGACCAGAATGACAGGGAACGCAGTCAATAAGCCCTGTTTCTGGCCTCCTACGGTAGCCAGGCGTGTTATGGGCTACAATCTGCCATTCTTCCCTCATGTTTTGGGAGGCCGGCATGAAACTGCTTCCTTCCAAGTAGAAACAAACAGAGAGGAATCCTACTTTTTTTAGATGCTGCCTGTTCTGTTGCTGAATGAAGGTGGCGCTTGCTGACTGTTGATCTTGTTAGCCCTGCAGGCTCCCTGTCATCTTCCAGGCCTGACTTAAGATGCTGGTTGATTGTGACTTATCGGCTTGAGCTAAAAGTTCCCTCGTCCCTTTGGGCTCCTTCTCAACAATTTTCACTTAGGATTATGGGAAGTTGCCTTTTTCCAACCCTATCAAGCTCAGTGTTGTTTACACTGACCAGCAGCTGTGCGCCAGGATTTCAGAGGGGTCATTCCCAGCCCAACCTGAAGATGCTGGCAATTAAACCTGTGCTCTTAGGTGCTCCACTATTGTGTGACAAGAGTTTTTTGTTCCTCTCCCACTCTTCCCTATGTGTATATCTCCCCTGCCCATTTTATCCTTGCAACAATGACCCCCTGAGGTAGGTCAGGCTCAGAAACAGTAATTAGCTAGCCTGAGTAGGGTCTTGAATCTGGGTCTCCTTAGCCCTAGACAGAAACGCCACACTAGGTTTCTCACTGGATGGTGGGTAATTTGCCAAGTTGGTGTTTGTGAAGGGCATCATCTTGCTAGGCACATATTTAAGGAGTTGAGACATCCCTGAAAACTCCATTGGAAGAGGGCTTGTTAGGACTAAACCCCATAATCTGGTTGCAATATTTGTAGCTTTTCCCTAAATAAATGCCTCTTGGCATGTACAGAGTGTCTTTAGTGATGCTTCTAACCAGGTCTTACTCAAATTAGCAGACATGGCTAAATTGTTAATTTTAATGGGTCTACTCAGAGTAGGACTTGGTTGGCTACAACTTAGTAACTATCCAACTGGGGGTTTTTTTTGGTTTTTTTTGCGGGGGTGGGAGAGTGGTGTTGGAGAGCATATCTTTCTGCCCTGCCATCTCCTCTATACAGTGGTACCTCGGGTTAAGTACTTAATTCGTTCCGGAGGTCCGTTCTTAACCTGAAACTATTCTTAACCTGAAGCACCACTTTAGCTAATGGGGCCTCCTGCTGCCGCCGCGCCGCCAGAGCACAATTTCTGTTCTCATCCTGAAGCAAAGTTCTTAATCTGAAGCACTATTTCTGGGTTAACGGAGTCTGTAACCTGAAGCATATGTAACCTGAAGCGTATGTAACCCGAGGTACCACTGTACTTGTTTTTCACTTTTTTGCAGTTTGAAGCCATCTACATTCTTTCTCTCTGTCATTTTCCCCTTAATTTTTGACCTTAGTTTGTTGCAGGACTCACCTATTCAGTCTTAACAGTTGAATTTACATACAGAATGCCCTTTTCCTAATCGCTACAGATCTTGTTCACTTAGAACCCCAGAAAGTGAGAGGATTTGAAAAACTGTTTTGATTTAATCCTGAATATGAAACTTCTTCCTTGTTTCTATCTCTTCTGCTTGTTGTGGATCATATGTAAACTTGCCTGGGGCCTGATTTTAATTTCTTTTCAAAAGAAAGTACTGAATATCACCCCTGCCAATCAATTCTCTTACCCTTGCCGCAGCTCCCAGATGAACTCATTGTATAGTAACTTGAGAAACTGCTGCTCTCTCCCTCTCCCCTCCCCAGTTTAAAAAAGGAACAAGCACAATGCCTATATTCTATTTTCCTGGCTAGCAGGCATGCGTAGGTTGCCAAAAGGGTCTGGCTGTAGCATACTGCAATGCTGCCAAAACATGACTCTCCCTTATTCAGCAGTTTTTGGGAGTGCAGGAACATGAGGCTGGGAGGAGCTGCTCGCTGGGTTATTAATGAACAATGGCCACAGTAGATCAGCCATAAAACAGGCAACTACCTTCCATGTTTTATAGATCATGGCACTTTTCCAAATAGGATTATGAGTTCTGAAACTGGGCAAGTAGAAAATGTCCCTCTGTAGTCTCTCCCACCACCCACAACAGTGCTTCTACAATAACAAGGCTGTTAAACCACCAGATTTAAGAGGTAAATCTTTTGCTGAACTCCACTGATTCACATTGCAGGAGCTAGTGGGATGTGTGTTTGAATGTCCCTCTTATACCTGTTCCCAATGCACACTCTTCCCTTTCTTTCTCTTTCAGCTGCAGAGGAATTGTATGTCAGAGAGAAGGCTAGGCTATAAACTCCCCACCTCCCACCCTAGGAAATGACTGTTTTCTGTGTGCAGGGATTTGGGGTTGTGAAGTCAAACATCCAATTTCCACCTGTAGCCTAAAGTGGGTTCAGTCTAGAAAAAGCTTGATCTGCAATGAGCAAAATTAGGTTGTGAATCTCCCTGCAGGTTGGTGTTCCTCAATTTTCACTGTCCTCAACTCAAGACCATACTGTCCAAGCCTCCTCCAATGTTAGACACGCAGAAGTTTGAGGTCAGGTTTACTTTTGGATCTGGGACTGAAAGCTCTAGTTCATTGGAGCTAGGGTTGCCATATTTCAAAAAGTAAAAACCAGGACACCCCAAAATTGTTGACTTTTTTTTTTTCAGGAAACCACTGAAATTGTTGAGCTTTTCTTTACAAAAACACCAAAAAACCCCATTATTTTTCAATTGACTTGCCTAACATCCAGGACAAAGCGCTGCCATTTGGAAATTCCCCCCAGATGTCAATTCTGCCTTTGAAATCCCAGTAATGTCCTGAAAAATCCAGACATATAGCAGCCCTAATTGAAGTTGTTGGAAAACTTCCTTTAGTCATAGATTTGACAGTTACAAAACAAGTCGCATATGAGGTTTTACAGTGGAGAACATGTTAGGGTTCCCTTTTCACCCTGGCAGGGCTCTTTTGCCTTTTTAAAGCTGCCCAGCAGGTAAGCAGTAAAGATACAATGGAACACAATGGAAAGCTCAATCAGCTGAATTTCTGCCTGTTATGTAGTCTGTTCAAGGAGCAAGAGCCCCATGGGAAACTTGGGGAGAAGCCATACCACCATACATAGCATCCTGTTCCTAAGTGTGGTGGCTTATGTCCCACAGAAATATGGGAAAACCCTGGTTAGAGGAGAGAGCAGGTCTACCAGGAAGTGTGTATGCGTTTGAGCTTTGTGACTCTGAAAGCCTCCGTGCAGCATTTCCTAGAGTTAGGCTGCTTTTGACTGCCATGTTTGTGGTCTTCACTGCCCTCTGTGGCTTGTGATTAGGCCTTGGCAGTTGGGAATAGCATCCTTTTAAATGTTTCTTCCCTTTTAAAACTGATGGCTAAATAACAGCTTGTGTGAAGTCACAGTGGTTACAGACCTTCTTTCCCTGAAATGCTGTAGCTGTCTCATTAGTGATGATTAGAGGGTTAGTTCCTTGCCTGCAGAAGGGAAGCTTTGCTGCTGTGCCATTGCAAATCCGTGCCTTGAGCCAAACCCAGCAGTCACACCGGCTTTAAACAGGCTTCTTCTTCTGATCTCTCTCCCTCACTCAGCTTAGAGATTTGCATTTACTTGTCTCTCTTTGCATATTGTTCATTTCACTTTAATAAACCATCACTGAGAAATGCATTTTATCTTTATTGTCAATTTTATATTCCCCCACCTATCTTCTTTTTAAGGGCACAACCAGTGCCTTATAACAACTTTCCCCTTAAAATGCCAATGGTTTCAAATATGGCATTTAATTTGGAATACATTCTTTGAGAGGGTTGGATTTTCTTGTTAGGCATCCAGTACTTGAGCTACTGTTGCTTGAAGCAATTATAAATAAAGCTCAAGGTGCCTTAGTGCTGCTGGCGTAAAATTGTAATCTCTTTTCAAAAACTTGCCTGCAAATTGGTAACTCTGAAAGTCCCTCTTCAGGTGTGGAAAGCAGAAGGAAAGTTACTTGGCATGAGAACATATACATCTTTTCTAGTGAGCAACATTCTCCATAGCAGGGGTAGTTAGCCTTTTTGGCTCCACAGACCAAATCCTCATCAGGATTGGCCATGTTGGAACAAATTTATCAGGTGGGTGGCCCTACCCATCTGTCAGTCACCTGACAGCATAAGGACATCAGGTGCAAAGTGCTGCTAAAAATGATGCTGGCCCTCTGTTTTATACAGGACTTTTGATGGTTTGCATTGAAAGCCCTACTAAAATGAAGGGAAAGAAACTGTTCTAGCAGACAATTATGATGCGTACCTCTTTCTGATTCAGGAAGGGGTTTGCATGGCATTCAACCCCTGCTCATCCGCGGACAAGTGGGAGATTAAATTCTGATCCGTTCCCTAATGGGAACAGGTACACAGCCAATGCAGGATTTAACCCTGTCCTGCCTGCAGTCACATGATGATGTTGCGAGAGACATCAGCTGATGAGCTAGAAGGCATGGTTTGAGGGAAATGGATGCATAGGCTCACTTGGACCCCCTGGCAGGCGAAGATTGGCCCAAGGGTTCGCCACCTCTGCGCTGTAGCCTTGCTTTGCTTTCACAGTAGTCCTGTGACGTAGGTCACTTGTCACTGATTTTCTGCACTCAATGCTCTTTTTCTAAGTTATGCAACATTATGAAATACGAAATATACTCTTTTTGCCTCTTAATCTCTTCTCTTCTGGAGTGGGAACAAAATTTCCCAACTGCAAGAATACTTCATTAAAAGTAAAAACAATAGCTCATAATATGGGTAGGTAAAGGTAAAGGTACCCCTGCCCGTACGGGCCAGTCTTGACAGACTCTAGGGTTGTGCGCTCATCTCACTCTAGAGGCTGGGAGCCAGCGCTGTCCGCAGACACTTCCGGGTCATGTGGCCAGCGTGACGAAGCTGCTCTGGCGAGCCAGCACCAGTGCAGCACACGGAAACTCCGTTTACCTTCCCGCTGGTAAGCGGTTCCTATTTATCTACTTGCACTTAAGAGTGCTTTCGAACTGCTAGGTGGGCAGGAGCTGGGACCGAACGACGGGAGCTCACCCCGCTGCGGGGATTCGAACCGCCGACCATGCAATCGGCAAGCACTAGGCGCTGAGGTTTTACTCACAGCGCCACCCGCGTCCCATAATATGGGTAGTCCTCATAAAAAGAATGGTCATTTTGGAGCCCAAAAATGCAGGATGTAGTTTATTATATTGATTGCCCATAAAATTGTTTCTGGCGAAAAGTTAGAATGGGTGCTCTCTTAAGGGTGTGAAAAATCCTAGTAATGATGCAATGGCAAAGATTTCAATTTGACCAGGAGCACCATCTTAACATCAGAACTAATCTACCCCTGTGGTCATATGGAAAGTCTTGGTGTGTGGTGGCAGCTAGATTATGAAAGAATCCTAAATGAATTTCAAAGCAGATTATCATGGATGGCTAACGGCAAGAGATTGAAGCAGAGCGTCTTTGTCCAGAGTTAAGGCTGGCTGTGCAAAGCAGCAAATGGAGGAGCTAGGGCTTATGATACCTGATTTTCAGCTACGCCTAGGAAAAAAGATGCATAAAGCAAAGGGAACTGGAGGTGTCATGCAAAGCTCCAAACTATCAGCAGGAAACTATGGAAATGTATAACACCATTTAATGCCTTTAAAAAGTGGGGTTTTTTGGGGGGGGGGTCTTATCCCAAAGGGCCTTACATTGTATAATAAAACACACACACCAGTCACCCAATAGTACATCATTTACAAATAAAAGTCATTAAGCTTCCTTAATTTTTAAAAGATGTAAATGGGAAAGCAAGCAGGTTTGAGAACTGTGTACGGCAGCCATTTAAACAAAGAAGATGTCACTTGCCATTCCTTCTGTACATCTCTAGGGGATCAGACCATATCAGACTAAGAACTGGGTCAGGAGCAACAGCAGCTTGCAGATAGCTTCTTGTCCTGTGCTCAATCTCCCCCATCCCCTGCCTTTCCTGCTGAAATGCTTTCCCATTTGATTCACCCTTAATGTACCTGCATTTTTTCTTACTATCCATCACCTTATCCTCTCCTAAAATTCTGGCCTTTGGAACAAGACAATGCAAGTTCTGCAGCAAAGATAATGTTTGCTTGACTTGCCCCTCCCAATCACCTATCAACTACAAGTCCCTGCTTTGCATTAGCTGGGTACCACCAGACTTTGCAGAAAGGCAATCAATAAATAGTAAATAAAATATTTCATGGGGGTTTGGGCACATATACAATAGTGGTCCTCAAGTATACTGAGGTATAACTTTTCCCCCCTCTTGCTGCAGAGGGAAGAACTAGAAATTGCAAGTAAGTAGATTTTGTCCTGTCCTAAAGCAAGGGTGGGGAATCTGTGGCCCTCCAGCTTTAGTTGGATTTACAACTCCCATCATCCCTGACCATCAGCCATACTGGCTGGGATTGATGGGAGTTAGCATCCAATAACATCTGAGGGCCACAGATTATCCCCACCCCTGCCCTGAGACGTTTATACAATCAAGCAGCCAAATGAAGACAAAGCAGAACATATGGTGTGTTTTTAAAATTGCATTAAGCCTGTAATTCCTTCAAAAGCCATCTCGGTCAGATACAAAGGGTAAACGGATGCCTTAATTGCAGGTCTCCCACCTCACATGAGGATAGAATGTCTTTGGATATTTCTCTGCGCTTCACACACCATGCTAATTAATGTAACTCTAACGGAAGGATCCCAGAGTGATGTTTCCGTCTCCCCCCCTCCCCCGCCTGAGCTGACGCACTCAGTTTTTCTTAAATAATTAATCATCATTACTGCCTGCTGCTTGCTGGGTACGTGTTAGTGATCATCTCAGATCCCAGCATATTTACACCCTCCCAGTTCCTGTCTGCAGCTTGCTTTTGCTCTTTTCACAGGCTTTCATGTTAAGGTCTTCATTAAGTGACAGGTTGTAGATTTCTGTGCCATCGTGCTTTGATGTCTTTAAGTACTGAAGCACAAATTGGAAAGCACAGGCCTGTTTGTTGCTGCACCCTATTGGATAGAGATACAATATAAGGAGAAGTAAAGGAAACAGTAACAACACCTGGGCAGCCAGATCCTCTGGGGTTGGCCTTGCATAAAGCATCTGGAGGAGGAGGATTTTCTACTGTCCAGCTAGGTAACCACTGCCCCGCTACTGATATTCCTTAAGCGAGAAATCCAGTTCCTAGCTCCTCTCATTATACAGCTATGACCTACTTGTTGATTTCCTCTCTGTGACCTCAAAGTGTGCAACTCTTCTCCAATAATAATAATATTAATAATAATTTACCACTCTGGGCAGCTTCCAGAATACAGAAATCCATCAAACATTAAAAGCTTCCCTAAGCAGGGCTGCCTTCAGATGTCTTCTGAAAGTCTGGTAGTTGTTGTTCTCTTTGACATCTGGTGGGAAGGCGTTCCACAGGGTGGGTGCCACTACCAAGAAGGCCCTCTGCCCTGTAACTTGGCTTCTCGCAGTGAGGGAACCGCCAGAAAGCCCTCAGTGCTGGACTTCAGTGTCTGGGTAGAATGATGCAACAGCCGCCTCATACAGAGTCAGTACTGTCAACACTGACTGGCAGTGGCTCTCCAGGATTTCGGAATGGGAATATTTTCCATCCCTAGCCAAAGCTGCAGGGATTAAAGCTGCATGCAGAGCATGTGCTCCGGCGCTGAGCTGCAGCCCCCTGCACTTGAGACAGCTTTGAACTATAGTCCAAAATATCTGGAGGGCACCAGAATAAAACATAAAAGGAGCCTTGCTGCTGCATCAGGCCAGTGGCCCTTGCCCAGCCAGTCCAACATCCTGTTCTCACTGTAGCCAACCAAGTGCCTGCCAGAAGGCGATGAACAGGACCAGAGCGCAACAGCACTCCATTCAGTGCTCCTATTCCCACCCCGAGACGTTCTAAGCCCCGCCTCCCGACGACGACCCCGCCCCAGGCTACTTTCTCGCCTCCCTCTCCTTGTAGCTCCTCCCTTCCCCGAGCCCCTTCCCCTTCGGCCACGCCCCGTCCTCCGGGCCACGCCCCTCCCCGAAACAATAGCCGCCTTCTCCTTCCCCAGCCGCAAGCTCCGCGTTGGCCACGCCCCCTTTTACCTCAGGTTGCCGTTAGAGGCGGCTGCCTGAGGCGACGCGGCTTGCCGCCTCTCAGCGGCCTCGGGCGCTGGGACGCGGCAAGCAGCGGCGACGGGTCCCTCCCACCCGGAGTCGCCCAGGCGCCTCCTCCGCTCCCTCCCTCGGTCGCCGCCGCTGTGAGTCACGACGACGGAGGGAGGAGGAGGAAGAAGAAGAGCAGAAGCAGCAGCGGCCGTTTATACACACACACACCGTTCGGCGTTTCTCTCCCCTCAGGCGCAGAAGGAGGCTCAGTCGCTCCAAGTGCTGAGAGGACGAGGGCACGATCCTGCCTCTGCTTCCCTCCTTGTCTACGCGGGAGGGCCACTCGAGGGCTCCTCCCAGACCCAGTAACAACAACAACATCATTATTATTATTACTAGTGCTGCTAATAACTGCCGCCGCCGCCACTTCAGGTAAGCGCTTTACGCCTCGCCTGGCAACAAAAGGCGCCGCGCGGTGAGTAGGCGACTGCTTGCTTGCTTGCTTTTTCTCTCTCTCTCCCCCTCAGTCCGCTTGGCTGCTCGCGCACGCGCGCTCGTCCGTCAGCCTGTTTGCGCGCGCCTGGTTGCTCGTTCGAATGTCCGTCCAGCCGGCCGTTGCTCGCGCGCCCGCGCCTCTCCCCCGACTCTCGTAAACGTCACTCCCCTTCAGCGTTCCATCTCCCCCCTCCCCCACTGCTTGCTCGCGCGCCCTCCGCCTCATCTCTCCCACCCACCCCCCATTTATCCAACCATCCCCCCCCCCCAAAAAACCCCTCATTTCCTCTAAGCAGCACCACCCACCGTCATGGAGTCACTCTTGCTCGCTCGCTCGCTCTCCCCTCACATATATACATACACACAGCGCTAGAAGCATCGCTAAGTACTTTTAAAAGGTGTGGTGGGGCTCACACAGGCCCGTGAAACAAAATAATCGTATGGTAATTTGTGTGCAAGGTATAAATTTAGGGGTTAGTTTCAGAGGCGGTGGGGTCCTGCGTCTGGGCATCTGGTTGACTGTTGCGTGGACAGGATGCTGAGCTAGGTGGGTCTGATCCAGCAGCAAGCCTCTTCTCAGGTCAAATCCATGGTATACATTGAGAGCATATTCAGCACACACACTTCCTCCATAGAATCCTATTAACTGTGGTTTCTGCCCCTCAGATACCATTTTCAGCATCCATAACAAACTGCAGTTCCCAGGATTTGGGGGTGGGAGCGTACAGTAATGTGCTTTAAATGTGCGCTGAACATGCCTTAAATGTATACTGTGGATCTGCCCTTGAGGTTTTTCAGTTCTTGCTGCCAGGGCTTACTCTGAGCTCTGGAATGGTAGGGATGGATGGCTCAGCCTCTGTAAATCCATCCCATCTCATTTTTTAAATTTTTTTTTGTAGATTAAAACAAAACATTAAAAAATCACCTTTAGATTGTATACATTCATCCCCTACGAGACATTTTTGCATGCTTTCATTTCCCCTAAGTATGCCTTTTTTGTGAAATGTACTTCTGCCTTTTCTTAATAAAAAAAGGTCTAAACTGCATTGCCAAATTCATACACAGGCTGATCCACATATAACACTGGGACCAGCAAATTACGTTGGTTGATTTCAAAATGTGGATCAATTTCTTTTCCATTCCTATAGGATGCCAGCAGGGTTTTAGGGGCTGCTCTACACATTCAAATTAAAACAAACCTTTTACAACAACGTGACTTTCACACATGAGCACATTCATCTCTAACACCACTTCTCCTTCCCATCTTCATCTACCTTTTTCATATACATACTTATAAGTCCCTGCCACCAGTCAATGCCACCTATACCCAGTCCAGGGACCACAGATCAACACAATGTTTGCCACAAATAGAAAGCAATGAAGGATGGCTGCGGCCTTGTCGTGAGTGAGCACTGAAGCGTGCTCAACCACTTTGTAAGCAAAGAAAATTTTTAAATGTTAAGTTTAAAACTGGGGTGGAGGGGAAGGGTAAGTGATCTGGGGGTTTGGGCTCCCTGGCCCACCTGTTAACAATGGCTCTGGTCAACACGGGATGCACCAATCTTATACCTTCACAGCTCTTCTCTTCCTAAATTGTGTTCTCCAAAATTTCTGAAGAGTGGGTTGATGATAAACGAATGTTACCTGTTCCATCTTCAGGAGAAGTACTTCAGGTACATGTGCAAAGGAGGGGGTTCTTCTCTGTGGTAATTGAACGGTTTTATTTGACTTAGTGTTGTTGGTTTGTGTAGTAGTGTGTCAGTAACTTTTATGTTTCTTTGTGTACCATCCTAAAATCCATTTTTTTGGGGTGAAGGACAGTTTGTACATTTCAAAAATAAAATTAAGACAAAAATAAGTCCTTCTTCACATAGCACATAGTTAAACTAAGGAATTAGCTTTGACAGGGTGTAGTGATAACTACCAACTTGAACAGCTTTGAAAAGGGGATTAGACAAATTCATGGAGGATAAGGCCATCAGTGATTAGTCCCTGTGATGACTATCTACCCTGGTATAAGAGGCAGCATGCCTTGAAAAACCTGCTGCTGGGGAACATGAGCCAGAGAAAGCTATGTGCTGCTTGTGGGCTTCCCAGAAGCATCTGGTTGGCCACTGTAATAACATAATGCTGGGCTAGATGGGCCACTGGTCTCATCCAGCAGGGCTCTTCTTATGTTCTGATGTTAAAGGAGAGGGGCTTTTCTGTGGTGGCACCCCTTACTTTGAATGTCCTCCCTGAGGTGGTTCAGCTTGATAACAACACTGCAGTCTTTTCAGTGGCAGGTCAATAAACTCTATTTGCTGAAGCATTTTTCAATGGTTATGTCTGCTTTATAGTTTATAGTTTTATAATTTGCTGCCTCTTAGTTTTATCACTGAATGTAGTTATATTTATATTGTATTATACTGACCTGGTTTGTGCTTAATGCTGAGGTGAACGGTGGTTTAGCCTTAGGTAGTGTGGCGGCAGCGGCAGCAGGACCTGGATAGGAGTGAAGCAGCCCCAGTTTTTGCTCAGTGTACCTGCACACTTGCTTTTTCATGTTTACCCATGGTTTGACTTGGCATTATGTGCAGATGGGGCAACTGTATTATTGTAAACCATCCTGGAATACATCAGGAGAAAGTGTGGTTTAGATGTTTTTTAAAATGAAATATTATTTTGGAGGGGGGTTGATGATGATGAAATGGGTGTGTGTGGGAACCTTACTCAACTGGTTCAACCTGTTGTTTCCAGTGAGCTCTGCCACTACTTACTCCAAATCAACTAGTTTAATTCTTTAAAAAAGCTAAAGCAAAAAAGTAATAATCTTAATTCACCCACCCAAAAATCATTTGTTCAAAATCTTTTTATTTCCTTCTCTCTGGGTGTTTTCTTCTTGTATGCTTCCTGTAGGGATTCCTTCAGGACTGTCACACCTAATGTTTCCTCTCCATCTCCTAAACCTTTGTCTTACACACATGCAGAAAATTATCCCATGCTTTCCGAATCCTGTCCAATTTTTTGTGCTGCATTCTTTTAAGCATGCAGGGGGAGAAACCCAGCTGTAGTTCTCTCTTTATTCCCCTTCTTGCTCTTACAGCAGCATCATAAGCAGCTTCACCTAAAAGTCATTTGGAGAGATATGGCTGCCACATTTCTACATGACTTTCTGTGGTCAGAGCTTTCAAGGAGCTGGTGGTTTGTAAACATTTTTTTTTTTTTTGCAAAACTGTCACATATTCGTCATAACTGGTAAACTAAATGACCCCTGTTTAGAGCCAGAATAGCAGTATTTCCTAATCCCTTGCAGATTGCTCCAGTCCCACACCTGCTTGAACTTGCTGGCAGCACTGCTAGGCCCTTCTTCCTCCTCTTTTTCATAAAGTTTTTTATTTCATTTTGAAATATATAAAAAATAAAATAAAAATAACTATAACCAAATACAGTGGTATCTCGGGTTACAGATGCTTCAGATTATAGACGCTTCAGGTTACAGACTCCGCTAACTCAGAAATTGTACCTTGGGTTAAGAACTTTGCTTCAGGAAGAGAACAGAAATCGTGCGGCGGCGGCGGCAGCGGGAGGCCCTGTTAACTAAAATGGTACCTCAGGTTAAGAACAGTTTCAGGTTAAGAACGAACCTCCAGAACAAATTAAGTTCTTAACCCGAGGTACCACTGTACTAGACACAGCAAACAGAAAAACAAGACAAATAACTATGTAAAATAAGTGTATTTTTGCATGGATTGAGTAACAATGTCCAATTCCAAAAGAGGCTAGGGTTCTCTTCTGATAAATAGTTGGGGTCAAAGAGTGTCCAGACCAATATGAAATTATTGTATATTTGTGCACCAGAATGAAAAAATGGTATCTTGGCTCATTTGGAACCCCTGATTCTCACAACTAAACCCTATGGCACAAGCCACATGAGACTAAAGCGCAGCTAAAGCGCAGGTCTCGGTAGTTTGAGGGTTCAAGTCTGGGCAAGGAAATAGCTTGCATCCCAGTGGAAGAATCCTTTGGGGGAGGACCCACAGGTAGAGTACCTGTTTTGGAAAGGTCTATGGTTCAGTCCCCTGCATCTCCAGTTAAAAGAATAAAATAGCTGGGAACATGAAATAAATTTCCATGCCTGAGACACTGCCCATCAGGGTAGGTGGACAGATAGAGGAATCTGCCCTAAATCAGGTCAGACTGTGTCTATCTGGCAGCCTCCTGCCACACCCATTTCTAGTCTTTCCTCCGGCAGTTGGCTCTAGACTACCAGTTGCCGCTTTGTATGTTGCATTTTCAGATGTACATTTAAAACAGGTGAAACACTTAAAGTGAGAACTTGGCAAAGAAGTTAACACCATTGCTTCACAGCCGGCTGTGACAAGCAGCAGATATTTGCTGTATGTTCACTTTGTTAAATCCAGACAGTCCTTTGCCTAATGTGCAAACTTACCCACCTTTTCCTTTTTTTTTTTTTTTTTTTTTTACTTGTGAATGCTACTGGCTTGTGTTTAATGTTTCAGATGTCTAATATGTTGGCATTTATTCATGAGGTCCTACTTCTTCCCCTTTTGTACTGTCTGAAGCAGCTTTTAATTCAGAGATGAGGAGACTGTGGCTCTCCATATGTTATTGTCTCCGTTTCCCATCAACCACAATTAGCAAGGCCAAAGGCCAGTGATGTTTTAATCCAACAACAGCTGCAGGCCCACATATTATCCATACCTGCTTTAATTGCTGACCACACCTCTCTTCATATTGTCTACATCTTCTTTCAAGATTTCTCTCCCCGCCCCCTGCCCCACTTCAGAACCATTTTGTTACGTCTAAGATTGCACAACCCTATCTCTTAACTCGCTTTAGATACATTCTCAATGTCACTTAAGCTCAGTGCCCTTAAGCCTTCCTTTGTAATTTTAATCAATACTGTGTATATATATATATATATATATATATATATATATGCATGCATGCGCTCTATTCTGGCTGGCTCCTCACATGCAAATGCCGTGCATGAGCAGGAGACAAATGTACAAAGCACAGGGTTATATCCAACTAACTCCCACTCAGAGTAGACTTAACTTCATGAACCTAAGTTAGTAACAATCATTAACTTAATGGAGTCTACTCTGAGTAGGATTGGCCCACAATGGATGCAACCTAAACTGGATATATACCTTTGGTGTTTCAGAATGTGTTTATGTTCTGAATTAGGTTATTGGACAGTGGTCTAAAACAAATGCACTGTGTATCATCTCTATTTTGGGTCTAAGATTAATCTGTCTTTGGTCTGCTTTTGTCTGCTTTTTAAATACGAGAAGGTAAACTCAAGGGTGCTGCTTGAGAATTTCAACCTTAAAATAAGAATTGGAATGCATGAGCTAACGTGATCTACTTGAACAGTCAGAATTTGCCTGCAGTTATGTGTGCATCAGGTATTATAGTACTATTTCTTTTTTCTGTAGTTTTTATTCACTTTGTAAAAGGATGTTTCTTTCACTCAGGAACTTAAGTTTAATTAACATGCAAGTTTATTAGATCATTTATTCTCAAATGGTTGGCTAATACTAAGCCATTGATTGCAGAAAACTTGTTTGCAATGCTGCCTGCATTTTGGGGCAAGGTAAAAAGAAGAGTACACACATGATTTGGGTTGGGAGAAGAGACTTCAGAATTTGGAACTGACAGGTGGAGCTGCGAGGCAAAAATGCAGTTTCTGGGTTTGGGAATTGTGGCTCAGGAGGCCTGGACATTAAAAGCCCACTGAGATGTGCATTGAGATTTCAGCTACCTCAAGTTGTAGAATAACATGAATTTATAAACAGTTGTGCTGTTAGAAACATTGTACATGGTAGCTTGTGGCTGACATCCTTGTCCAGAACAGCATGATTGTTGCACTTTTAAGCATAACTGGTGCTGTCAACAATGGAAGACTTATAAGTGAGTTTATATAGAGAAGGCATTGTTCAGCAGAGTACAGTCTTAACTTGTCTTGTGCCATTAGCTGTAACATACGGTAGAGAGATCAACAGTTAAAACACAAACCTCTTTCATTTCATAGAGGACATTTTCCTTCAGTGCATAAGATGCTTAAACCATATTCTTTTTGTCAGTAAAATTCTTAAAGAGCAGCTAAAGTATAAAATTCTGGTTGAACACTGAAAAAGGTCCTGTCTTAATTGTATGCAATAAGTCTCCAGAAATCCTCAAACTATAATTACCAATGAACAATGAAGTTTTGGTAACTAAGCTGTTCATGTGGGTTAATCGTGGGGTACATTGTATAATCTCTGTTCAGTTAGTGTGCAAGATAAATGTTCTCTAGTACAGACACTTCTGAATAAGTCTAGTATGATAAGTATTTAACATAATTAATGTTAATCCTGCGTAATTCAAGTTTGTACAATGATTAATTGCAGGCTACTCCATAGAGCTTAGTAGTAACTCATATGACTCTTCAGCCTTATATCAATTTCACTTTCTCTTTTTGCAAAATACTAATGCAGTAGATTAACACTGATCAAGTCTTTCTATTGGAAGATGTAAGAAGTGTATATTTAATGTCCATGCTAACAAGTTATCTGTTACCTTTGGTATATTGGTTCTGCTGCATAGCATATTTATATATTTAACTTTGTCTAGAAAGGAAGGAAACTTCACCCTGCTGAGGACATTTCCTTCTCTGCTTTTTTTCCTTTTAACTGTTAGTGTAATGACCTAGTGCCATAAAACTTAAACACAGACAACTGCAGGTGGGAAATATTTTGATATATTAGTCTGCAGTTTAAGGTGGAAGCTTCTGAGTTTGTGGAGAGCAAAGGAGATTGAGGTGACATCGACTTCCTGACCACCCCTGAAACAACAATGTGTAGCTTGTGCTAATTAGTTTAATGACCCTCCAGTGTGAAATTAAAAGTGTTTTGTGCTTCCTGTTGATTCCCCCCCCCCCCCAATAGTATCACGATACTGCAGTCAATGATTTTTGTGGGGTACAGAGTGGTTAGTTTGGAAGGCTACCAAGTACGTAAAACTTTGGTGCCTACAAAATAGAAATATATTTTCTACCTGTGGTCTGAACAAGAGTTTTAAGAAAGACAGAGGAATAAGTTGACAAACATTAAAATTATCAACTTATGTTGATAATTAGGAAAATACAAAATCACTCACAAAAATGATCAGATGCACTTTTGCCATGTTTTATTTACACCAAATGATAACCTGCCACAGGTTTTATGCCTTTCTTAGTAACCAGAAGCACAATTTCAAGAGCTGTCTACTGATTTATTTTTTTAGTGGCTTTGCACTGATTAATAATTTGCCATATGTTGTAAGCAACCAAAGCATTTCCCAGTTGTTTCATTTTTTTGCTGACAACACAGAAACTGTTGACATATTTGTGGCATATGTTTTCCAAGCTGTCGTAATGAAATAGTGTTTGAGAAAACCTTTGACATGCCCAGAAATAATGATTAATGCATGAAATGTCATGTGAGACATGATGAAGATAAATAATTACAAATTAAGTGTTACATTAGAAAATGCTTTATTGCTTTTACCTATACAGTATTATAAACAAAATCAAAATGAGTTACACAACTTCTCTGGATGTTTATAACATAGGGCTGCCATATGTTTTATGCTCTTTCTTGACATTTTTGTAAAAAGAAGCTCAACAATGGGGTTTGTCTTAAAAAACTCAACAATTTTGGGGGTTTCCTTAAAAAAGCTCAAAAACATTTAGGGGGTCCTGGTTGTTACTTTTTGTAATATGGCAACCCAGTGCTTTAAGTACAAAGATTCACAAAATGTTTAGGGGTATGTGTATCCCCAGAAAAAAGCACTGTGGAAACCCTATTATGACATGCCACAAAGCTTATAGTATGCCCTTTTTGAGTTCTGCTAAAATTGGCCTATTTATCTGTAAAGTATTATTGCACTCTGCTTCATATCCAAGGATCCAGCTCCTTTCAGACATTACTCAAACTGCATAGAGAGACACAGATAAATGTGAGTAAGCTTATGGGTTAGTAAATGCTAGTTTTTGTTTATAAGACTGACTAAATAGCTCTATACATTTTTGAAATTTTTTATTGATTCACTTATTTAGTCTGACTCTCCCCATAGATTTACATTCCTTGGGGATGGATCAACACAAGCAAGCTTTTCAGCCCTAGTTTTCTGTATAACCAACACAATTTTGGGTTTATGAATCTTTAATATCAACCCTCCATGCTACATGGCAAGCTGCTTTTGAAAATGAAGTGAGGTTTAAAATAAAGGAAAAGTTGACTATCCACAAAACTGATAACAATTTCTTGTTGGTTTTTTTTGGTTTTGTTTTTTGTTACCAATTATATGAGGCTTCTGGAAAGATTGCAGGTCTTCAAATAGCAGGCATAGCAATGTGTTAACTATAAAGATGGGCCTCATGGCTAAGGATAGCTTGGTTTACAAATACAGTATTGTATTCTGTCCCATTTTTGTTGTTTTTCTGAAAGATGGAATAGGCTTCTCTTTAAGGAGGTGTAGTTGTCCATAATTTGTAACAAGATACCCCCTCCCACATTACCAAAAATGTTTGGCTGTCATCCAGCCATGGAGAGACCTAAATATTACACAACTGTTTGACATGCCATTCTAGGGTATGGTGCAACAAGGCCTAGGCCAGCTTTTCCTGACCTGTTGCCCTCCAGATGTTTTGGATTACAACTCCCATCAGCTGCACCCAGTGGGAGTTGTAGTCCAAAAACATCTGTGAGAGCATCAGGTTGATGAGGTTGATTAAAACACACTTCTGCTTTGTGTATCCAAATACTGCAGTTGCCTGAAGGCAGAATGAAGTTGTAGCTTTTCTCTAGAATGAACACTGACTTTAATAAGGCTAGATATGTTGGCTGGCTGGCTGGCTTGAAGTACAACAGAAGCTGTCTTTCTCTGCTGACAACGTGATATTTGCAAAAAATGCAATAGGTTGCTTATGCCTTAAGGACAGAAGAGAGTAACAAGTTCAACAATAATTCACAGTTAACTTGACTCCATGTGGTCAGGCAACATTACCTAGGGGAGTTCTTGAATTTGACTTCATTAATGCTCTCAATGTGTTTTGAAATCTGTTCATGAAAGAAGCTATAGAAATTCAAAGATCATGACCAGGGGAGGAACATTTTCCCCCAATTTGGGTTTAGAAATTAATATATAGGTGACTGCAGCTTATTTTATTATTATCATTATTTTCATGGGAAGGACTGTAAAAGCTTTGTCTTAAAGCTGTACAGTATTAGCCACTTGGATGGAAACCACCATTGGAGAATTCAGTTTGAAGTCAAATGTAGCTGAAATTGTATACCAAGGGGCCTGAGCGTCCCTTAGAAGCTTGGTGTGTTCCAAAAAACCTAAAAAATACAAGACATCAAGTATTCTCGATCTTGCTGTTCAATTATAAATGGATAAATGTTATGAATTCTGTGTTGCTGACATCCCTTTGGAGAAGTGAATTAATGCAGTCTTCAGCTGCCTGCGGTTGAAGGCCATGAATCGCATTGAGTGAGTACAAAATAATCAGAAGTGTGGAATGGGTTTTTGGATTTCAGTTATTTGGTGTTTGTTGGAAGATCTCATTGTAAATGAACAAGTCTTGAAGATGCCACATCCTTTTGCCTGTTGGGATCATATTCTAACCATTAAAAGTGTCCTGCATAGCTGCAGAGATTAAACTGGAGAATAGCAGTGTCCATTTAAGGGAACAGCTTAGTGCCAGTTTTTAAATTCCGGCTTTTGTGGAGTAGAAAGGTTGGAAATCCTCTGCTGTAGAATAACATTTGTTTATTCCATAAAACATCCAGTTCCATTGGATGTTAATCCATCTCAAGTTCTTTGTCTCCTTGCTAGTGAGAGAGCTGGATAGAATGTGAGGAGATCGACTTTTAGATGCAGAACACTGTTTAAGTTTTATGTTAAGCATTTAATGTGCTTCTTTTTCTGTATAGTCAGTTTATTACTTGACAATTAATTATGCATTGGTCACTTTAAAATACCAGAGGTAGAACAGGCTATGGTCTCTGACTTGTTGGTGAAGTTATGCACTCTTAGTCAGGTTTACTTTGGCCAGGGCTTGTGTCAAGAGTCTAAATCACTTTACTTGTCAGCTCAGCAGCCCTTGTGTAGAAGTTGTGAGAATTGGTTGTGTGTATATGGTTCTCCTCTGCTGAAAATGGTGATTTGGAAGAAGATTACTGTGGCTTCCTTCATGATAATAATGGTAGATATGGTACTCCCCTAGCATACTTTTGATTGTATGCATGACTGCAAGTAATGGCAGGTTCCACAAAAGGGGAACTGGGGCTGGCATTAAATCCATGGCTGAGGTACCTGTGGAATTTGGCCGTGCCCCCTGAAACCACTGTGGCTCTCCATAAACTGCATAATGAGCAATACTATGCAGGCCTTGGTGGTGATGGGTCAGCTGTCGTACAGCTGTCTTGCTAAGCATTGCTTGCTTTTGGGACCTTAGTCATCTCCACACATACACACCCCACGTCTCCCCCAAAATATCTTGTTACAGAGTATTTGGGGATCCTATTTCTTGAAAGTCCATGTGTAGTTGAACATTTCAGATTTTTAGTTGAAATGAAAATCCTTATACATGGCCGTGTAGTCCTTGGATTCAAGGTCATCAGATACTGCACTTAGCTCTGTCACTGACTTTCTTTGTGGCTTTGAATGCATTCATTGGAACTCTGGGCTTCACGTTGCTCACTTGTAATACAGGCAACTGCCTGGTTGTGTGGGGGCTGCGTTCCAGGCATTCGCACGTGTTGACAGAGCACATATAAGCCTGCCCCATTATGCCCCCTTCCGGGTTCAAAATTACCCACGTGTCAGCGGTCGTGCGTCAATTGAACATGTGCAAAATGGTTGCCGCCTGTATATATTTATGTTGGGTGCAAGAACATGTAGGCAGTGAGTTAGATCCAGACTTAAGTGGATCATCCTTTAGTCACATTTAAAACAATGAAACGTAAGTGTAATTAATGTAGCCCAGATCCAACCCACTGTATATGAAGAAACAGGAAACTGTGTCCAGCATTATTGCAATCTCTGGGTTAACTTGTGTAAAGTGAAGAGGGGATGTTGCTCATATTTTACTGTTTTCATAGGTGTCCTTACTCAGAAGTGTTGGAATCTGCTTTTTAATGTTTATGTATGAGTTGCTTTTTAGGGACGCGGGTGGCGCTGTGGGTAAAACCTCAGCGCCTAGGACTTGCCGATCACATGGTCGGCGGTTCGAATCCCCACGGCGGGGTGCGCTCCCGTCGTTCGGTCCCAGCTCCTGCCAACCTAGCAGTTCGAAAGCACCCCCGGGTGCAAGTAGATAAATAGGGACTGCTTACCAGCGGGAAGGTAAACGGTGTTCCGTGTGCTGCGCTGGCTCGCCAGATGCAGCTTGTCACGCTGGCCATGTGACCTGGAAGTGTCTGCAGACAGCGCTGGCTCCTGGCCTATAGAGTGAGATGAGCGCACAACCCTAGAGTCTGTCAAGACTGGACCGTACGGGCAGGGGTACCTTTACCTTTATGAGTTGCTTTAATCGGTGGATTGTTGTCGTGATACATTTAGGTTAGATCTCAGCTTGCAATTTATATCTAAGATCCTTTCCTGATACCTCCTGGTATCAAGGATATATTTACTTTTTTCATAGAGTCTGTGGATTATTTTGGACTACAACTCCTATCAGCCCCAGCTAGGACAGTTGTGCTTTTGGGAGCTGATGAGAGTTGTAGTCCAAAACATATGGAGGGCTTTAATTTAGAGAAGCGTGCTTTGGTGTATCTATACTCGTGTTCACAGCAATGCTTTGAGAACATCCTGCTGCAGTAGTGAGAAATAATAACAAAGTATTGTCTGTTAATAAAATGGATACAACTGGAATGGATGTTTTCTGTAGTTCTAGCCTGTTCCTTTTCTCAATAATTCTGAAGCTCGTTTGCTGAGGGTGTGAAGCGGGTGTTTCATTTTTGTAGACATCAAAAGATCACTTGGTTCCTGTAAATGACCCTTTTGTCAGAGATGTCCTAGGGCTCTGTTACAGATTTAGAAAGCAAAGATAGCAGGAAGTAATTAGTGAAAAAAGTTGTTAAAAGATTTTAAAATAGCTCTTTCTCTCCTCGGGGAATTTTCTCTTTCAGAGACAAGATGATACTTCTGACTTTTCTTTTTAATGTGCTTCTAGCCCTTCCTAGTGTGTTGCAGTGCAGAGGAGGGTTTGAAGGAATCTCAGCTGTAGTGTCCCCTCCTGATGGTGACATTCTGGGGATTAGTTTGGCATCTCTTCCAGATGCTTTGTGGGATAGTAGAAATAAGCTGACACTTGGGATTACCAGACTCTGACCTCTGATTGAAATGTGTGTTGTGTGTGTGTTCCTTAAATCAACAATTTTTTCAACCTGTGTTCAAGGAACCTTGAGGGTCCTCAGACATTTATTAGGTTCTTCTGTAATCACTAATTGCAGACAAGCTTCCCTGAATGACAGCTTGCCCTCCTGCTACTGATATTTTCTGAAATGCACAGCTATAGGGAAGGGTTGGGTGTGGTTTACAGTGTACACTTTGGTCTCATTGTTGCCCTGCATGAACTAATAGGCTTGGGCAAAGACTTATGTGAACTGCCCCCTTGTAATAGTCTTGTAAATAAGCCCCCACGAGTTAATAGCATGCAAAAAAGAGAAGAAAAGAAGAAGAATCACTTGTCTATTGGGGGCTGGCAGAGGAGGGACTACGAGCTGCATTTCTGTACTGGGTGTGGAAGAGGGGACTTTCCTCCAGCAGCCAGTTTGGTTTCTGTGCTGGTTCCTCTGCCATCCTGTTCACCTGTCTGCATAGAATTTAATGCACTTGCCTGTGTGCAGTTCCTGGTTGTCTATGGTTATGAGGCTAGTGCTTAAATACAAGGGTGCCCTAGGCTGCTATAGAATACACAACGGTTCTGTGGCAGGACACAGGGGTTTCTGGGCAGGCAAGTCATTGAGGAAAAAGTTTGAAACCAACTGACATCAACCCCAGCCATGGATTTTGAAATCAAATTGTACCATGTAGTTCTATAGTCGATGACTGAATTAAATTTATTGTACTTCTCACCCATGTTAGGTGACTTGCTAAACTTGTATCTGGGTTATACTGCTTCAGGCTACAGATGACAGCTCATTTGATAGAATAGTCATTCCAACAAAAAAGAAAAAGAAACTGAATCCCTACACCTACAAAGCAAGCTTGGTTGGAATAAGCAGTTCTGTCTTAGCCTTCTTTCTGATATATCACTTTTCTCTGTGGGGATATTTGTTTGTTTGTTTGTTTGTTTGTTTGTAACATTCCATCATGTGAGCACCCCCACCCCAACCCAAGCAGTATGAAATTGAGCAATCCAGACACAAGTTTACCACCTCCTCTACTGTTCTTACTACTATGTTTTAAATCAATCACATCAACTGTCCTCACAATCCCTGGTCATTTGCATGGTTATGGTCTTGATATATTAGTATTTTTGGTGCTTGATATATTAGTATTTTTTGTATTTTCAGACAATTATTGTTTCCCAAAGCAGCTCCTATCAACAGTCAGTGACAGGCCCTTCTTATAGGGCTTACAAGCTAAAAAGAAGAAGAAACACAAGGGAAGAGGAGGGAGTGGAAAAGGCAGAGGAGGGAGATCATTCCACCCGCATGTCTATCTTGTGGCACAGAAATTAATTTACCTTCTTTTGATTAAACTCTTGATTTCTAGTGACAGAAGCTTCTTTTTCAGCAGCTGAGAAGTTTGATTTTGCTTCTGAACAACAAAGCTTATTGAAATGGAGTACAAATAAATTACAAGGAAGACAACTTATGCTTTTTGTTAGACAACGCTTGAATGAGTCCAAAATATTTAGCATACCTTAATCTGCGTTAAGTTGTATATTAAAATCACTGTTTTGTTTCCACAGGGTGGCATTTTGCAGTGTTTCCAAGTTGTGATAACCAAGGCGAGGCGAATAGTCCAGGGAGCTTTTCTCCATCTTAACAGAGCCAGGTAAACTGAACAAGCAGCCTGAACCCAATATTTTGTTTTGAGCTCCAGTATGCATGATGAAAGTAGTGTAGAATCTATGTGACATCCTCTTGTGAAATGTCGCACCTGTCCGTACCCTCAAGGCCTGCTACCAACATTCTTGAGATACTTAGGCTGAGAATATTTTGTTCATAGAAATGGGGCTCTTAAGTCCTGAAATGATCAAAATATGTGGTGGTTCCATTCATAAGTTCATGGTATTATTATTTCATGCTGGGGGTGGGGGAAGAACTGAGGAAAGAGTTTAGGCAGTAAACCTTGCAGGGGAAACAGCCAGGGGCTGCCCTTGAGCCTTCAAATTATACAGCAAGCATAACTTGATTCCAATTTATTGTATATTGGAAGATGCCATGGGCAGCCTGCCTTCACCCATGTAGCTTTGATATGTCTTAAAGCCAACATGGTAGCATTTGTACAGGTTTCATGTTGTCTTTGTGAACAATTTCAGTGGGCTACTTAAAACCACTTAGCTCTACATATCCCAAATAACCATAATCACCCCTGTGTCCCACGTTGGTGTCTAAAATAGATGAGTAACACCTTTTTAAGTTCATGCACCAGTTAGGACTGTAGGAGCCTATAGAAGAGTGACTGCCCCTTGACTGCAGAATTTCTTCCCTCTGAGGACTCGGCAAAGAGAGTCTTCTAGAGCATCATCAGAAAGTGAGGTAAAATGTATACTGTGAGCAGAACAGAACACCATCTCTTGATAGTGGCCTGGTTCTCACATCACACTAAGCCAAACCATGCAGGCTCCCAGAGAGGAAACTGTGGCCACTTAGCTCTTCCCCAATTGTTTTGCTCCTGTTGTATACTGAGCTAAGCCATGGTTTGGCATATGTTTTCAATTGGAACCTGACTATTTAGCTGCCGAGTCCAGAGGAGGAGGAGGATTAGCATGATTAGCTTCCCTGCACGTGATCTTTTTGCCTATCTTTGGCTGTTTTGCTGGATGGTAGCAATCAAGCCTTGCTTCAATGCCCCTATAGCAGTAAAGGTTTGTCTTTTATCTAAACCAGGGGTTGTCAACCTGGTCCCTACTGCCCACTAGTGGGTGTTTCAGGATTCTGGGTGGGTGGTAGGGGGTTCTACGGCACAAGCTGAATCCTCCTTACATTGAGCACTGGTGGGCGGTAAGGAAATTTTACCATCAAGAAAGATGCATTAGCGGGTGGTAGGTATAAAAAGGTTGACTACCCCTGATCTAAACTGTAGTGACTTTAACATTCAGGAACTTGTAATTCTGTTGTCAAGTTTCCCTCTGATTCATTCATTCATTTTTCTAGTATATTTTGAGGCACAAGGTTTATACTATCATCCTTATTGGATTGCCGTGGTGGCAGTTCAGAGATAAATGCCGCAGCCTGAACTGAATAATCATAACTGTATAATATATTTTTTTCTGTTTCCTTTTCCTTTTCCCACTTCTAGTCTACTCTTATTTTAATTCCTTCAACCTTAGGAATGAAGTGAAAGGAAGGGTACTGTTCACCTTAATGCAGGGGTGGGAAACTGCAGCCTCCAGATGTTACTGTATGCAGCTCTAGGCAGCATAGTCAAAGGTCAAGGATTACATGGGTTGTAGTCCAGCAACACCTGGAGGGCCACAAATACTTCACCCCTGGCTCAAGGTTACCTTCTGAATTGTGCAAAATTTGTCTGAGGGATGGGGCTGGTGTTTCTTGATCCTGGTAAGTGGTGCCACCTGCTGGAAAATGAAGCGCAAAATGCTCATTTTTTCCTTTTAAAAAGCTATTTATGTGTTTCACCTGTTGGTGGAAAGAAGCACCTTCCTTTTAATTTCCAGAGTGACTGGCTTATTCCATAACTCCGCCTATAGTCTGTTGGGATATATCGTGGCTTTAGAACACATTATACTAACATTCCTTCACCTGGCCCTTCCCACCATAGGTTTGCTGACAAGCTAAATTAAGAGGCATTGCAGGACCCTTAAAAAGTTATTGGGCTTTGGCAGGTCGCCAGTTTAGAGTTCCACATTTGTGGAGCAACCACCCAAATTCATGGGCCATTGTTGGGCAAAGTGAGATCTTCTGTCATATAGTCAACAGACTGGTTCCTGAGGTCACATGAGAAACGGTGTGTTGGCCTCAAAGGAGTTAAGATTATAATACGTGATGGTGCCAGGAAGGTGCAGTGACATGTGCCATCTTGCTATAACTTGCTCCATCTCTGAGGAGAAATGCTTCCTTCAAGATCTGGCTAATTTTGAAGCCTTTGGAGAACTTCCCATGCTTATCTGTTGATAGGTCTAGAGTCACAGTAGATGAATTTGTTAGAGCCTGCTCCCTAATATCCTGATCTTGCTTTTAATGGGCATTTATTGCCCTTTGAAAGGACAGCTGGGTCCTCTTGAAAGATTATGACTTATTTCAGATAAAATTGAATTGCCTAAGAGCAGCAACATACACTGCAGTTGCCAAACAGGAAACTAGTGAGATTTTGGTTAAACTGTTTGTGCGCAGATTGCCAGAACATAGTATCACTTTTTATTTTGTTTAAACAAATGATATAGAAATTACAATGCACCCAATCAAATATGGATACTACATTTCATTCTCCTTGTATGGTTTCTTGTAGGTGGAGCCCTGCATGCTTTTCCCTAAGCGCAGATTGCATCTTTGATTTCTCCTTCCTTGGCTGTTTTTGATTAAACGTTCTCATAGCCTGAGATTACTAGGCAAGCAGGTAATGTTAGCTCTTGGTCTATTCTAAACTTCTTTTTCTTCTTATAAACTACGATCCATTCTGTGCAGTTGGGAGGAATTGAAAGGCTGCATGGATAAACTGTCATCTGTGTGTGGTATCTTAATATAGCTAAGAGACATTCATATTGGTGATTAAGCTAGCAATCAGGCTGAATGTTGCTGCTAATTCATTGTAAAAGTTTATTTGTGAATATATTTATATTCTGCTGTCTCATAAAGATATATCCCAGCAGCTTACAACAATATAAAAACATAAAACCAAATACAGTAGTACCTTGGGTAACGTTACCTTCGGGTAACATTACCTTCAGGTAACATAATTTCGAGTTATGAACACGGCAAACCTGGAAGTGTATACTTCCACAGAAGCAACACCTTTGGATACGGACTTCTTGGGGTAAGTATGGACCCCCAGGACAAATTAACTTTGTATCCAGAGGGTCCATTGTAATAAAAAGTTAAAAATAAGTTAAAAGCAAAAAAGAAATAAAAAACAAACCTCAATGAACCATTGTGGGGGATGTACTCTTAATTTTCTGCATAGGCCTGCAAAAGTTTTCAGCAGGTGTTTAAAAGTTTGCACAGAAGGTGCTCACTGAATCTCTATTAGCAGAGTGTTTCACAGGACTGGGCCGATGATACTAAAGGCTTGATTTCTTGTTGTCAAATGAGCCTGTTTGCCTCATGCTTCCCAAGGAAGAGTGACTTACCGGAAGAATAAGAAATCAAGATAACAAACTTTTTATAAAAGAATGGAAATGGTTTATTGAATATTTACAAATAAATTGCAATCAGATAAAAACATTGGCAGGATTATTGTAATAACCTGCAGTTTCATAAGAGTATATATTTAAAGTAGATAATTAAATGATCAAATTAAATGAATTTGGATATGCAGAAGATATTAAAAAATAAATTTAAAGAACCGCAGAAAGAGGGGGAAGGAAGTCAAACTTTGAAATGTTAGAATGATTGTAAAATTAGTGAAATGTATAAATTTGAAACGTATAAATAAAAACTTTTTTTTAAAAGAGTGAGTTCAATACCTGGTCACTTGCTTCTGTGTCAAATGCTGTTGGTGTGCCCACAGGACTGTAGCATTGTAACATGTTCTCCTGACAGCGTTTTGTTCAAGGCAGCTGTAAACCATTTATTTTCCTGTGGAAAATGAACTTGTCAGTCTTTACTATATTGTGGCCCCAGCTGAGCACTCCCAGGAGATCCAGCATGATCTACAGTTTCCATTCTTGCTGATCATTGGCTATGTGGGCAAGGGCTGATGGAAACTGAAGCCTCACAGTATCTTGAGGGACACAGGCTCCACATCCCGGGTTTAGGAAAGAACTGCTGCTAACTAGGCAGCTCCTATGGATAGGGTATTGCTGGTTTTAACTGTTAATACTTAGCCTTTTCCTTGCCTATTATTCTTAACATAGTAAACCATTCTTGTATCTTTTTTGTTGGTGATTAATATTTAGAAGTCTCAGGAACTGGGAAGAGGGGAATGAACCGTGAGGGTGTCCCCGGGAAGAGTCCGGAGGAGATGTATATTCAGCAGAAAGTCAGAGTCCTGCTAATGCTTAGGAAGATGGGATCAAATGTAAGTATTGTAGGCAGCCTTGTAGACCCTCACAGAAGCTACTAGTTCAGCATAATTTGTACTAGCCTCTAGAACACCATGCCCATGTTAGTTGTTTGTGGCACTCTAGGGGTTTAAAGAGAGACAGCCATTTTCCAGTTTGCAAAACTTTTCTTGCTTGTTCACCTCAAATTGATTCTTTCTTGTACAGGGCAACTTAGAGGGGTAGCTAGTTACAATCATGGACTTTTGTGACTAAGAGCCTCCCTACATTCTTCTATAGCTTTCCTTAGGGACGCGGGTGGCGCTATGGTCTAAACCACTGAGCCACTTGGACTTGCCGATCAGAAGATTGGTGGTTCAAATCGCCATGATGGGGTGAACTCCTGTTGCTCTATCCCAGCTCCTGCCAACCTAGCAGTTTGAAAGCACACCAGTGCAAGCAGATAAATACTATAGGTACCGCTGTGGTGGAAGGTAAATGGCATTTCCATGCACTCTGGTTTCCGTCACGGTGTTCCATTGCACCAGAAGTGGTTTAGTCATGCTGGCCACCTGGCCTGTAAAGCTGTCTGTGGACAAACGCCGGCTCCCTCAGCCTGAAAGCGAGAAAGGGAAAGAACCCCATAGTCGCGTTTGACTGGACTTAATCATCCGGGGTCCTTTCCCTTTTTTACCTATAGCTTTCCTTAAAGGTTCCAGTTTCTCTTGAGCAGATAACTTTGAATGTGGCACAGGATAATATTACTTCTGCTTGATTTTACATCTTAAAAAGAATACAGTAATACTAAATTTTTGCCCCCAAACCTTTATCCCATAAGAACAAAAGATAAGCCTTGCAACTGGATCAGACTGAAGGACCATCTAGTCCAGCATCCTGTTCTCACAGTGGCCAACCAGGTGCCTAAAGGCAGTCCACAAGGACAAAATGAGGGCATTTTCATTCTCTCACTTGTGATCCCAAGATAATAGCTATGATGACTAATAGCCTAAATGCTAGTAATTATTTTGCAGATACTACATCTAGGTTTCTGCAATTTTTCTACCTACTCCTTTTTGAAAATTAAAATTGTAAAATGTAAAATGAATGTATGATTTTAATAGAGGAATACATAAATAATATTTTGTAGCACCTGGATTTTCTTCTTTTCTCTCTCTGTCTCTCCTTTTTTAAATTATTGGGCAAAGTAATTTCATTTTATATTGCCATGTGTAGATGAATAAAACAGTAGCTATCTCCAAATTATTTTTGATTTCATGGGGATCATTTAGTGTGGTGTCCATTTAGTGTGGTTTCACAAAAAGGGGAAGTTGTTTTTATGGCCCCTTCTTGTGTGACTGGAAGCAGGTACAAGTGACAGTAAGGAAAACTGAACTGAACTGTGATGAATTGTACTCTGAATAGTAAATAAGCACAGACCCTACTGCTGAGTTTCTATTTGTGGATTTGCCTTTCTTTGTCCTTGTACAGTTAACCACCAGTGAAGAGGAGTTCTTGAGAACGTACGCAGGGGTAGTGAATAGCCAACTTAGCCAACTTCCTCAGCATTCAATTGATCAGGGTGAGTAGCAGGGGAAACGGAGACATGTAAGCTTTCCAAATATTTATTGGTATAAGTGGTCTTTGTGGAAATGCATTTAAATTTATTTTAAAGCTACAGAAAAGGTTTATTTATATTATTTTACTTAGGAAAAAAGTAAGTATCTGGATAGACTTGTTGAAATAAAACATTTTGTATCTAGCATCTAAAATAATACAGTGAGGATGCCTGTCTAATGCTCATAGGCAGGGAGTTCCAAAGCATAGATGCTACCATGTTGAAAGATCAAGACTCAGGAAGGGAAAAACTTTGTGCTCCCTGTGCTAAAATAAATCCAAAATCAGCAAGAAAGTTAACATAATTTTTTGCCAAGAAAGAAAGCTAAGTCTTGTGCCCCCATAAATTTGTCAAACATGATTCTATTTGATTGTATTACATTTGTCTGCTGTTGTTTTTGTGGGAAGGGGAAGGAGCAAAGATCTATGTAAGATGCAGAAGATGAAAATTCAGCTTTAATGATGGATGAAGTTCTTTTTAAATACCCTAGAGATGCTTGAGGAACAAAAAGCAGCATAAGCCACAAGGGCTTCAAATGCTCGATCCATCAGCAGGGGAGTTCACTGAAGGACAGTAGTAGGTTCCAGGATCCTGTATGATGGAACTTGGGTTTTGATCATTTTCTTGGCCGTGAGCTAAGCTGCATCTGTAGTCGCAGAAGGAATTATTAATTCTGACTCCACATCACCCCTCTTTGGTATTAGCAGCCCCCTGTTGACATTGTGACATTAATTGTTTTGGTTTCCAAAAGTGGGAGTAACCCTTGGAGTACTCTGATGCCTTCTGTTAGAAGGAGGGACGTTACAAATCATTTTGTTCTTGGAGCATTATTCCTCAAAAGCTCTTGAGGGTGGGGCTCAAGGATTCCCCATTAAGGCATTAAACCAAAATTAAGAGACCAATGTAGAAATGTATTAATTTTGATGCCAATGTGAGTCCTGTAGCTTGTGGAAATGTTAATGGATGCACAGCTGGTATGATATCTATGATCCCCCAAAGGTTGTACAGAACAAGCTGAAACATCCACTCAGTTGGCAAGTACAAAAAATATAACCTGGTTTGGTCATACATTGCCCAGCTTTTCAAGCCATAGTTTAGCAGCTGAATATGGACGTTGGGACACGCTTGCTACATCCCTTCCTTGGCATGCCAGTCTTGCTTAGGTCAAAGTTCCCTATTAAGTCCAAAACAGAATTGATGTCAGTTTACTAACTTTAAACTTTACTAAAGTTTACTAAATTTAACAGTTTGTACATGAACTAAGATCCCTGTTTGTGAACTAACATTAAACCACAGTTCTCCATTTTGTATGTTTATTAGTGATTGCAAACTGCTGTGGAAATTTTAAATTGAAATACAGACATGTTGAATAATTATTTTAATTTGTCATTCTAAAGTGTGATAGAATATTGAGAACTGGCTTATGTAGTGCAGCCCTCCAGATGTTGAACTCCAGCTCCTATCAGCCCCAGCCAGCATGGTCCATGGTCAGGGATGGTAATGCATCTGGAGGGCTGCAGAAGCTCTCCCACTGCTCTAAACCAAGAGCATCTTAAACCTGCAGAGCTTCACAGGAACTGCTCTTGAGAACTTCTGCTCTAGGGAGTCACTGCTTTTCTCATTCTTACTCTTTGGACAGGAGAAGAGGTAACCATGGAGGTAATTAAATAACATCAAGTATATTCCAGTGTCTTAATTAGCCAAACTGAAATTGGTTGTCTGAATGGAGATCTTCTCCACTAGATGGCAGTAGCTTCCTATAAAAACCAATTTCAGAACCTCTAAGATGCTTGAATTTAAAATATTCCCATTTCCCCTAGAAAATAGTGTCTATTTACCTCCTACCACCCTACCCCTATATCTTGCATCTAGGTGTCAAAGGAAATTTTAAAATCTGATTTGCAAAGCCTTTGATGTGCATCAAAGATTCATCTAAATCCCCTTTGGGGCTGGGTATTAATTTAATGGTTCCTCAGATCCTGACCGTGGAGTTCCACATTCTCCTGAATCCAGCCACATTTCTAAATTTGCAAACACAAACTTTCATAGCTTGATTATACATGAAGGTTTTGCTTTTTTCCATTTAATAGAAATTCTGCCTTTTGCATATTCTGCTCTCATCTGGACCAACTCCCTGCCTCTGCAATGGCAAACACTGTGGCAGTTGCTCAGCTATGCCTTTGTTGACATAGCTAGAAAGCAGGGAGGTGTATGCTGAAGACTGGTTCAATTTCTAGTCCCTAGGCTGGAGCAGCCAACCTAGTGCCCCCCCCCGGGTGTTGTTAGACTACAACCTCCATAATCTCTGACCATTGGCCATGCTGAGCTGATGAGAGTTGTAGTCCAGCACCACCTGGAGGGCACCACTTTGGCTACCTCAACCCTAGAAAATGGTAACTGGTTGCTGAGTGGCAAATCTTGTTTTCAGGTAGGGTTACTTTGTCACTTCACCCAAAGACATTGGTCTCTTATGTGCAGAATAGCCACGTTAGATGATCTAACGTCGGTTATGCTATTCAGTCTTCATTCTTTAACAGATGGGGTGCGCTCCCATTTCAGTGTGATTTAGACATTTGCCAAGTATGTTGGCAGAAAGGATTTGGAGATGCTTTAAGTTCTGTGGAGGAGTTCAGAGTGGGAATAAGCTGCATGGCTGTCATAGAAACATGGGTGAAAGCTGGAAAGCTCTAGAATTCCCTACCTTGCAATCTGGAAGTGCCACATTGAAAGTGATGTTAAGAATTCACTGGAAGGTAATTAGCACAGTACTTCTCAAAACGCAAGCTGTTCCTCTTGGAGTCTTTGACACCAAGGGATATTTTGAAACCGAACTCCCAAGGTTTGTTCTTCGGCAGGGGCTCAGAGGTATGAAAGATCTGAAGAATGGAGGCCTTAATCTGTAAGTACATGCCTCAGGGAATGTTGGCCGCCTTCTTTCTCAGTCATCTGTTTTGATCTATTCTGCATTAGTTCCCCGCCTATTAAAGAAGGAGCAAAAGCAGCAGCTCTTGAGGGTTTGTGCTAAGCTGCTACTTGTCAGATAAACTGAAAGGCGTTACACTCTTGAAACGCTCTGTGCAAATACAGTTGGATGCATCTGGGGTTTTTTGCTTTTTAAAATGAAGAGGTTGCAATTAGGTTGTACTGTTGGTTATTTGCATAATGAGACTGGAAAGCAGAATCTGTGTGGTCGTTAAAGTGGGAGTATCAACCTTGGTGACTCTGCTGCCCTGCCTTGTTGGTTCTTGGAGAGAGCCAGTTCCCTTGGGGAGCACAGAGCTGAGATGCAAATATACTCTGTGCAGATAGGCTGATGGACTAGGCTAGGGGAGCCACTCAGCCTGCACTGTGAATTTTGTGCAATATTCTTCAACCCCAAGTCCTCACTTGGTGTTGGACTGTGACTCCCCATCATCCCCAGCCAGCTTAGCCAGTGATCAGGCATGATGGGAGATGTAATCCTACAGCAATGGTGGACCCAAGGTTGTAGAGTACTGTTTTAGGGGAAGAAAGTTGCCTGAGGTTTGAAAGTAGACGGGGATCAGATAAGATTTGGATTCAGGGTTGTAATACTTGGTTTTGCTGGGATGCCTTTCATTGTTTTGTGTGTTCCTTCCTGCTAGCACACAGTTAGGATCTTCTTTTTTTGCACATGAACAAAGGAAAAGGATACTTTGAAGGCTATGGAGGAAGGCTTTGCTTTTAGCAACATGCTGTCAGGCCTATGCAGTTGTTTGACATTTTCTTGAGTAACCAGTCATGTTAATGATTGTTCTGCACTCTCTTTAATGGTGTGTCTGTTTATGTTGCTGAACGTTGTCCAGATACGTTATGAGAGGGCAGGGTATGAATACTTTTATAAAAATAAACATACGTTTTGTGTTTTCACCACTCATTCCCAAAATGTTGTAGATACATGCCAGAGAAACAAAGATGCTTTGAAGCTGTTACAGTGGTACCTCAGGTTAAGTACTTAATTCGTTCCGGAGGTCCATACTTAACCTAAAACTGTTCTTAACCTGAAGCACCACTTTAGCTAATGGGGCCTCCTGCTGCTGCCGCGCCGCCGGAGCCTGATTTCTGTTCTCATCCCGAAGCAAAGTTCTTAACCTGAAGCACTATTTCTGGGTTAGCGGAGTCTGTAACCTGAAGCGTATGTAACCTAAGGTATCACTGTACCGAAAATGTTCCCAGCAGCTGCCTACAGAATTGCAACACCTCTGGTTAGAGAGCCGGTATGGGGTAGTACACTACATCAATCTGTGGCCCTCCAAATGTTGTGGTACTCCAACTCCCATCAGCCCTAGCCAGTGCAGCCAGAGATCAGGGATGATGGGAACTGTAGTCCAACAACATTTGAAGGGCAACAGTAAAGTGTTGGACCAGGGAAATGCTTGGTCTAATTTTTGTTCTTCCATGAGACCTACTGAGTGACTAGGAGACGTTTGCTCTCTTCTAATCGCAGGGTGGCTTTGAGATGGGAGAGTCCTGATCTCCTTGGAGGAAAATAAATAAATAAAGGGTCGTTTTCAAAAGGCAGATTTGTAGCCTTGGTTCTAAAGCGGTAGAGATAAATTTACCATATTTTTCGCTCTATAACACGCTCCCAACCATAACACGCACATAGTTTTTAGAGGAGGAAAACAAGAAAAAAAATATTCTAAACGAAACAGTGGATGTATGATTTTTGTGGTTCATGCTGTGGCCACAGACATGTGATCTGACGGTGAGTTTGGGGTAACCCAATGCAAAAATCCTGAGGATCTATGTGGATCCGTGCTTTGTAACCACGTTTTTGCACCACTGTGGCCCCAGGCAACAGTGGGTGCGTGATTTTTTTTGGTGCAAGCTGTAGCCATGGACATGCTATGTGATCTGATGGTGAATTTGGGGTGACCCAGTGCAAAAATCCTGAGGATCCATGTGGATCCGTGCTTTGTAACCACGTGAATGAAGGAACTGTCAGTAATGTATGGTATCTCCAATACAGTGATGAAGGAAGAGGAGGGGGGGAGCTCACACTTGTTCTAGGCAAAGCAGCCAACTCCTATAGGCCTAGGTGCCTTCACCCCCCCCATTAAATATTTGAGGGAGTCATCCTCCCCCCATGCTTTGTCTTGAGATCATTGCAGTCTGTGAGATGGGGCTTACCTGTACCTGCCCCCCCCAATATTTTATTGAAGTTGGAACAGGGAGGGAGGGAGGGAAGAGAGATGGAGAGCTCACATTTGTCCTAGGCAAAGCAGCCAACTCCTATGGGCCTAGGTGCCTTCACCCCCCCATTAAATATTTGAGGGAGTCATCCCCCACCCCCCCATTGTGGTATGTGAGTGGGGATTACCTGGGTGTCCTCCCAATATTGTTTGAAGTTGGAAGAGGGAGGGAGGGAGGGAAGGAAGAGAGAGGGGGAACTCACATTTGTGCAGCTGCCTTGCCTCAAACCGGAGCAAAAAGAGGAGGAGGAGACTCAGGGACACGAGCCTTGTAAGCCGCTTTGTTTGAATTTACCGGTGAGGTGCTGGGGGAGGGACGGAAGGGGATGCCCTCTTTGTCCCTCCTTCCAGCTCATTGTAAAGAAAGCAGAGTAAGAGCCGCTTACATTTGTGTAAGGGAGAGCCATAGAGCAGGCAGACAGGAGAAAGAGAGGCTGTCTCCCTTTCCCCACCTTGGCTTTTACACACTGCGTGCAGCTCTTGCCGGCTTCCGAGCTGCCTCCCTTCTCCCACCTCGCCAAAAAGCCATAGAGCAGGCAGACAGGAGGAAGAGAGGCTGTCTCCCAACACTCAGCTGTTGCTCAGCTGTTGCCGGCTTCTCAGCAAGCCAAGCGGAGGAAGAGAGGCTGCCGAACAGCCAGCAAGAGCGGCTCCTCCTGCCTGCATTCGCTCCAAAGCGCGCAGACACATTTTCCTTTACCTTTTAGGGGGGGAAAACTGAGTGTTATGGTGCGAAAGGTACGGTAATAAGGGAGTTTCAACCACATAAATCATGCTATAGAATACACCCTAATTCCTAACGTCAGATCATCTTTACAGGAAGCCAGACCGCATTATAAAATTGCTCCCCTCCCACCTATTATTGTGATTCCATTATTTGTCACATCTGCCTTTTTCTAGCCCAGACACAGTTGGTGTGAGTCACTCAACATAGCTTTTGGGCATAATTTTGGAGTCTAATCTGCCATGGAATTGAGCAGCTCAAAGAGACCTGTGTAAACTGGGACTTGCTAAGATGAATCATCTAATGGGAATCTTCACAACTGGCTTCCTACTTGGTTTTGTCTGTTCACAAAGTCTGTGTTCATGCTGAACAACAGACATTTCCACTAGTGAATGCAGCATCTAGTGAGCGCCTGCAGCTTTCTCTGCTGTTCATCGTTATTAACCAGTTTCCAAACCTTCAGGGCTATTCAATTTCTTTTTAAAAAGAGATAAATGGCAAGAAAATATGAAAATATTTCCAGAGTGGAAGCTGTGTCACCCCAGTATGGTTCCCCTTTATCATATACATACCCCAACAATACAACAAGAATCCACCAACAGCATACAAATCAATATGGCTAGCCTGATCCAAAAATCCACCCCCTCACACACTCACACTCACACACATAAACAAATCTCACTACAGCCAACCACACCCTAGGCCACCCCCAACCTCTCTCATCACCAAGGAAATATAACAAGCGAATAGTTAGAGAACTCATCCAAGTGACGCTGACACAAAACCCCACACATAGAAGGATAGAAGCATTACCACCCCACCCCACTCACCATACCCCTCTCCCCCCTTTTCTTTCCAACCTAATACTGCATGCAACACTTATGTCTCACAACAAATGAAACTGATCCGTAGAAAACACAACTTGAAAAAGAGACGATGCACGTATTTTTTAAACTAATAAATCTTTAATAATAAAAAACAAAAAAAGAAGGAAAAGACTTCTGCACTGAGACAGAATCCCCCTTTTCCTGCCAAGCAGCTAATTATTTGAATAATAATGATAATGATAATATTTTTTTATTTGTATCCCACCCTTTGGACTGGGTTGTCACCCTAGGAGGGCATGCCTCTTGGAGGTAGTTTGGAAAGCATCGTTTGGGCGTGCAGCTGCAGAATTAAACAGGTTTAAGGTTTGCTATTTTGTTTTTTTGTGCGCCACTTGAACTCGGTTCTTAACCTTGAATAGTAGAAAGATGTTTGCATATCATTTGAACATACTGGTAGCACTACCATCATGCACCACAAAGTAAGGAAAATATAAGAAACTGGTCCCTAGAAGCATGTTTGAGCTGAAGGTGGTTCCTGGGTTTGAAAAAGTTGAAGACAATATGAGAGTAGATACCAGAGACCTTTGTAAGCGGGCAGGTTGAATAGCAATTGGCCAATGAGCTTGTGTGCAGAATTTTTTTCTAGTTCCTTTTCATGCTACTGGAAGTGTCAGCAATAATGTTCATATAGATTCAGCTCTGATTCCCAGGCATTTGGCAAATATTCTGCTTGTTTTCCAGGCTGTGATGTGTTTTCCTTTCCAAAACCATATTCATTGTAAAGGTTACCTGTCTGAGCTATCGACCTGTGCCCTTACTTTCTTATGTTTGTTTACCTCCTAGCCATGGCAAAGTTCCTCTGTTTCTCTTTTGGCACCATTTATTAATAATAATTGTTGTGGCCTGCAAGCAGTTTGCTACTCTTGCTGATCAAGTGGTGAATTTATCACACTAGTTTCCTTTGCCTTTTGGGGAGCAACCATATTCCCTTTGGAAATAAAATACGCGAAAAGCAGATGAATGCACCATAGCTAGAAGGTGGCGAAAAGCAGATGAATGCACCATAGCTAGAAGGTGGCGAAAAGCAGATGAATGCACCATAGCTAGAAGGTGCCATTGTATTGCTGGAGAACCAGACAGGGTCTGTAATGAAACCTGAGGCCACTATAAAAATCAAAGTTTGGTTTGGCAGGAGGGAGAGAGGAAGTAAATTCTGCTCGGAACTGTAACTGCAGACACAGCTTCAGGTCCTGCTGCCTGGGAAATAATATTCATGGTTCACCAGTTCAGATTCACAGCAATTGTCCTGTGGCAACAGGCTCTTCCACTGCCTTGTGCAAGCTATTTTTCATGTTAAGAATTATGCTGGACTACACAATGGCTTTAAATATTTTTTCCTGTATAGACTTAGGGCAGCTTAATGCAAGATAAAGAGTTAAAATATCTGTGCATGCACACACATGAATGTAGAACAGCCTGGTTAAGCACAAGTCCAGGTGATTTTGCCAAGAACAACTTTGCAAATAGGTCTGTAAAAAAATAAATAGTAGCCCACCTGCTCCCATGTATCATTGGCAGTCATTTGTGCCCTAAAAGTAAACAACTGTTCCACCTGATCACCTGGAAGCAATTTCTTAGTCTCCACAGGCAGTTGCCTATTTATAAGCTTGGCTAGGGGTGAGTTGATACTCTCATCAGTGAAGGAGCCAGCTATCTTAGGCTCTGCGCCAACAGCTTTGTTTGAACAAGCTGCAACTGAAGCCTTCACTTCAGCTTGGGAGTGATCTTAGGTTCACTCCCCCTGTGAGTTGTTGGTGTAGTAACTGGTGTAGATTCCTCAACTGCTATATGAAATGTTGGACTGAATTCTCAATCTCCAGCAATCTCCAGTCAGCATTTATTTCTACAGACTGGTTATTTTCAGCATTGTCATTTGCTGCTTATCTGGGACAAATAGCAACAGTGCCCCACCACCTCCATTCTGATCTTAGGCTTTGCTTCTTTACTTCTTCAAGAATATACCAGACCTCACAAGCATCATCTGAAACCCTTCTTGTGTGTCCTATTTGAGAGAGGCTTAGAGGGTGCCAGTAAAGGAGAGGACCTTTTCTGTTGTGACACCACCACCAGTAGTGAAATGCTCTCACAAGTGAAACATAAACTTTCCTGGCACTGACACTGACATAGTTTATGTGCCAGGTAAAGATTTTCCTTTCCACTTAGGTGTTTGATGGAATTCACAAAGTTTTTAAATTTGGTTGTAAGTCACCTGAGTCTGCTCCATGTCCAGCGACTCACACATGAAACAAACAAACATATAATCAGCCACACAAGCTGCTTACTAAGCACAGGTTTTCAATTAATAGGCAACCTCATCTCAAATTGCCACTTCTGGCCCAAAAAAGGTTAGCAAATCTGGTCCACTTTCAGAAAATGGGATGAGGCAATAAACTTGTTTCTGAACTGCGTTGCTTCACACTGCCTTTTGTGACTCCCATTAAGGGACCATCTTCTATGTTGGAAAATTTCTCTTCTCACAGAAAACTGGCATGTTGAGTTGAAGACTAAACTAGAAACTTTCTCCCTTACATATTTCTCACTGTATGGCAGAGCTGCCCACCTGCAGCCCAGTGGAACAGTTTAGGTTGAATCTACTGCTTAAACCTCATTTGCACAGTTTGTCTCCCGAAAAGAAATTCTTGTAGCTCAGTGAATTAGGTTTAACTGGGTATTGACTACTTACAAAACTCGATTACCTTTACTATCTTTTTCTAAAAGGTTTGCTTTCAATATCTAGGATAGACCAGTTGAAGTTACTGGGCCTCAAAGGGTTATATAAATAGGTCTACCCTGAGTAGGACCAAGACAGACTACAACCTTTAATTATTTCATCTTCACCTAAGATTTTATTCCAGATGATTTGGGTTCTGCAGTGAATGATGGTACTTAAGAAATTAAATAGATGCCATTCATTTCTGCATCTTCCTCTAGCTTCTTTGTGTAATTTGGCTATATATAATCTAACTGTAGAAATCTTCCGGTCTTCGGTGCAGCTGGAGATTTCTTGGGGTGTTGCTTTGTAAACTCTTCTGCTCTGGCCACTGTAATCTGTAATAGGGCAAAGAAAAGAAAACTGATTTGGGCTGCTGAAATTGGCAGTGGGGCTTTTGGAAGGCTGGGAGGATTATCTTGAAATAAGTCTCCTGTGCTTACATAAGATCCACTAGAAATTTTCTTTCCTCTTCTTTTTTAAAAAATGGGGTTTTGGAAGAGAGTGGGGATTGGGATTGGGATGGGGGAGGAAGAAGCATCTGCTGTCTGTTAGATAACTCTGCTCATCTACTTTGTGGGCCATGATGTCATCTGTTATCTTGTTGTTGCTAGGAAACCCTGCTTCCATGGAATTTCCACACCAAAGGCACCTCTGGGTTTAAAAGTAATGCACATTAGAAGAAGAAGCCTGCCGCTTGGATCTCCTGCCTTGTTCTGCCTTGCTCTTTTTGGTTGATTTCCCCCCTTTCCCCAAAAGGATGAGATTCTAGTAGAACCTGCATAGCATCTCTCTCAGTCTTAGCTCTTCCTACGAAGGAGCTACTAGGGGCCTTTGATCTGATTCAGCAGGGCTGCTCTTATGAACCCAGCAGCATCATATTTCTAACAAGAACAGAGAATCCTCTGTCACCTTTGAGCCCCTTTGTGGACTGGAGCCAAAGCAATAAAATCAGACTGATCTACTCCCAATAAGCAGCTGTCTGTGATAAGTCAGCATAGCAAGAAAGATAGCTGAAAGTGGACAGCTCCACTTTGTTAGTATATATTTGGACTCTGCAGGAAAATGGAACCAATTTCTACTGCCCCTTGCCTTTCATGGACTTCTGATCTCATTGTTTCCAAATCTTTATGTATATCTATATGTGTGTGTGTGTGTGTGTGTGTGTGTCTGAGAGAGAGAGAGAGAGAGAGAGAGAGAGAGAGAGACAGATCGCCCACCATACAATTGGAGTAGCCTGCAACACTTGAAAGCTGGTGTCTCAGTAAATATCTGCTTTTAAGACAGATTCTGCAGCTACCTCTTTGGAATTCATCATATTAATAATTTTCTTTTCAAACACACCCAAATAGCAAACAGGTATGGATGTTTTTCCAATACTAGTGTTGTCTAGTCCATAAATTTTGACAAAGGATAGAATAGCAGCAGAGGATCGGTTATGACCCTCAAGGTAATGAATTGATGCAAGGTTCTGTAGACAGAGAGTGTAGTTCTTGTTGCATTTTCATACTTCCTAGCCTTCTAAGAAGTTCAGAATGGCTTACATTATTATCCTTGGGATTTGTGTAAGGAGGGCAAAGAAGTAAATGAATATAGAAGGTCTGCCACAATAGTTAAACCACAAACAGAAACTGGTCTTACTTTGAATCTTCAATTTTCGACTTTTTAGCATGCCTTTTTAACTTCAGTGGAGTTTGTTTTGTTTTGTTTTGTTTTGTTTGTTGTCTTTGTTGGATCTATCCACTGCAGTTTGACTAATGAGTGGGATTCACCTAATAAGCCCCTTGTGTTTGTGAATGGGGATTCCTCTCCTCCCACTCTGCACTCCCTCCCACTTCAAATTGGCGGGGGTGGGGGTGGGGATAACCCCAAGCAGTGAGAGGGAGGGAGATCATTGCATCCAGTAAACTGAAAAGCTTGTGCAGATGAAACATTTATAACTGTGCTACATTTAATTCCACCCAGTGACTTCCAGGAAAATAACTTGGGCTCCAAGCTCTCTAGTTTAATTTGGAACTAGGACACTGATCTTTCAGTGTAATTTTGTGTGTTTGAGATTTGTACCTCATCCTGTAAAAATGAGAATTTAATAGTCCTTCACATGATTGAGATGTTTTCACTAACAGGTGTTTTGCAGAATGCTTGAAAGATTACTTTACTGACTTTATTTTCTTAAAGCTCTTTTTAAAGACTTTGCACTTAATTTATCTCAACACACTAAGCTCCTTAGCTTACTAAAGCTTCAGTAATGTTTGTCCAGACAGTGGTTTCTTCTAGATCCTTATTCCTCCTCCACTTAAAAGATGGAGGCGAGAGAAAAATAAGATGCATACAAATTGCTATAACTCTTGCAAAATGGAACTTATATGATACAAGTTGCAAAGAAAATACAAAAGAATTCAGTTTTACATTTCATTCAAGCCAACATGGTTCTCAATCTGGATTATAGACTTTTAACTGCTCACTCCACAGTTATTTCCCTTCACAGAATCAATGAATATTGGTAACATCAAGATTACTGACCATGCTCCAGTAGAAGTGACCATAGGACTGAGCAATGACATCCAAATCCATTTAACCCTATTTTAGAGACTAATCAACTATCTAGATAAAGGATAGCAGAAACCCTACAATTCTATTTTAAGGAATACAACAATAACAGCACCAATTCTACCAGCCTTGGGGGAGGCTATGAAAGCAGTGACAAGAGGTATATGTCTCAAAGAAAGATCATATATTAAACCTCTACAACAATAACCAAACTAGAAATGGAAATTACTGATCTACTAACTAAATATAAAAGTTCTGGTTCAAAACATCTTCTCAGAGTAATTGAACAAAAGAGGCAAGATATAGACTAGAAATTAATAACACACTAGTCAACCTCTTATAAGTGAAACAACACTTTTATGAATATGGAAGTAAAAACTCTAGACTTTTGGCAAACAGATGTAAAAAGAAAAAATTGAGGTCTTTATCTTTTAAAAAGTTCCTCCAGGTGGCGCCCTTGCTCAAGTCTTTTAGAGAGACTGCTCATACATTAAGGTTGAAGTCACCCCCTAGTATGGCTTCTCCCTTTAGCAAGTTTATTGAATTTACATAATGCCAGACCCTCAAAGTGTCCCTATTTTCCAGGGATGTCCCTGATTCAGAGAAGCTGTGCCAGTTTCTTATTTGATCCTGGAATGTCCTACTTTTCCATAGGATTTCCCTATTTTCAATGGATGAATGTTGGAGGGTATGGTAGGATGTCCCTATTTTCATTGGAGAAATATTGGAGGGTATGGAGTTATCCAGCCTCCGAGCCGCCTGAAGGCAATCCTGTATAGGGAAGGTTTTTTTTTCAAATGTTTAATGTTTTATTATGTTTCTATATATGTTGGAAGCTGCTCAGAGTGCTGGGGCAACCCAATAAGATGTGTGGAGTATAAATAGTAAAATTATCACTATGCAATGGGACATCCCTATTTTCATTGGAGAAATGTTGGAGGGTATGTCATACCTTTTGAATAAAATGAAGTTGCTTCAGACTTGGTGCATACACAGATCCATTCATTGTCCCATTAATAAAAACATATCTACCATTATTGTATTTCAGAATTGGGTGAATTTTAAAGGTTATTCCTTTGCCAAAAATGACTGCTACCTCCTTGTCCTTTATTTGAACCTGGTGCTGTCACTTGGTGTTGAAACCAAGTGCCACTGAGGATTTTACTTTCCCTAGGGGATTTGTGAATCTGTGAGTTTCTTTTTTATAGGATCACTAATTCCCCTCGCATTTGTGTGGTGTTCAGGTTTTCCCTTTTGTGCTACTAACAGTTATTAAATTGTAATATATAATAAACATTATAAACACGGATCTCAGACTTCCAGTCAGAGGAACGCATTTTCGCAGATGATGTGTTCCGACACCACCACCTCCCAATCTTTTCCTGCTTTTCCCTGTGACCACTCATCATCGTCCCGCCACCAATCTCCAGGCTCTGAGCCTTCTTCTCTTGGTGGTTCCTCTGCTGGCTCCCACCATTCCTTTGCATCCAACCAGTCCATGACACTTAGCAGCCGTGCTTCCTTTCTAAATCCAAGAGTACTCTGTTCTGACCAAAATGAGCCTGTGGGTGGTGGGTCTGTGCTTTCTCTACTCATAACTAAAGCAACTTTGCAAGACATAAAATTGTTGTCATAACCATCTCCTTACTATTGATCTCTGCCCAGGGGCAATGCATTGCTTTGAACTAAGTTGCCAAGAGATAGTAACTTAAATTAATCTTCCATCAGCAAAAACTGCAAAGTGGCTTCCTTGAGTGTCTTTCAGGAGGAAGAAAAAACTTGAGTCTGTTGATGTGTTGCATTTGGAATTGCTCTCTCTGCTATCTAATCCTTTTAACCAAGAGGCTTCAAAGAAAGCCTTATTAAAGGAAATAATCCGTTCATGCAGGCCTAATTAGTTTGTGTGGGGCCAAGGGGGGAAAATGCTTTTGTGTTATCAGTTGCACTTGAATGGCAAAGATCATTTTTAAAACTAAAGATCAATTGAAGGCTTAGCTAAACATCCGCAGCCATGTGGGTGGGGACTCTTGGAAAGCATGCCGCTTCTTAATTTGATTCTGATCATTGCTGCTAGAGGATCTGCAGATGAAAGTACCAGCAGCTTCCTCTGTGTCAGTCTTGGGAGGCCAGAAGTTCTGAGGCAAATTAAACATGGCACAGACATTCCCCATAAGACCACCTTGCTGTCCAGAAGCCTGCTTTAAAGAGGGGCTCAAGGCTAACTAGATGGATCATCTTTCTCCTCCCACCCCATGTGTCCTAGAGCACCATTTCTCAGCCTGCTGGGCTAGGGATTACTAGTGGGCCTCAGTGCAGTTGCCTGTCCCCTAACCAATGTCAGCCGCTCCCTTCACACATGGTATACATGCATGCATGGGAGCAGGAGATAGAGAGTGAGGCTGTATCATACCGAGTTAGAAGGGAAAGAAGGAGAGGACAGGGTAATAGAAGAGAGGGGATGGGGAGGGAGGGAGGGAAGGAAGGAAGGAAGGGTTGGTGGGTGGGCAGACCAAGAGAGAGGGAAAGGAGAAGCCAGGAAGCCGCTCCTCCATTCTGTAAAGGAAAGAACTGGTTGTGGCATTGAATTGAATTAGAAAGAGAGAGATCAATCTTTTAATAATAATAAGCAATAACTATAGTATAATATAAAAACTGGGAATCAAGAGGAATAGAATAATAAGAGGGAAACTATTAGAGGAGGAAATGAATGTAAGAGCAGGAAGAGAGATAAAGGAACTATCAGTTTGCGGTTGAAATAGGGTACAAGTGTGAAAGGAGAAATGACCCGAAATTAAGTAAAAATATTTTGAGGTCCTCTTTTCCCCTAGAGCCTCTGAAACAGCAATTTCTGCCTAAAATTGAGAGTCTGAGTCACAATATGACCAAATTCAATGTTTTCCTTAGCTTTTAAGAAGGCTGAACTATGGAACCTGCTGTGCCAAATAATTTAACTGTTTCCAAAGAGGGGAAATGATTGTGGTAATAGCCGACTGATAACGTCAGACTCTGCCTCCACCTGCTGCCGTTTTGTGACTGACTTCAGCCCTGCACCCCATTTTGTAACTAGTCATGTCGATAGTTTTTAGCCCTCTTAGGTGGGTCCTGGGGGTGGAAAGTTCTGTTGTAGATCTTGGCCATCCTGCACTGCATTCCCAGCAGTGCACAAAAGTGGCTTAACTACCAGATGTGTCACTGTGGCCAAATCGAACACCTCAAGGAATGGGCACAGCTGGTGCACTAAATTTAACTCTGCAAATGCACTCCTGGCCACTGAAGAAACCTGGGTACCCATGCTCAGGACTGAGTCTAGATGTACGTCTAAACTGCGAACCTGGGTTTTCAGGGGGAGTTTGACTCCATCCAGCACAGGCTGATTCCTTATTCCCTGTTCTCCCTTCCGACTGACCAAGATCGCCTCTGTCTTGTCTGGATTGAGTTTCAATTTGTTCACTCTTATCCAGTCCATTACTGATGATAGACGCTGACTTAGAACCAAGACAGCTTCCTTTGATTTAGGTGTCATCAGCATACTGGTGACACCAAACCCTGAAACTCTGGACAACCTCTCATGTAAATGTTAAATAGCATGGGGGACAGAACAGAACAGAACCCTGAGGGACCCTGTAGGCCAATGACCAAGGCATCAAGCAGGAGTCCCCCAGCGCCACCTTTGGGTTCGCTCCTCCAGGATGGAACAGCAACAGTGCAACAGTGCCTCAAAGTCCCATCCCAGCAAGACAGTCCAGAAGGATAACATGGCCAGTAGTATTGAAAACCATCAAGAGGTCCAGCAGAGCCAACAGGACACACTTCCCTTGCCCTGTTCCTGGCATAGGTCATCTACCAAGGCAACCAAAGCCGTCTGTGTCCTATAACCAGGCCTGAAACCAGATTGAAATGGATCTATGTAATCAGTCTCCTCCAGAAACCCCTGAGCTGAGATGCGACCACACACTCTAGTACCTTGTTCCAAAATGGGAAATTGGAGACTGGCCAATAATTTTCCAGTACAGTGGGATTCAGGGAGGGCTTTTTCAACAGAGGTCTTATAACTGCCTCCCTTAGGCTCACTGGAATCCTGCCTTGTTGTAAGGATGCATTGACCAGAGGGGCACCCCCTTGCCATCCCTTGTGCAATGATCTAGCACACATGTAGCTCTCACATTTCCAAGGATCCTGTCCACATCCTCAGGCTGTACAAATGGAAAAGTATCAATTTCTGCTGGACAAGCAGAGGCCAAAGTTACATCCACTAGACCTGTATCAACTATAGCATCCAAATCAGAAAGGATCCAAGCAATTTTGTCAGCGAAGTACTGAGCAAATAGTTCACAATAGGTCATCAAGTGGGTGCAAGTTACCTGTTTTATGGCATAGTGGCTTGTTAGGGTTGATGTAGCCATTTGGAAAGCCAGCTTGCCTGTATTGTCTTCCTAAGTGGGGAGAAGGCTGTTTGTGCTTCCCCCAGATTTTGATCCTCCCATCTTCCTAACAGGACAGGCTGGTTGCACACAGACTGCAGCAAGTTACCACTTGAAGACTCGGGGATTGCACTCATCCAGGGACTTTCCTATTTGTGTGGTTTCTGGAAGCAGTAAAGCATTCCATCCCCATATTACTTCATAAACGTCTTGCTATAAAAGAAAAAGAACTAGGAACTTCCAGTCACAGGCCACTGGAAGATAGGAATAAGGGAATTTTACCAAGACAGCAAGGACCTTGTGTAACAGCAGGTGTGGTGAAGTGGACTGAGACAAGTTGCTTCCCTATAATTAAAATGCTGCTATTATTATTATTATTATTATTATTATTATATTTACGTTTATGTACTAGCTCCCTGGGAGTTTGAGGTTAGCATACATAGCATGGTCTCCCTCTTTTATCCTCACAACAACCCTGTGAGGTAGGTTGGGCTGAGAAAATGTGCCTGTCATCCCACGCTTAACCAGTTATTTTCAATGCTAAGTGGAGATTCAGACCCAGGTCTTTGCAGTTTAACAACACTAATCTTGTACACCACAACACCTCCAGCAAAGCTAGGATACCCAGTAATTTATAAGTAGTATATATGGATGATTTGAGGAAAATAGCTAGCACTATTTAACCTTGCCCTGTAGTCCTTTGTCTCATATTCAACATCACTCAACAGAGCAAGTAGTGAATTTTCTAGCCAGTGGGACAAAAGGATCAACATCTGTCTGCATATGATACAAGGGGGGGTTCGAATTAGGGAGGAATGGGAGGATCACTTGTACAACCCACGCACAGCACTGCTGGCTTGTGCATGCCAGGTCTCTGATCTGTCATCTTTGCTATGTTCTTTTGGATTTCTGAGTCATTTAACACTTTCAGTCATCTTTAAAAAGAAGCACTTTAGCTCGCTCTCAGAATGCACTGTAGGTTTTAATTATAATCAGTGTTTGGGAACAACATTGATTCCTCTGAACACAAGGTGAAAATAAGGTGTTATAACTTGCATTTAACACTCTCTTTCTCTCAAAACCTTGTAGCCAATAATTTAAAAGCTCCTCAAAGCCTGCAGACAAACAGTGATAAAGAATAGTAATTATCTGCCCTAATAATGGGCATATTTCTCTTTCCCCACAGCCCCTCCTAGCTTTAGGGAAATAGATCTCCTCACAATGCAGGAAACTGGCTAGCATGCCTTACTCTTTGTCTAAGCAAATAAAACCTACCTGTCCAATAACATCCCATTTTTTGCCTTTCCTCTACAGGTGCTGAGGATGGGGTGATGGCATTTTCCAGATCGGAGACTGAAGACAGACGGCAGTAGCTTGAAGGGCTGTCGGAGCAATTCAGAGCTGGAGCAGGGCAAATAAGCTCTAGGAAATCGAGGAAGATGGCCGGACAATCATGAGTTCCTTTGCCCTCCCCTGATTTTTTTTTTGTCTTGTCCCGTGGTAGCCTTCCCCAACCCATTGAATTCAGTTTTCCTGTTACCTGACCTTCTGAATGCATTTCACAGCCGTCTGTTCTGTATGCCCTGTTGGTGGGTCAGCAAGGCAGTTTAAATCAAGGACAACTCTAGGAATGCTTTCATGATTGGCTCCCCAAAAACAAAAACAAAAAAGCGGACTCTGATTGGCTAGCTAAAGGAAGGAAACTTGACCAGTGGAAACACTCCCCTTAATTTTTAATTTTGTATTTTTAAGAATTATTGCTGACATCCTACTTCTAAAAGCCTTCAAGCTCTGGTGCTTATTTAGGTCATGCTTGTGTGTGTTTTTGGAGAGGGGCGTGGCTGTGTGAGACTGGAAATGGACTGTTGCTGCTGTTTGCAAAATGAGTGGCTTTCAGGTGTTTTGCTGACATCAGTGTTTTCCTTGCTAAAATTTGTAGGGGGAGGGAAGAAGGGTAGAGGGAATTAACGTATTTAGTTATTGCTTCACATTTATTGTCAAGGTGGGAGGGGGAAATGTTTTGCCATATTTATTACACATGCTTGCTTGCCTTTTTTTTTTTTTTTTTTTGAAGAAAAAAAGGCTTAACTGTTGACTTCCTGTTGGCTGCAGAGTCTACGTGCAGCTGACTCTTTCACGCTGGTCTCCTCTGTTCTTCAGTTCTCCTCAAGAAATTGTTGCTTGAAAGCATGTTTGGTTTTCTCAATTCTGCCCATGCAGGAAGGAGGTGGTTGGAAGCCCTGACAGTTGGTTTAGAGTTGTGAAAATGAGCCTCTGCTGCAAATTTGGGCAACTCCATTTGCACCTTGCAGAAGGCCTGTCAGTACTATGGAGGAATTCTGTATTCCCAAATATCTGTGAGTTGCAAAGTGTCAAACTGGGAAGGAGTGCGAACCAATTATTCTAAGCAGTCTGCACAGTTTGATCTTTAACCTGTTGGCTGCTTCACATGTGGCAGTGCGGTAAGAGCCTGAATTGTGTAACTTTGGCCTAATGCCTGCACTGACTTAGTGAGATGAAATTGACGAGTTCCTCCAATTGGGCTTGGTTTTGTGTGCCTGTTGATCTCTTTGGAGGCAGAGCATATCCACTGAAAATATCCAAGTGGCTTCAGGTGATACAACCTGTTTGTTGAAAAACGGAGACAATGACATTAATGCATGTTAAAACCCTGAAGTTCTAGGAGTTGTTTTCTGCCTATATCCAGGAGTCTCCCCCCGTGCCATGAATTTTCACAGTACTTCCAAGAAGGCACCTAGGTGAGATGGTACTGATGAGGTATTTGAGGGGGTGGGGAAACATTGAAGGGGAAACTTGTGGTTTCACTGTCTTTGCAGGAGAGATCATTATCTAGAGGAACCAGCTTGAGAGCCTGGCTGCGGCAAACTAGAGTTTCCAAGTGCCCTTGGCTATGAGGGTCCAGGTGCTATTGCTATCTGTGTGTGTGTGAGAGAGAGAGAGAGAAGAGAGGAGGAGGAAGAGATACCAAGAATAATAGCATATGATAAGAGATAATATACAGAAAAGAGGAATAAAGGCGATCCAAAATTAATTGGTCTACCTGCAAAGAGCAGGTGTTCCCTCTCTGGAAATGATACTTGAGTTTTGATTTGCAACTTCATAAAAGTTCCCAATGTGAAAAGCCTCAGTTTCTTGGGGCTGATGATGACACCTGTTCAAATAAAACCAGCAATAAATGCAGTTCACCCTTGCCGTTCAGGTTTTATTCCCCATGACCGGTTTTTTAATGTGTCAGAAAGGACAGCTCTTCATCCCAATTATCAGGGTTTTGTTTTGTTTTGTTTTGTTTTGTTTTGTTTTGTTTTGTTTTGTAGCATGACAAAATGTGCAGCTTTTGCTCCATTGAAGAGAAGCCTGATGCTTTCCCTCACCCAAACACTTCCATGATAGGGAAGTCGTAATTTCTCTAAATCTCAAAATGAAGTGTGTTGTCACTGAGAGATTCCCTTGCACCAAGCTGTCACTTCTTTTGCAGTGGCTGGTGGATGTGCTAGTGTCTGGGTCACCTTTCCCTACCCATCCACCTCTTTGCCATTAGATGAACTTTATTAACTTATTTTTCTCTTTTGTGTTTTACTGCAATGGAGGCTGAACACTCCCCTGTTAACAGAAAGAAGTTCTTGTGAAAACATGTGGTCCATTAAGGCCTCCCTATCCCTGCTGTGACATCTCCCCAACATTTCATTAATCTTTTTTGCCTACTAGAAATCTTCTTTTCCTATGCTCTCCCACAGATCTTCCACTTCTTTTTTGTTTTTAAAGAAGAAGCAGAAAGTCTATTCCACCCTGTGCTACTTCTGCACTACGTATGTACCTCTGTTGCACAGGAGGGGATTGTTGCCCAATTTGTGGCCGATTCAACGACTAAAATATCTGCTGGATATTCAGTGAACAAGTTCAACTGGTAGCTTGCTGGGTCAACCAGGCAACACTGTCGCAGCCTTGTTGTTTGGTTGCAGCCTGTGTTCCATTGATATACGGCATTTCCAAGCTGTTGCATCTTTCTAACGAAGCAAACCTACATGTTTCTGTGGTTTTTAAACTTTTGGAGGGCTAAAAATGTAACTTGAAAGGGTTGAGGGAAATACACTTTGTAAGAGCTGTTCCTTGCTTCTTGTTTTATATTTATCCAACTGAACATGAAAAAGTCCTTGTATTGCTCTTGGGTGAGATTTCAAGTTCAAGATCCAAGTTTTAAAAGCACACGCCCTCCTTATGCCAAGAGGGAGGGAAATAGTTTGGGGTTGCAGCCCTGCACACACTTACCTGCCTGAAAGCCCCATCAAACTCAGTGGGACTGTTGGAGTAGGCATCCATGGGTTTCTGCTGTTAATGCAGCCATCTCACTCTGCCTTCAAATGCAGTCCTAGTTTACACAATCATGTGCTTTCTTCCCCACAGGGCAACTCTCAGCTTCAAAACAATAGCAGTATAAGCAAAACAGACAGTCTGTAAAGCAAAGTTAAGGAACCTGTCACCTTCCATTTGTTCTTGGACTCCCAGTCTCCCATCAGCCCCCTCCAGCAAGACCCAGTGGTCAGAGATGATGGGAGTTGGAGTCCAGCAGTATGCAGAGGGCTGCAGATTCCCCACTGCTGTTTTAGGGCTTTAAAGATTATAAACAGCACTTTTAGCTTGGTTTGTCAATACACATGGAAAAGGATTGATAGGCAAGAACATGGTTTAGTATCTGAGTCACATGATCTGAAAAATGGGCCTATTCCATGATGAGCAGCTGACTGAAGGACTGTTGTGTCTGATGTACTTGGACAGCTCTGCCTCTGGCATCATAAACACAGTGGCTTTACAAAGGCAGGTCATCATGTGATAACTGCCCCCAACCGCTCAGCTTTTCTCTGCCTCACTAAATGTGCCCCCTCTACTTCCCAGCTGCTGCCTGAAATGGACACGGGTGTTTCCAGTCACTTTTTCTTGTGTGCTCTTTAGAGTTAGATGCCTATCATTACATTAGCAAGTAGGCCATTTCTGTAAAGCAGGGCGGGGAGGAATTGAGAGTCCAGAAATGGGATCTGCTTGTACAGCAGGATGCAAGGTTACTTTTACAATCAGAAGTGGCCTTCCGATAGAATTGACACCCAGCAGGAGATGTGGCATCAGAGGGAACGGTTCATTGTGGCATGAAATGGAAGCCATGGTTTTTTCCCCCTGCTGACTATGCAGTGTAATCTATTTTCGGTGTTACACAGTGACCTCCTAATTGAAGGTACTGAGAAAAATACCCTTGCATATGATGAAATAGATAACCAGAGTTTAAGCTCATTTTGTGTGCTCTGCCCGCCAACTTCCATCTCCAGCTCTGTTGTCTTAGGGCCTTTTCAACAGTAGTAATAGGCCCTTTGCCTACATCCCAAAAGGAAAAACGTGTTTCATTTGTTCAGTTTTTTGCCTTCTCTTCCAAAGGAGCCCCAGGCCAGAAACCACCGGATAACAAATTATAGAATTAAAACTCATAATCACAGCTAATAATATTAAGGTTGCCAGGAATATTCAGTCATCAAATGTCCAGGTAAGGAATAATGCTTTTAATTTACTTCTGAATATTAATGATGAGGGGGGAGAGGCTCCTTGCTAGGGAGGGTATTCCACAGTTGTGACACCGGCACCAAAAAGGCCCCATCAGAGCTCAGCATTGGACTGTAACAAAACAATTCCTAAAACAATATACTGTAATGTGCAATTCTATTTAATCAGCTCTGTAGGTGGGTGAGGGGAGATTTTTCCCTATCTTAAGCACTTCAGATGAGCTAAGTGTGTGCACGCTTCATTTTTTACCTGTACAAACCAGCGAATGAGGGCAGTAAGACATAAATCTGTCCAGTGACACCCAGAATGGTAAATGGAGATACACAGCTTTCCTGAATGGACACACCCCAAAATTCAAATTGGATTGGGGAGCAGAAGGGCTATAAATGTAAGGAATACAGAATGAAATGAAGGTGCGCTATGGCCTATTAGCGTACAATAATGTAAGTGGAAAATGAAACGACGTCCCATTTTGAACAATGCAAAGAAGAGATTAATGAAACAACCCAGGTGTCTCAAGGAAAGGAGGGGCTACGAAGGACAGCAGAGGGCATTGGCCAGCCTTTCATTGAATCTGGGAGCAGAAACTGACCTCCAGCCCTGCTTCTAGTTGATACCACCACCTCCCCAGGCCCAGTTTAGAGCACCCCTTCATTGCCAAAGCAGAGAAACTTTCTGGAACAAAGCAGTACCTCTATTGCTTGGAGCCAAATCTGACACTCCAGGTCTGTCTACCTGGCCCTTGAGACTCCTGGCCACCCCACCCCCATCACTAACCTTGCTTCATACCCTCCATGAACATTTTTGC